GGTTTCTAGGGCAGTGGTGTCACTTGGCAGCTTTTAAAGGAGGGGTGATGGCACCGAATCAGCCACCGCACCCTCTGGTCAAAGGATGCGGTGGGCCACATGGTGGGAGCGGGTCTGGAAGGGGCGCCGGGTGGCGCTCACTAATCTGGCAGTCCCTGGAGGGTGGGGCAGACATCTTACTTGAGCCCGCTTCTGCCCCACTGCAGGGTGTTTTCCAAGGTGAAGAGCCGCAGCGCCCACATGAAGAGCCATGCAGAACAGGAGAAGAAGGCCGCAGCCTTAAGGCAGAAGGAGAAAGAGGCCGCTGCTGCTGCTGCAGCCACTGCCGCCGCCGCCTCGCCCCACCAGCCGGCCCTGCGGGAGGAGAGCAGCCTGGGTGAGAGGGGCTGACTCGGAAGACTGGAGGGCTCCGCCCGGAGGCCCAGGGCTGCACCCTCTCCCAGGATTCCTGGCCCCTCCTGCACCAGCCAGCCAAGCGCCTGTAACACCCTGGAATCTCCAGAAGGAGCAAGGAGAGATCACATGGACTTTTCTCTGAGAAACAAATAAGACAATAAAATAAAAGGCTCTTTTATTTATAAAGGCCCCAGGAGCAGTGTTAAGGGCTGCAGGATCCAGTTCTCTTTGCATTCAGTCTGTTGGAAGTTGTCCTCATGCTTACTTGGAGCTGTGAGAGTCTCCGCTTGCTGGGGCTGCCCTCTCCAGGGGCTCCAGCCACCGCCATTGCTGCCTCTCACGGGGACTTCTGCACCCCACCTCTCCCCATCCTCTTTGTTCCTCCTCTTCTCCCTGGTCACCATGGCGAGCTAAGCACAAGCTCACCCTCCTTTGCAGTTACTCCTCCTCCCGAAAGGACCTCAAATGCCCCAGGCCCAGAAAGAGGAGCCCTGCCGGAGGGAGCATGGTGGCCGCCTCTGAGAGGGCATCAGCCTGGTACCTGTGCTGTCCACTGCACAACAGTGTCCGGGCCTCAGCTGCTCCCGTGACCCTGCACTCAGAGAGGCCACCTCCTTCCTGGGAGGGAGGCTACAGCATGCCTGGAGGGAAAAAGAGAGACAGGTACCTATCCCTTTGCTGCTTGCGAGCAGCCCTGCTGGGGCTGGAAAGTTTTCTTAAATGTTTGGGGAAGGGACCAATGTTCCCCCTCAAGCTCTCAGCCCACTGGAAGGTAGAGAACTGTGCAGCGGACAGAATCCACAAGACGAGACATGAGAGCTTTTCTGAGCCCTGGCTCTTGCTTCCCACCTTTTTTGCCAAGTACCTTTATGTCCTGAGGGCTGATAAGAAAGCTTAGCCAAGGCCCAGCCCACTCTTCTTGGTGCAAGTTCCCTGCCTGCGCCTGTCCTGCTCTCAGCAGCCACTACCTAACCCTACCCTACCTAGTCCAGCGCTGATATCCACAGCTGAGCCCCCAGTTCTGCATGCTGGAGATTTCTGGATCCTTCCCTGGGCAGGGGAGGTCTCCTAACCAAATTGGACAGGAGCCTCGTTCCTTGATTTGTGTCATTTGGGAGCTATTTATTTATTCTTAATATTTAATTTTTAACATCCTCTCAGGGACCAGGGGCCTCCCGCTTTCTAGGGGCCCAAGTGCATTTATCCCCAAACAAGGCACCTTCTTGGCATCCACCCTCTCCCATCCCCATTCCCAAGGCCCTAAGGTCCCTTGCCTCGTTGCTCTGGAAGCTCTTGCCACTAGGAATGATAGTAGCAGTGAAGGGGGTGGAAAGGTGGAGGGTGTCACCAAACCCACACAGAGACTAGCAGGAGCAAGGGAGATCAGAGGCAGTTCTTATTGCTACCTCTTCTCTGTGCTTTGAATTTGCCTGCGGGGATTGGAAGCCAGATTTCTGGCTTTGTTTCTGGCTTAATGAAGCCATATTTAGTGTGGAGTCACTAAAGAGAAATGGTCGGAAGTTTCTGAAGGTCCCTTCATTTGCCAGTCCCATAGGAGGACTGAGTTATTTTTCTGATATTGTTATTTGACTCTAGTTGTGCAGAAGAAGTGAATGCAAGTATAGTGCATGCAGCGTGTTAGGAAGGAGCCAAAAACGCATTCATTCTTGCTGTTCCTTATTTGATGGTCAAACACGTGAGCAGGTGGGGTTGGGAGGAAGTGTATTTCTAAACTATGCACTATTCAGGTATTGTCCAGCATTTGTTCATGCATTAATATGGTTCTGCAGGACCCTAGCTGTGGGAGCAGCAAAATTCTTTTCCCCTAGACTTCTGGATCACCATCTAGAGCTCCAACTTCCCAGTTAGTTTTCCTCCGCATACTTCTACAAGCTCAGTGTTCCAAGATAGCAAAAATCTGGTCTACCCTCCAGAAGCAGAAGGGCAGCACATTTAGGCTCTCTTCTAAATCACTTGTGTAATGAGTGCCTTTGCAGCTTAGCCCCAAGTGCTACTTACGTTTCCCAAGGTTTCTTCTATTTAAACCTTATTTATTTTCAGACCCTTTGATGGACATGTGGTATCAGAAACCTCTTTCATCTTAGTTGTCCTCTTCTAAGCTCGTGGAGAAGAGACCAAGTGAATGTAGGCAGAGAAAATCAAGATGGTACCTCTCAACTAATCCTACCAGATGCTGTATTTTTGAGGGGTCCATGCTTGAGGATGGGTTTATATCTAGAATTGAAGGAATATTTAGACAGTGAGAATATTTAGACAGCAGATATAAGTGTGGCAAGTGACCTGCCAATAAAGTAGTTGCAGCCATGGAAGTGGGCATAGGTATAATCCTTATGGTGCTTTCTCCCTGTGATCACAGTTGGCTCATAGGCTTTTTTCTTTTTTCTTCTATTCAGAGCTCTTTGCTTTAAGAAGTTAAATGACAAACACCTCCAGCTTTATAATGTCCACTTCACACCATCTCACCTCTCATAGCCTCAGCTAAGGGCATGAAACTAACCTAGTGCCTGTGTTCCAGACCATTTCTGAGGTCTCTTACCCACACAAGGAGACAGTACTTGAGCACTGTCCTCCATGCCTTCAGCAGTTCCCCCTTGCAGCTAAAGTACATGCCCATTCTCCTTCTGCCACCCCAGCTCCACCTCTGGCACAGAGGTCTTGTGCTGCTTAAGTTTAAAGGGATCCCCTATATTTAACTGCCTCAGTGACCTAACCTCTTCTCACGTGCCAGATGTTAAGAAGAAGGAGGGATACAACACATACTCTAGCCTCAACTGTTTAAATGTTTTCACTGGGGCTCATTTTTCTTGGACGGTATGTATTACCAGACTGGCAGGCCTAACTATTTAGGTTTACAGGAAGTATGCATATTTTTATAAAACAATTGTATGTCCTCCGCATATTTTGCTGTTGACATTTGCCTCTAACAATTTGCAGCTGTTTCACCTTTTCCTCATTTCTAAGTTGAAGGCCTTGTTGGAGGGGACAGAGCACAGGAACAGTCTTGACAGTCTGTAATTATTGTACAAATATTTTAATAGCATATAAATAAGTATATTCCTTTTATTTTGAAAAAATGATCAGACACTGCCTTTTGTGTGTTTGCTGCCTGTGGCGCTCTTTTTTAAAAAGACTGTTACATATTAGTGTACATATATATAAATATTACCTCTCTTGCTGTACAGTTGTGATAGACCAGACTGAAGATTTTATTTTTTGTGTGCTTTTTATAAAAAAAAAAAATTAATACACTAAAGAAAATCTTACTGATGTGATTGTAATGTACCTATGTAACTTATTTACTTTTGGATGTTCTTCTGTATCTTTAAACCTTTTATTAAATAAGGTTTTAAAAATTCAGGGTTGAATGCTGTGTTCTTTGGGAGAGAATTTCACCATCTGAGATTAACATAAATCGGCCATGTTTTGCTTGCTGAAGATAACTGGGCATTTTTTGAGCCATAAGGATTCTGTTTTAACTCATTACCGGTGAAGCTAGGGCAGGGGGAATAACGCTGGTGTTTGCCTGGCTACGAAGTTACTGAATTGATTACGAATCTTTTTTACACAATTCTAGGCAAGAAAAAAATCTCAGCTTCGTGTATGTATCACTCAAAAACATGTAAATGGCACATTTGCAACGCTCTCTCTCTTTGGAATGAAATGAGATTTCAGAGTGCAATCAGGTGGTGCAGGGAAGCTGCCTAGCTTGAGTATTACAAGTCGATCTTGGACGCATTTTCTACAAGTCATCGGAAATCCACTCCAGAATTAAAGTATTTTTAAGAGTACGGTGTTTTGTAACATATATATTCAGATATATAATATTTCAGATATATATAAAAACATCTGAAAAATGCGAAAAAGGAAATGCGCCACCAGAGAAAGCAGCGCCCCCCACCAGCCGCAAGCACCATGACAACGGATGCGCCCCGCGTGCCGCCGGAGGGCGCGGATCTCGCGGCGTCTGGGACGTCGTTGCCGTGGCGACGCTCTCGCGGGCTTCGGCGCCGAGGCGGGGCGCGCTCGTCGGCGCGTGCGGTTGGCCCCGCCCACCACTGCAGCATAACGCCCCGGCCGGCTGCGGGTGGCGAGAGCTCGGCGCCGCGCCAGCACCCCGCCGCCGCGGGCCCCGCGCGCTGCCGCCTGGCCCGCCCTCGCCTCTGCCGTCGCCAGCCTCGCTCCTCAGGACTGACTGCGCCCCCGCCGCCTGTGTCCTCGCCCGTCCTCGCCGCCCCGAGGGGGCCCCGCGCCCGCGAAGAAGCCGCTAGCGAAGAAGCCGCCCGCGGGCTGGGCCTGCCGCCGCCGCGGCCTCAGGGCCGTTTTTTCCTCGGGACGACAGGCCCTGGCCTGGAACGCCGCTGCTCCTCGACCGCCGCAGGCCGCGCTCCCGCCGAGAACGCCCGACCGACTGCCGCAGCAGCCGCGAGTCCCCGCGCCCAGGCTCCGGAGAGGAGGCGGCCACGCCCCGCGACCACACCCCGGCGGCCGCTCCGGCCCGCGGCCCCAGCCTTCGCCGCCCGCGCCGCGCCGCGCGTCCCGCCTGCAGGTGAACGACCCCGCCGCGGACCCCGACCACAGACGCAAGATGGCGGCGACCGCGTGACGGCCTGAGCCCCCGCGCGGCCCCGCTCCGAACACGCGCTGCCCGACGGACTCCGCAGGGCCGCGAAGGGACGAGAGCGGGACTCTGGGGTCGTTTGTTAACTGTGTTTGACTGAAGTTTGCCTCCCTCGGGCATATTGGGGAGGAGTGGCTGGTTCTCAGTACTAGAGCACCGTGAGCCACGGACTGGTCCGTATTTGTAGCTTTGGGGCCCTTGATAATTGGGAAAATGGCGATGACACTGTTGGAAGATTGGTGCAGGGGAATGGATGTGAACTCCCAGAGAGCCCTGCTGGTTTGGGGGATCCCAGTGAACTGTGATGAGGCTGAAATCGAAGAGACCCTCCAGGCTGCGATGCCCCAGGTGCCCTATCGAGTGCTTGGGAGAATGTTCTGGAGGGAAGAAAATGCAAAAGCAGCCTTGTTAGAGCTCACTGGCGCTGTCGATTACGCCGCCATCCCCAGGGAGATGCCGGGTAAAGGGGGAGTCTGGAAAGTGGTCTTTAAGCCTCCGACTTCCGATGCAGAATTTTTAGAAAGGTTGCACCTCTTCCTAGCCAGGGAGGGGTGGACCGTGCAAGATGTTGCCCGTGTCCTTGGGTTTCAGAACCCCGCTCCGGCCCCGGGCCCAGAAATGCCAGCAGAGATGCTAAACTATATTTTGGATAATGTTATTCAGCCTCTTGTTGAGTCCATATGGTACAAGAAGCTGACACTCTTCTCGGGGAGGGACATCCCCGGGCCTGGGGAGGAGACCTTTGATCCCTGGCTGGAGCACACTAATGAGGTCATAGAAGAGTGGCAGGTGTCTGACATAGAAAAGAGGCGGCGGCTGATGGAGAGTCTTAGAGGCCCTGCGGCCGATGTCATCCGCATCCTCAAGACTAACAACCCTGCCATAACCACCGCCGAATGCTTGAAGGCGCTTGAGCAGGTGTTTGGGAGCGTGGAAAGCTCCAGGGATGCGCAGGTCAGATTTCTGAACACTTATCAGAACCCGGGAGAAAAGTTATCAGCCTATGTCATTCGTCTGGAGCCTCTGCTACAGAAGGTGGTGGAGAAGGGGGCCATAGATAAAGATAATGTGAACCAGGCCCGCCTGGAGCAGGTCATTGCTGGGGCCAACCACAGCGGAGCCATCCGAAGGCAGCTGTGGCTGACTGGGGCTGCGGAAGGGCCGGCTCCTAACCTCTTCCAGTTGCTGGTGCAGATACGTGAGGAAGAGGCCAAGGAGGAGGAGGAGGCAGCCGAGGCTGCCCTCCTGCAGTTAGGCCTGGAGGGGCACTTCTGAGTCCCAGGAAGGGAACTTAATGCGGACCTCGATCATAGCTGCTTCCTTGTCTGTTCTGTTTGACATCGATAGGTGTGATTCTTTGTAGTAGAACGACTTAGCCATGTTCTGGGGGGATTCAGTTCTTAATGTGACATTTGTAAAATCTCCAGTGAGCACCCCGAGCTGCTACAAGTGAGTCATGTTAGCTACAGTGCCAGGTTAGATGCTTGGGCACAAGTGCTCAGTGCAAGCTGTCATCGTGGTGTCACCAGTTGTGTGAAACGTGAACTTGTGACGCCGTAGAGGTAATAAGAACTTGCATGTTCAGATGTTTAGAGCAAGGCCTGGCTAACTCAAGAAGTGTTCAGTAAAAGTGTGAGCTGTTTGTTGTTACTAATACGGTGAATTTATGTGTGTGTTTACTGTAAATTTTTCCTGGGAGGAAATGTGAATTTATTATAATTATACAACTTTACAGTGTAAATTTCTTACTTTGCATCTTCAAAACATCTGGTTCCATTTAATTGAAAAGTATTCTGAGACTACAAAATAAGGTGTTAGAAAAATACAGCATTTATAGTGCTGTGTAAATCAGTTTTTGACTCTACAAGATAAAGCTGTAAATTGCATGGGGAGATTAATATGAACCAGTTATGTATCCATTCCCCTATTTCAAATCTTTGTCATTGAATAGTTATTGTTCATGCTGCTGATTCTACAAGTGTTCTAAACAAAGATAAACAGTTAATATTCAAATAAAAAGTTTAAAAGTTGTATAGTCTCACTTTTCTGACTTGCATAAGAATTCCAGTATAATTAAACTCAGTAGCCTCTTAGGATGACTTCATATTATTTAAAAAAATCATATCTAGATTTTCTTTAAGGCTTTATATCATGCTATGCAAATTTAAATTGCAGTATCTTTTTTTAAGTAATTTTTTTTTTTTTTAAGATTTATTTATACAAGAACTGGGGTACAGGTCAGAGGCATGGGAGGATGAGAGGATTCACCAGAGACAGCGCGGAGCAGAACAGGCAGACTGACCAAAGACACTGCTGAGGGGAGCAGCAGGCGAGACAGGAGAGGTCTACCATGCCATGTGGGAATCTCCCTGGCCGGCCAGGAATCGAACCTGTGCTGCAGAGGCTGCAGACAGTGTCACTGTGTGGCGCTCAACCCGCTGCACCACTGGGGAGGCCCTAAATTGCAGTATCTTAATGTATTCAATTTTTGCACATTGTTTACAAGCAAATGTTAGAAAGCTAAATGTAAATTTGTCCTGAAAATCCTCACATGGGCTTAGGAGGTTATCTAGCAACTTTTTTTTTCCTTTTTTAAATCCCTTTCAACTAAAAATATTCCTGCAGGAATTGTAACTGTCATACCCGTATCAAATGAATGTTTCCATTTTAATAGTCGCCGTTTTATACCAAAAGGATGTAAAAAGGGAAATAGGACCCAAAAACATGTTTAAATCATAATTTGGCCCCAGAGGTTCAGTAACTGAAGATGCCCATCTTTTGTAACCCAGAAGAAATGATCTCATGATGGTAAGAGTTCAGTGGGGCTTCTTTCCTGCTACTGACAGGGCTTTAAAATTACAGCTAAGGGCCTGCCTGGTGGCGCAGCGGTTGAGCGCTGGGTTGGGAAGCTGCCCGCAGCCTCTGCAGCGCCGGTTCGATCCCCGGCGCTCCCGGACCACGGGAGGCGGGTCCCACATGGCGTGCAGACTTCTCCTGCCACCCGCTGCTCCCCTCAGCAGTGTGTACTTCGGTCCTTCTACCTGCTCTGCTCCCCGCTCTGGCTCTGGTGAATTCTCTCACCCTCCTGCACTTATGACTATACCCAGTGCTTGTATAAAAAAATAAATAAATCTTTAAAAAAATAAATAAAATAAAATTACAGCTAACCTGTGTAAACATCATCTACATGGGAACGATGTTCTAACAGATTTTCCTGTCATGTCACTTCCTCTCACTTCTCCCCACGGACATGCACTTCCTTCCACAAATGTTTCCATTCCTGCTTTCCCACTCACAGAGCTTCCCTCTATTCTCATAGGCATGGCGCAGGTGGCACATAGTCCCCTCACTGCTCACAATCCTGTCTTCAGTCCCACCTTCCCTTGACAATTTACCATAAACATACTCCACACTTCCCCCACCCACCCAAGTTTACACTCACCTTTGTCCCCATGCATAGGCACAAGGTCCCCTGGCCACCACATATCACCCAGTTCCCACGTGTCTGCACACACGCCCACTCCACACATACACATAGTATGTTCATAACAAAAACAAATAGGGGGGGCCTCCCCAGTAGCGCAGTGGTTGAGTGCTGGGTTGCGAAGCTGCCCGCAGCCCCTGCAGCGCCGGTTCGAGCCCCGGCTGCTCCCCGGCCACCGGAGGAGGGTCCCACATGGCGCGCAGACCTCTCCTGCCGCCCGCTGCCCCCCTCAGCAGTGTACTTCGGTCCCTCTGCCTGCTCTGCTCCCTGCTCTGGCTCTGGTGAATTCTCTCACCCTCCCGCGCTTCTGACTGTACCCAGTGCATGTATAAACAAAACCAAACAAACGAACAAATAAATAAATAAATAAAACATGCCTCTATTAAAAAAAAAAAAAAAAAAAAAAACAAATAGGGGGTCATCATATTTTTCACCCAGTATCTATGGTCATCTATGTGCAGAGGGATATAATTTATATAACTGCATTTTTGAAGATAGTATTTAGGAGGGTGGGCAGGGGTCATCACCCCAAATTTTATTATATGTAACAATCGTATATACTTATATATAATACAATGCACATATATGATATAGAACAATGTCAGGATTCTACAATGTCCAACCTTTGTTTTACAAAATGGAAACTAAAAATAATAGTGAGCTATCTATGATCTGAAATGAAAATCTTTCTGCCCTTTAAAGAAGGACAGCATATCCTCATATCTGAGAACTGTGGAAAAAAGAAAGTGTGACCAACATTACATTTGGCTGATAACACAGATTACATGCTGGGAAGATGTTACTGCTATTGCTGGATTCTTCTGTTTCTTGTGTATCAACAAGGTGGTAGCTGAGGTCAGGTTATCCCAGACTATGAATCAAGGGCCTATCCATCAACTTTTACCTTGTACACTTCTGGAAGTAAAGAGAGGTTAGGAATGGTAAAGAGCATAGTAATTTGTCTCTGGAAATACTCTTTCCAGGATTCTCAATATTTGAAATGGTGCCCAGAAAACTGGGCAAGACTTATAAATCTGAGTAGGTAATTATTGAACTACTAAAAACAAAAATTGAGTATAAGTTTTTTCTCTCATACATGGTACCTAAAAGCTAAATTTCTTCAGAAATTTAGTATCACTGGGAGTCATATAGTTGCTCTATATTAGCTAAAACTCATGATCATGTAACCAAAAAAAAAACCCAAAAATTTTTATAAAATAACACAATTTATTACTATTTTAAAACAAATCTCACAAAATAACATTCAGAAACTCAATATTTCTAAATAATTTAACACAGTAAGTTTAGTGATAAAGTCACACTACAAAATTCCTGCATATAAAAGATTATTACCAAAGTATTGATAGATGTTAAAACGTTCTCTGAAGAATGGAGTTGGTTCTAGAAGCTAAAGATTCTGGAATGCTGCTTGTGATCATGACTGATACCCTGGGAAAAGCATGTGTGTTTTCTACAGCTACCAACTCACCAGTCTTTTGATGGGATTACTCCTCTAGGCAATAGCACCTCACAGGCAGGTCCCCCGCTGAACTCCCCACCCTGGTAATATTAGTCACAACTTAATTTAGCCAACATCTAAATAGTTTAAAAGGTATGTGTGGCAAAGAAAAATCACAAAATTTCTATTCTGAGTAGAAGAATTATACTTGACACATCCTCTAGAGGGATGACTGTCAATGCAGCAGACGTGGAAGATGACCAAGTAGAGAACTAGGGAAATCCTGACTCTGACTCTATCAAAAGAAAACTGCTGCTCATGTGGGTTTAGAAGGAGCAAAGATGAAGTTTGATTCTCTAATAGCCACATATAAGCGAGGTATCTACCCATTTGCCCTTTGGGATTATTTTCCACCAACATCCAGTTCATAATTTTAAAGTGCAAATGTAGTGAAAAATAATTTACTCTCCCTTTCCTCTTGTTAAATTTGATAGATAATAATTTGGTTGGCTGGTTTCCCTAACCTGCCCAATATGGGAAATTAACTAGAGTCCAGTTATGACTTCTCTAAGTGTTAAGTGAAAATTTATCTTGGGTCAGAAAAAGGTAAGACTCAGTCTAGTTTTCTCTTTCAGTGTTTTTTCTTTTGTAGTCACTGGCTTATAAAAAGGCAGGAATAAAGATACAGACATGGGATTTCTAAAAGTTCCTTGATTTTTAAAACATAACCCTTAATATTTTTATTGCACCTATTTTATGGTTTTACAAAAAGAAGGAAACTCATGCTACAGTGAAGATAAAGGAGTATGGTTAGGTTAACTAGGTTGGAAGCACCAACTCTGCTACACTGAATCTTGTTTTATATTTAATTATTTACAGCCACATTAAGCAGTTTAAATAAATGTGTGCAAAAGGAACTGATTTCTGACTAAGGGTAACTTTCAGTTTAGCAATATACAATGGAAGATCTTTGTATATTGGACTGCAGTTAGACACTAATCGATGCCTGAATTTTCCCCATTTTTTTCTAAGTGAATGATTAAATCCAGCCTTTCAAGGACCTATACTTTTCCCATTGTTTTAAGAAACACTCAGAAGATTCTAGGTCACAGAAAATAACTTTCAACTCTACTTACAAATCACCAATTCTGAGAATAAGTCACTCCTTATTCTACTTTAGGTTACTGGTAAAAAGTATCAGAAGCAGCATCTATTTAAGTCAAAATTTCTCTTTCCACATATGAACCCCATCTAAGTGTCTTATACCACCTGCTTGCAGAATGGATTCAGTAACCATACCAAGTTATTGACCAGCTATTATGACCAGACATTTTTTTGGATCACATCCAAAATCAGTGTCTACACTAGATAATTTTCACACATGATTGCCAAACTTTATGTAATATTTTTCTATATTTGGTGACTGCTGTAGCCTGAAAAAGTCTGTGCATTCCTAGGATAATGAATGAAAACTTAAAAAATGATCCATTTTCAAATGTACACTCAGAATGTTAACTTTAGAGACAAAGCAAAATCTGTCATAAAAGTGGGTCTGCTGATAGAGGTAGGTTAATCAATCATGTCCTAAGATAAGCAAGAATGTTAAAAAATTAAAGTTGAGACCCTGCTGAAAAAGAAGATAAGTTCAACCTCCCGGCCCTGAGTTTCTAACATTATAAGAAAATTATTAAATTGAACATTACAAAAAAAAGGGTGGGGGGAACACCAGTGACCATTTCCTTCCATCTGTGATTTTAAACATAATGACTTCTCTCAAATAACTCAGATGACATTAGCTATTTTTACTACAGAGTAAAAATACATGGACCCTGGATAAAAGGAAGGTTAATATAAAGCACTGGTTCTTAAGTAGGGATGAATTTGTTCCCATTCTTTTACCCCATGGGGCAGATGGTAATGTCTGAAGATGTTTTTGGTCATCACGACTGGAGAGGGGATTTCACTGGCATCTAAGTAGAAGCCAAGGATGCTGCTAAACCTCCTATAATACACAGACCAGCCCTTCACAATAGTGAATTATCCAGCCCCAAATGTTAATAGTGCCAAGGTTGAGAAACTGGTTTAAAGGAATTAACTCCTATTAACAAAGAACACAAATACCTTCCAAGTCATAAGCTTGGAGTTAGGGAATGTAGGAAAGTTGAATTACTCCCGTAAAAAATTAAAATACTGAACTGATTCCAGAGCTCTACCATCATTATGACAATAAAAGAAATTTAAATAATCTACTAAGATGGCATTATGTTTTAAACTAGGGATACCGAGAATCCATTCCAAGTAGGTCAAATATGAAATCTAAGCATAAACCAAAGGCATTTAATATCAGCAGTAAATTTACAGCAGTAAAGGATGGATGATTTAAGGAATGATTTGAGAGAATATTCTGAAATTCTTTATACAGCCTATCTCCCACTTCCTAATGGCATGGATTCTGGCTTTAATTCCATGAAAAGGGTGCACTGGAGTTATTCCAATATTCATTGAGCAGAACTGAATATGAGTCTTGTGTGAAATGGACAGAGAAAATCACCTTACATTTCTCTGAGAAGTGATCAAGAAACAAAAAAAATTAGTTCTATGTTACGGAATTTAGAAAAACCAAACACAACACTGTAAGCCATTTTACAAATAAATTCAACATGAAGTCATCCATTCCCTATTATGTTCACTTCCAGGATAACTTTTAGAAAATACATCATACACAGCAATATGGCTTCAAGTCTGCCTACTAGAAGAAGTGCAAAGTATAAAGATTATCTTCTCTCTTAGTTTATGGGTCTTAAACATCAGCAAGGGAATCAAGGCTCATTGCCTATGGACCACAAAAGAAATATCTAAAAGCTCTGAAGTGTAAGTCTGTCAGAGTAAAGGTTTCTTCCTACCATACTGTAAGGAAATGCTAAAAGGAAGCTTAAAAAGTGATGGACTAGTTTTTCCCTTTGTTGTTTGTATTTAAAATTGATTGTCAAAGCAGTGGTCCCGTGTGATCAGAGCGACTCAGAGAAATCCTACTTAAATGATAGCTGAAAACTTCGGAAATCCAGGACTATTTATGCAACCACTTTTTAAAAATGACTCTCCCCACTTTGACAAGTAAAATGGAGAAAGACACAGGTAAATGGGGAGATAAGAACCAACAGTCTCTGGTTGAGGGACTTCAGGCACAACTTGGCAGGGAGCCTCAGACTTCTTTTCTGCAATCTATCAGCGATTTCGTCAGTCTGTTACTGGTTACCGATGACCATATCTTGCATTTTTCAAAAAGAATTGTTTTCTTCTATGACAAAACCTAAGCTCTGCATCTAACTATTGCTTTGCAATTCTGAGATTAAATTACCTACAATGCTTCACTTAGAAGACAATCCTCAAAAATATTGCCATTTGCCTGGGATCCCATAAAGAAACATCTCTTCTCTTTTTCCTTAACAATCACTTACAAAATCCATTGTAAAAGCTGCTTACTTAGAACTTCTCTAAAAATACTTTTTTGAAATAGTAAATTTTACTTATTGAAAGGTACCAAATGCAGTCCTTAAGTTCTATACCATTATAACAATCATTTCTCCCAACATGAGAGTCAACAGATTTAAGTTATTAGGGCAGGTTTGACGTGCATAAATGGTTAACATTTAGGATAGGAATTCAAATAAAACTACTTCTTATACTTCCTCATATGAAATATAAGGAACTATAAACCAAAATGTGTGTCGAAAATCAGGTCCATATGAACAAGGCCACAGTATTGGTTAAAGGATTGACCATGATAGTCATTTTAATCTCTGGATCAGGGAATAACTTACACAGAACTCAAGTGGCCATGCATGTGAACTCAACCTAAATTCCAGTTGACAATGCACATATTTTTGGAAAAACAAATAAGTAAATACAACATGGGCTATAAGGCCTCCACAATTTTAGTTTTTCTTTCACCATGTTTCTAACTGTTCTAGAGCTGCTGCTGTATTTTTAAGAGGAACTCTTCCCATCACCATACTGCCTCTGAACCAAAGGCATGACACGTTTGTGCTTCCAAGTCATAAAGAGATGAAACACCAAGAAGGATGGTCTACAGATATAAAAGTTAAATACATATATATATATGTTAATGCCTGACCTAAAAAAGTTAAACTGAAAAAAGAACCACATTTGTTTCTTTGTTGTTAACAAGTCCACAAAAGTTTCAGCAATGGGGCCATGTAGTACGTAACTAGGACTAGAGACAAAAACTGAAAATCTGTAATTTCTAAAAAGGACTAAAATATGCAAAGTTGGTGTTATCATTTTTGGTGAGGACCACTGAATAGGTTAAGAAAAAAAGATAGGAAAAAAAAAAAAAAGAAAAAAAGATAGGCATGAGAGATTTGTTTATCTTAAAAACCCTTTGCCCCACACAGAATTTTTAAAATAGACAATTTTATAAAACTTATCTATTGTTCGTATGACATTTAAATAAGTTAACACAAAGTGGAAAATGTGGCATTAGTTATCTTCCTCCTCCTCTTCCTTAATTACTGGAGTGCCTAAAATGAAAAATAAAATAATTTCTGATCATTTGCAACAGAGTTAAAATTCAAATGAAAATATTTTCCTGTTAACCTGAGATGCTCTGAGATGCCATAAAGTGTGCCACAATAAAAATAACATCATAAAATAATCTCTTCAATTTCAGATTACCCAAAAAGTTTCTAAGGAAAATTCTCAAAATGGATGACTATAAATACTTACAAATATTCAACTCCCCAAATACAGAATTACAAATAAAAATGCCTGCAGGTGAAAACTAAAGTAAAACCTACACATACTAAAAACCTTGCCCATGTTAAGCACAAAGAAATATTCTTCATTTTTCATAATGTTATCCCAGTATTCCTGGAAATATGAACTTTTATGTTAATTCTCTTAAACATGAAACATTGGTGGTAAGTTGGAAAAAAAAAAAAGAACCAAAGCACAGAAAATAAATCACATCTGTAGGCTCTCCCTGGGTGAAGGGCTACCTCTTCTGAGCTCTGGCATGTGAAATCTGCCTACAATCTTACCCTAATGACAACTACGAAAATAAGTATTTGGTACATAGGATGGTGATGATGATTATCATCATGTAACTAGAAATTATTTGTTTCTTCTAAATATTTTCCTTTCTCCTATTCAATCAGGTAGGCTGATCAGTTCTGTGCTTCATTGCTTCAGGGGCAGTGTAGAAAGCAGAAACCATCAGGTTTACCGCCTTTGTCTTTGAAGAGTCTAAGATCACTGAGAAGATAAGAGTTTTGAGAAAATGTAGAATGACTAGAGAAAGGGTTAGTGATTCTCCGCAGACTAGCAAAATACCTCCCTGGCAGCAGAAGAGAAGGAAGAACAGTAGGAATACTGGCCTGGCGTCCTGATTGCACCACTGGAGGAAGTAAGACCCAGAGAAGTCTGTGTCTATTATCACTTCCAGCTTTTAGATTACAAAAGAACAAGATTTGGTGAAATTAACTAATTAGTACTTAACACAAAAGCTTTTATGTGGCAGAACTGGAACTTACACCCAGTCAGTCCGGGCTGTTGCTGACACTGACCTCTACCTTAGCTATTGGGAAACTACAATCCAGTCCAATTCCAAAAAGGCTATTCATTATTATTTATATTTAATTACTCTACGAAATAATTACTTTTGGGACTTAAACTTTCCTGTAAGCTTTTGGTTTAGGGATGATCTTATCACAGTCTAATCATCCTAGGAGTTTCTCATCTTCCCTGGTATTTTACCTGGACCATTAAATTTACTGTGGGTAGCACTGGCCTTGGAGATTAAAGACAGTCCATCGTGTTTTTAGTTTTGTTCCTTTTCATGATTCTGTGTCATAAACTTCATTCCACCTCTAGACACCACTTCTAAGCTAGCTCCGAGTCACTCACCATCCAGTTTTTTCAGCTTGGGCACTCTCTTGCTTGCCTCTTCGATCCAGTTCCCCTCAGCAGCATGCTTCTCTTCCAAGGGGTTGCCCACAAACACCAGGTCTTCCAGGCATGGCAGTTCTGCCAGTTTCACAAATTCAGCTACAAGTACAAAAGAATATATTCCATGGCAAGTTTTAGTGTTAGGATTTTGGGGATTGAATTAGCCAATCAGTCCTCAGTTTGTGACTATTAGCCCTCATTTTGTGACTATTCGGGACAATTAGTTGTTTATGGTCTTGAAGGAAGCAAGGGAAATCATATCGAATGAAGTCATTCTCTGAAGATAGTATGGAAAGAGAGGGGAAAAGAAGACATACGTCTTTCTACCTTTATGCCAGTCTAAAGATAGGATAAGAAGAAGAAAAGAGATTCAGAATGAAAAATAAGAAGAAATCAATCTCCAGTACAAGTCTTTTCCATGCTGCACTCTATCAGCATATGCTAAGCTAAACTTTTGTTTCTACCCATCCCCTCATCTTTGAATTCTTTTATTTATTGATTTTTTTTATTTTTTTATTTTTTTAAAGTCTCATATTGATTTCTTTTTCTTTTTTTTTTAATTTATTTATACAAGCACTGGGTACAGTCAGAAGCGTGGGAGGGTGAGAGAATTCACCAGAGCCAGAGCGGGGAGCAGAGCAGGCAGAAGGACCGAAGTACACTGCTGAGGGGAGCAGCGGGCGGCAGGAGAGGTCTGCAGGCCATGTGGGACCCTCCTCCGGTGGCCGGGGAGCAGCTGGGGATCGAACCGGCGCCGCAGAGGCTGCGGGCAGCTTCGCAACCCAGCGCTCAACTGCTGCGCCACCGGGGAGGCCCTGAATTCTTTTTTTTAAATTGAGTAACACCGCACTATAACATTATATAAGTTTTAGGTGTGCATCGTTGAAAATCAACGTGTGTATATACTACATTACCACTACCTCTCTCATCTTTGGATTCTTAAAGCCTCTGTTCTACTCAGTTACTCTTCTATTGCAGAATTTATCACACAACTTTATATTTATTACCTTATGAACTAATCTCACCACTAAGATGTGAACGCCTTGAGGGCAGAGACCTTGTCCTATTTAACTACATATCTCAAGAAGCTCATTGTTCATGGCACATAATCTGCCTTTCATAAATGCTAAATGAATGAAACAATAAAAAGTAAAGCAATATTGATGTCAAGTAAGTTTTCTACCCAAGAATTCTTAAATTTAAACTGATTTTTTCAGTCTTTGGACAATAATTATTTTCATGAATAATAGGGTAAGGATCTATTTAATTATAATCATTTTAAGTAAATATTTAAATGTAAATTGCAAGCATTTAGCTGGAATATAAGAACTCCTATAACTATATCTCTTTGTGCTTAGAAAGAAATGTGCCCATTTCGGGCCTCCCTGATGGCACGAGTTAAGCACAGCACCAAGAAGAAATCCGCAGCCTCTACAGCACAGTTCTATCCAGCAGACCTCTCCTGTCTTGCCTGCTGCTCCCCTCAGCAGTGTGTTTCAGTCAGTCTGCCTGTTCTGTTCCCCACTCTGTCTCTGGTGAATCCTCTCAACTCCCTGCACCTCTGGCCTGTACCCCAAGTTCTTGTATACATAAATAAATCAATCTTTAAAAAAAAAAAAAGAAATGTGTCCATTTAGCATCTTGTTCCCTGCTGGGCTATTTTCTGTAAAGAGGAAGAGGTAGATGGTTAGCAAAGAGCCAAGCTCAGCTTACCCCAGTCTTTCACCAGGTTATTAGACATGTAGAGAATCTTCAATTTCTTCATTACATGGATCCCTTTCAACTTCTCAATAAAATTGTAGGATATCCACAGTTCTTCTAATGTGTCCCCTACTGCTTCCTGAAAAAGAAAGCAATTTAATGTACATGCTTATTTTTAAGATTTTCCTTCTGTGCCCTTCCTTATACATAAAGGCAATGGTCTTCAGAAAGAACTGAGACCCCCTGTCCACTGGCAGGACACCTAAAGGCTGTGTGGGAGTTTTTTCTCATTAAGAAAGTCAAATAGAACATTCTTGTCTCCTCTTCAAACTGATCTGAACTAAGAACAGCACTGAAATTATCAAAAGGAAAAAATACTAGAACTAATTTACCACTTTTATTGAATAGTATGTTTTTCAAATTTCTTCCCTATACATTGTATTATTTGATTCTTATAACATTTAAGACAGGCAATGCAGATATTTGATTTCTGTTATAGAGTTAAAGTTTTTTTTCTGGGCCTCCCTGGTGGTGCAAGGGGTTAAACACAGCACTATGAAGCTATCAGCAGCCTCTGCAGTTCAATCCCTGGCTGGCCAGGGAGATACCCACATGGTGCCGCAGACCTCTCCTGTCTTGCCCTCAGCAGTGTATTTCAGCAAATCTGCCTGTTCTGTTCCCCACTCTGTCTCTGGTGAATCCTCTCATCACCCCATACCTCTGACCTGTACCCCAGCTCTTGTATGCATAAATAAATCTTCTAAAAAAAGGGTTTTTTCTAAGATCACAATGATATTAAATTGTAGAGGTATTTTAAGACTCCCCCCAATATTTATTATGAAAACTTTCATTTATCAAAAAATAATTTCATAGTAAATATTCATATGCCTACTAACCAGATGATTCTACCATTAACATTTTACTAACCTTCTCCTGTCACCTATCTGTCCATCTATCCATCCAGTTATCTATTCTTTAGCCTGTCTTTTTTCATGTGTAAAATTCAGCTTTAAACTCTTTCCATTATAATAAAAATATTCTTAAGTGCTAGATATGATCAATGGTAACATACTTTTTCTTCTTTGATAGACGTAAGACAAAATCTAGTTTTTATTTCTTCTTTAAAAAATATAAACTTGAGGGTCTCCCTGGTGGCGCAAGGGTTAAAGTCAGAGCTAGCAATCCATCACCAGCCACTGCAGCATGAGTTCAATCACTGGCCAGGGAGCTAACCCAATTGGCACAGCAGACCTCTCCTGTCTCGCCCACTCTTCTCAGCAGTGTATTTCAGTGGATCCGCCTGTTCTGCTCCCTACTCTGTCTCTGGTGAATCCTCTCACCACCACCTCCCCTCCCCCGCATCTCTGGCCTGTACCCCCTCCGTTCTTGTATGCATAAATAAATAAATCTTAAAAAAAAAAAAAGAAAGAAAGAAACAGTGGAATTTCCATTTCCAACCAGTGGAAAAGGAGACTTTTCTGTAAATAACTAACCATTTGGAGAAAAAAATTAGATTTGGTACCTGCTTCTTGCAACATGTAAAAGTAAACTTCAGATGGACTAACGGTATAAAGTTTAAAATTTAATACTCAAAAAAAGAAGTGTTAGAAGAAAGAATATTTTAATAATTTAGAAGTAAAGAGTTTCTACATAAAATACAAAATACAGGCATGCTTCTGGGAGTTGTTTTGAGGTTGGCCATGCAGAGCGAGCATGTTGTACAAACAAACTTACTATTCAGATCAGAACAAGGACAAGGAGTTCCTGTACTGGCATGTCATACTGCCCAAGGACATAGCCAGGCTGGTCCCTAAAGCCCATTGGAATCTGAAGGGAGGAGATTTGGTGTTCAACAATCAGGGATGGGTCTACAATATGGTCTGTGAACCGAACCACACATTTTGCCACTGCCCAAGAAGTCAAAGAAATGAAGCCAGGGAGCCACTTTTCAGCGTCAATCTTTACACAACTGCTCTCACTTGCTAACATCTTTCTGATAACATTATTAAACTGCAATTTTTTTTGTTCAATACACTGTTTGACTGCTTTGCTTTGTTGAACAGAGCCAACTGCACCTCTGCCCAGAGAGATACATGCTCTTTGGGCTGCAACCTTGGTTAAGTGTAACCCCATAAGCCACGGTAAGCAGATTACTCTTGGCAAATGGAGGAAGCATCTGAGACCAAAGTCATGCTATTACAGGGATTGTGTAAACTTGCTATTTTGTCTATTTTCCTGCCTGGTGTAAGAATGCTGATTTATGTTTTAATGTACTGAAAAGTTTCTATTTTTTAAATTCCATTTGGAAAATATGAAAAAAGTAAAGAGATAAGTGACTAATAAAAACACACTCAAGGGCCTCCCCGGTGGCGCAGCGGTTGAGCGCTGGGTTGCAAAGCTGCCCGTGGCCTCTTCGGCGCCGGTTCGATCCCCGGCTCCTCCCCAGCCACCGGAGGAGGGTCCCACATGGTGCGCAGACCTCTCCTGCCGCCCGCTGCTCCCCCAAGCAGTGTACTTCGGTCCTTCTGCCTGTTCTGCTCTCTGCTCTGGCTCTGGTGAATTCTCTCACCCTCCCGCGCTTCTGACTGTACCCAGTGCTTGTATAAATAAATAAATAAATCTTTAAAAAAAAAACACACACTCAATAATTCAGAAAACTGCATTAAATTGCAATGTGGAATCTGCAACAGGATTGTCTAATTTGACTATCTTGGCCAGGTCCTCTGCTTCTTCTTCTCTCTTTCCTTTTGCTCTTATTCTCTCCTTCATCTTTTGTTGTTATTGTTTTCATTCGCCCATCAATAGATGCTTGAGTTGCTTCCACGTTTTGGCTACTGTGAATAATGCTGCTATAAAAATGGATACACAAACATTTTGTACTTTGGGGGAGAGAAATAATTTTCTAGATTTAAAGGGCAGTACAACAAAACAATAACAAAAAAAAATCAAAGAGTACAAACAAGTATAAAAATAAATGTTCCCTTCCCTGGAGCTAACAGCTGTCACAGAACATTTCTATGCATATATGTATGCCTATGACTTAACATAGGCAAATTATTCCATCTCAGCTCATAGAGGTGAGTCCATTTTTTTCCCCTTAATGTGTATTATTTATTTATCAAATCTACTACTGATAGACACTTAGATTTTTGCAATCTTTTATATGCTGCAATAAACGAACTTGATCCAACATCTTTGTTCATGTATGTGAGTATGAAAAATTCCTAGATATAGAATAGTTGGGACAAAGTAAATATAAGACTGACAAACTGCCTTTCTCAGCAACAGTGTTTAAGAATGCCTGGTCCAGGGCTTCCCCGGTGGCGCAGCGGTTGAGCGCTGGGCTGGGAAGCTCTGCAGTGCCGGTTCGTTCCCCGGTTGCCAGCCGAGGGTCCCACATGGCGCTCAGACCTCTCCTGCTGCCTGCTGCTCCCCTCAGCAGTGTACTTCATCACTCTGCCTGTTCTGCTCTCCTCTCTGGCTCTGGTGAATTCTCTCACCCTCCTGCGCTTCTGACTGTACCCAGTGCTTGTATAAATAAATAAATAAATCTTAAAAAAAAAAAAAAAGAAGTACTTTAAAAAAAAAGAATGCCTGGTCCATTGTACTTGGGCACTTTATATAACTACCCAAGCCTCATTTTCTTTGTGGCCAGACTCCTGAAGCATTCCTCTTTGCAGCAGTTCCTAAGGGATGCTGCCACCACGGGGGCTTCATTTTAGAAGAGCTCTGTGGTGCTGCTGGAAGCCACCAGCTCCTGCCTGTGGGGCTCAGCCCAAGGGTCCTGATTGCAGACAACCCAGATATTAAAAGGAGTATTTGCTTGAAAAGAAAAATATCTTACAATAAGGATATTTTAAATCCTAAAACGAGGTCATTATCTGTGAGTTTAAAAAAAAAAATGGCTGTAATACATAGTTAATAAATGTTAATTGCAACAACAATAATAGTAATAATGTTTTCAATAATGGGTGACTACTAGGAATATTGATGAATGTCTAAAATTCAGTAAGAAAACGATCAAAAAATTGGTAAAAAATGGTTAATTTCCAAAAGAGGAAACATAAATAACTAATAAATATACAAAAAGATATTCAGTCACAACCAATTAAAGAATAAAGATTAAAACAATATAATGCTTCATTTTTGCCTATTATATTAGAAAATATTAAAAATATGGATAATATTCAGGAATGAGGATGAGATAATTTCCATCCATGTACTTTTTTTTTTTTTAAAGATTTTATTTATTCATTTATACAAGCACTGGGTACAGTCAGAAGCGCGGGAGGGTGAGAGAATTCACCAGAGACAGAGTGGGGAACAGAAGCAGACTGACGAAAAACACTGCTGAGGGGAGCAGCGGGCGTCAGGAGAGGTCTGCGTGCCATGTGGGACCCTCGCCGGGGGCCAGGGATCAAACCGGTGCTGCAGAGGCTGCGGGCAGCTTCGCAGCCCAGCGCTCAACCGCTGCGCCACCAGGGGAGGCCCACCATCCATATACTATTGATGGAAATGGAAACTGGCATAAACATTGTGGGAGGAATTTAAGGTACCTATCAAAAATTTAAACACATTGGGGCCTCCCTCATGGTAGGAAGGGTTAAGTCTCAGCACTATGAAGCTATCTGTAGCCACTGCAACATGGATTTAATCCCCAGCCAGGGAGCTAACCCACATGCACAGCAGACCTCTCCTGTCTTGCCAGCTGCTCCCCTTAGCAGTGTATTTCAGTAGATCCATTTGTTCTGCTCCCCACTCCGTCTCTAGTGAACCTCTCATGCCCCCCACACCTCTGGCCTGCACCCCAGCTCTTGTATACGTAAATAAATCTTTTTTAAAAATGTAGAGACTCCCTGGTGGTGCAAGGGGTTAAGCACCGCACTATGAAGCAATCCACAGTCTCTGCAGCACGAGTTGCATCCCCTGGCTGGCCAGGGAGCTACCCACATGGTGCAGCAGACCTCTCCTGTCTCGCTCACTGGCTGCTCCCTCAACAGTGTATTTCAGTCAGTCTGCCTGTTCTGTCTTTGGTGAATCCACTCACCCCCTACCTCTAGCCTGTATGCATAAATAAATAAATCTTTAAAAATAATTTTAAACACATAAAAAGATCCTCACAGCATTTTTGCTTTTTAGAGTCCAGCCTATGTAAACACTATGTGTGTGTGTGTGTGTGTGTGTGTGTGTATCATGCTGCAGTGAACATCTATGTGTATATACTGCAGCATTATTTGTAACAGCAAAATAGAGTCATCTTCCTAAAAAAAAAAATCCATCGGTAATCTAAATGTTCAGCAGTATAGGAATAAATACTTGTTATATAGTGCTATGGAGAACTATATAGCTATTAAAAAATAATGCATTAAATCTGCATGTTTTGACATAGACAGTTCTGATATTATCACTGAATAAAAAGGCAGAAAAAATATTGCCTGTATATTATCAGTACAAACATATAAAACAAACCTACACACAATCTATGCAAACATAGATTACCTATTTATGCACATAAAAAAATTAAAGTATACAAAACAGTATTATTTCTGCTACCTTTAGAGTTGGGATAGGGAAAAGAAAAATTTTCATAGAACATTTCATATATTTATGAATTGTTAGATTTGTTTTTTACAATGAACATATATTACACTTAGAATTAAAAATCTAACCTAATAACTTTTGTAACTAGTAATAAAATACATTGTCACTAAATAAATATTTATAGAGTACCTATTACATGTATCAAACACAAATGTAGATGCTGATAAGCAAAACTGACATGATCATTAGGATTCAAGTATGAGAGAGAGAGACAGGAAGAGAGACAAAGAGACAGGACAGAGAGAAGAGAAAACAAACACAAGAATTACAGACAGTAATAAGTTAGATGAAAAAAATATATGTAAGTGGTCAGAGTTACAGCCTAGAAAGCTGCTTTATATATAGGCTAGTTGGGTTGCTTTTGAGGAGACAACATTTGAGGTTAAGTGTAAAGTTAAGAAGGAGCCAGTAATGTGGAAATCCAGGGTTAAATGGCCAAGTACACAGGTCCTCTGATGGGAATGACTTGGGATGTTAAAAGAAGAGAAAGAATGTCAGTGGCTGGAGATTACCAACTTCAATAGAACAAAAACAATATGAAATGAGATCTGAAAGGAAGACAGAGGCCAGATCTTATATATAAGTGGGCTTATACTGTCCTTAATAGTTTTCTTAAGGGGTTTTAAATAGTCCCCTTTCCTTCAACTTAATACTCCATGTTTTACACATTATTTATTTACAACCTACTAAGGCAGCTATTCAACTCATACTATATGAGGTTGGTGTGTTTAGATGAATAAATAAGTTAGTTATAAACCTACTTGATGCCCAACATCTGTACCGCTATTCAGATTTATTTTTTTTTTAGTCCACACATAAGTAGTAAAGCTTTGGAGTGATAAAATGTTTTGGTGCCTGTATATGTTCCACACAGACACACACACACCTCACATCCTGGAAAGAAAACCCACTCTCGGGTGTCATTGATAGAAGACTATAGAAAGTGAAGCGCTATTAGCAAGTGATGATTAGGCTGGATAATACCTCCATACATGCATTTAATCCTATATTTTATAAATCCTAGGTACATATTACATGTCATGGGAGAAATTACATACTACAGCAAGACTTGAGAAGCTGGTGTTCTGTAAATACCTGGAAGAACATCAAGCATCCATCTTATTGATCCTTGCACATTTATTTGCAAACTCTTCCTTTACAGATAATTCATAATAATGGTTAACCTGAAGAATAATATGTTCTGAATTTTTGTATTACAATTTAATATTTTATCCATTATGATAATGTCCCTGTATCTGAAATTTTTACCATGTGATGGAGAGAAGGCAAAGTATCTTTAAATTTACCAGTCATCTCTAAAATATAAAAATACCAACCTGTTTTACAGATTAAAGATTTTACTAATCCATATCTAACTAGAAAGCAAATATTCATCTATTGGATATTCTTTTGGGGCAAAATTTTCCTATTTAACTCCAGAATGTAATCTTTAAGAATCTCAAAGCATTTTATACATTTCCAAAGCATTTTACACAGGGAAGTGGACATGTAGAACTGTGAACATCCTTCAAAGAATTCAAGATAATTCTATAATTGCACCTCTGTACACTGACTCCTGTTCAGGTATTACAGCTATTTCTGTTATGGAGCAAGGGTGGGTGATGGGAGGGAGAAAGGTCTGGCCATTTTAAAAAGCTGTCTCATCTCAAAGGTTAGTGTTGGGAAGCGCTGAAGTTTCAATCCCACCTGCTTTTATGTAGTACAAGACAGACTTATTGGGGGAGGAGAGAAGGTGGCCAGAGTCATAAAACTTTTTAGAATGTTTATGAATTAACAGTAAGTACTTTTTAAAAATTGTCTTTTTGGGAACAGATACAGGAAAAATAAATTAGTTAATCGTTCCTAAACTTGGTTGGTTTTATAAAATTGTTTAATCTCAACTTCTTTGTAAAGAAATTCAAATGGTCAGTAAATACATAAGTAAAATATATTGTCAAAACTAAATTTTTTTTAAATGCCCAAGGTTGAAAGGGGAACATGGGAACCCTCATACATTATTAGTGGTAGTATAAATTGTTCAAACTTTGCAAAGGGTAACTTGATATTATGTCACAAAAGCCTTAAAAGAAATTCGTACCTTTTGACCCAGCAATTCCATTTCAAGGAATTTATCCAAGGAATTATTCATAGATGTGTGCAATAATATAGCTAAAAGGAGATTCATAACAGCATTGATTACAACTCCAGATTGGAAATAAATCATGAATAATAAGTAACTAATTTAAATAAAATATGGTACATAAAAATAGAATATTGTCATCAAAAAATACCCGGTATGGTTGAAGATTATTTTAAAAATTTAAGTCATTTTGTCTAATCAAAAATCTCCAATGGCTTTGCAAGTCACTTGGAAAGAAATCTAAAACTTTATTATGACCTAGAAGGCCATATTTGGTGTGTGGTTCCTGCTCCCTCTTTGACCTCATGGAGGACCATGCTCCCTTTCTCATTCAACTCTTTTGCTCTCATTCAAGCATAACCAAGCAACTTCAGTTTCAGAACATTTGCACTTGCTGTTCACCTCGGCCTGGAGCACTTGTCCTTTCCTTGGCTCTATAGAGCCTACATGTTCACTTCCAGAGAGGACATCCTGTCAATCTATGTTCTTGCATGCCTCCTTTTTCTTCATTGCATTCATCATTACCTGATAAATTATACAATTATTTCTAGTCTGTCTCACTTCATTATGATGTAAATTCTATGAGAACAGGGTTTTGTTTTACATACTGCTGTATTTCTAGTGCCTGGAACAGTGCCTGGCTTAAAATAGGAATTCAGGAAATACACTGAATGAATTTGTTGAATGAATGAATGAATGACATGGAAAATAATCCTTACACATTAAGTAAAAAATTAGAGAGATGCAAAATAAAATGTACAGTATGATTTCATTCTCTAGATATCCACTGAAGAATAGGAAAAAAGGCAAGAAAGATGTCATTCAAAATGTTAGCAGTATTTAAAATTTCACAGGCTTACAGGTACTTTATATAGTTGCTTTTCTATTTTGTAAAGTTTCTGCTACAAACTAGTATTATCTATATAAGAGAAAAAAAGTTCTACTTTTTAAAGTAATAAATAGCAACCTACCAGGCCATTTAAGTTCTTTATGTTGTTTCTTCCTAAAGACAGTATCCTCAAGTTTTCTGTAATGGAAAAAAAAGCAATTTTTTGTTTATGAGAATCAAAGTTCACAATTTTTGAAAATCTGTATAGCAAAGCTTTAATAAACTTTATATAATAAATATCTTTATATAATGAGCATGGCAGGGCCTCCCTGGTGGCACAAAGGGTTAAGATGCAACCTATGAAGCTGTACGCAGCCTCTGCAGCACAAGTTCGATCCCCCGGCTGGCCAGGGAGCAACCCACATGGCACAGCAGACCTCTCCTGACTCACCAGCTGCTCCCCTCAGCAATGTACTTCGGTCAATCTGCCTCTTCTATTCCCCATTCTGTCTCTGGTGAATCCTCTCATTCCCCCCCTCCACACCTCTGACCTGTACCCCAGCTCTTGTATGCATAAATAAATAAATCTTAAAAAAAAATAAATAATAAGCATGGCAGACTGCATTAATAAAAAGTAGTAATCAACTAAGAAATAACACTGACCTATCATCTAAGGTAAACACTACAACTATAATTTCACCTCACACCAGTATTCAATTTTAAAATGGCTAGCTATTTAGGATGCATCATTTTAAATTTCTGGCTAGTAAAAATATTACAGGAGTGAAATAAGAGTAAAAAATACTTTAATTTTAAATTTGGGAGCTTATATATTTCAAATCTCTTATAAAATAGAACTTATACCAGAAAACAAAAATATATTTATGTATATTTCACCTCACTCCATAAAGGATTAGAAGTGTAATCAAATATCAGTGTAAAAAAATAATGACAATACAAAACACAACAAAACAAAAACAATTATAAATCAGAGACATCCTGCAGGGGAGGAGGAGAGAGGGGGAGGGAGGAGTACAGGGGACTGTGGTGATGGTGCACGGGTGCATTGGTGAAGGAAATTCTATGGGGTCTACACCTGATTTGGGGTGGAGGATGCAAATACTGTTTAAAAATGAACAATGGGGCCTCCCCAGTGGCACAGCAGTTGAGCGTTGGGCTGCGAAGCTGCCTGCAGCCTTTGCAGGGCCTGTTCGATCCCTGGCCAGCCTGCGAGGGTCCCACATGGCGCGCAGACCTCTCCTGCCACACCCGCTGCTCCCCTCAGCAGTGTATTTTGTCAGTCTGCCTGTTCTGTTCCCCACTCTGGCTCTGTTGAATTCTCTCACTCTCCCGTGCTTCTGACTGTACCCAGTGCTTATATAAATAAATAAAAAAATCTTTAAAAAAAAAAAAGAACAATGATGTAAAAAATGAATTTAAAAAATCCAAAGAAATAAAAAGAAATGAATAAATATTAGTTAAAACCCATTGCATGAAAAAAAAAATTGCATGACGATATACAAGATTATCCATTTTCACTACTGCCATAGCCATAATTTTATGAAAACAATTGCATGTTATCTGTCATGATAATATTATCAATGTAGTTTCATTTACGCGAATTATTTCAATTACAGAAAAAGACAATGAGGTAGAGGATAAAATGAAATGTTAAGAAGGGCTTCCCTGGTGGTGCAAGGGGTTAATAAGCACAACACTGTGAAGCTATCCTCAGCCTCTGCAGCATGAGCTGGAGCCCCACCCAGGGAGGTGACCCACATGGTGCAGCAGACCTCTCCTGTCTTGCCCACTGCTCCCCTCAGCAGTGTATTTCAGTCAGTCTGCCTATTCTGCTCCCCACTCTGTCTCTGGTGAATCCTCTCACCGGCTACCCCTACCCATCCCACTCCCGTACCTCTGGGCTGTACCCCAGTTCTTGTATGCATAAATAAATATTTTTTAAAAATGAAATGTTAGAAATTGCTTAATGAGTCAGTAAAAAATTGGAAAAGATTGAGTTATCTTATGCATGGCTCTTGTAAATAAAAGCTTCATGTCTAGCACTATATAAATACTGAATGAGTTAGGTACTAGGGGAATGGAGATTTGAAATAGAAAATAAAAGGATTAATAAAATGTAATACTTGCCCTCAAATAACTCATTATCTGAAGAGACAGAACATATTCCTCACTAACTATAATAAATACTAATATTTCTTGAGCATTTACATGCACCAGGCACTATTCTAAACAGTTTATGTATGCTAATTCATTCATCACAATAAGTACATTAAATAGGTAATTTTTTATTATAATCTAAGGTAGACGTTAGTAAGTTTTCCCAAAGGAGATCAGAAATATAAAAATAAAATTTATTTAAAAAAAAAAGGTGATTAGAATCTTTAGAGGGAGAGATATTTTAAAATAATAATTCTTATTCCTTGTCTCTTTATAGATTTTCCTTTTAGAAAAAGGAGCTGTTCTCAGGGAAAAACACTGCATTAACGGCACAAAATCACAAAAACAATGAAGTGCTTCAGTGTGAACAGAGAGGCATAGGCTTTTAGAAGACTCTGAATACACCGAATGTAACATTATGCTATTTGGTCTTTATCAGGCAAGGAGAGCCATTAGAGGTCTCTGATATGAAAGAATGATGATGAGAATAATGTTTTCAGAAAGAAAACTTTGGTATCAGTGCTGAAGGTCAACTGAAGAGCAGAAAGATAGGAGACAAAAGGAATCAGGAGGCTATCACAAAAGTCATGAAGACAGTGTTTTTCAAACTGTGTTTGTGGGTCATATGAAATCAACTTGGCTGTGATAAGCATTTAAAAAGCAGAAGTGGGCCTCCCCTGTGGCGCAGCGGTTGAGCACTGGGTTGCGAAGCTGCCTGCAGCCTCTGCAGTGCCGGTTCGATCCCCGCCTGCTCCCCGGCCACCGGAGGAGGGTCCCACATGGCACGCAGACCTCTCCTGCTGCCCGCTGCCCCCCTCAGCAGTGTACTTCGGTCCTTCTGCCTGCTCTGCTCCCCGCTCTGGCTCTGGTGAATTCTCTCACCCTCCCGTGCTTCTGACTGTACCCAGTGCTTGTATAAATAAATAAATAAATAAATCTTAAAAAAAATAAAATAAAAAGCAGAAGTAAAATTGAAAAAAATTTATACAGGAACTTATGCTATCAAGGCAACTGTTCTGCAAACTTTATTTCAGTTCATATGTGTATATTTCATATGTGTTTGCCATGTACTGAGCCATAAATTTAAATACATTTCTTACTGTGGAAAATGGTCAAAAATATTTTACAAACATGATCTAAGCAGGACATGATCAGGCTCTAAATTAAAGCGGCAGCCTCTAGAAATGAAGAAGCAACAAATTATTTGAGAGTTCTTTCAAAGAGCAAACAAGACTTAGTGACAAGCTTGGATGCAGAGTTTGAAGGAAGTGAAGGATGAAAATGGTAGACTAACTAATGGTTCACAGAAATTAAATAAATAAATAACCTACGTCCTAATCCCTGGAACATGGGAATGTTACTTTATATGGAAAAAAAAGTACTTTGCAGATGTGATTAAGTTAGGGATCTTGAGATGGGGAAAATATCTTTGATTTCCCAGGAGTTCTCTAAATGCAATCACATGTATCCTCACAAGAGGGAGGCAGAGAAAGATTTTACACAGACAAAACAGAAGCCAGTATGAGCGAGAGGCACAGATGGGACCAATGCCAGGGAACATGTTAGCTATCAGAATCTGGAAGAGGCAGGAAACAAATTCTCCCTTCTAGAGGAAGTACAATTCTGTCAGAACTTCAGTTTTGGCCCAGTAAAACTGATTTCAGACTTTGAGTCTCCAGAACTGTGGAAGAATACATTTCTGTTGTTTTAAGCTACCAAATTTCAGCAGCCATGGGAAACTAGCCCAAGGAGTCAGAGACCTTGGCAACTAGGAGGGTGGTGATGTCATTAACAAAGATAAGGAGTACAGGAAAAACAGGGATGGTAAAGAATTAAAATTTAAGTATAACAAACTGAAACACACACAAGACATTCAGATATAAAATAAAATATCTGATTTTCTACTTATTCTAATTCTATCTCATCTAATTCTAATTTCAAAATGTCTTTAAAATGTTCAGGTCTCATGTTAACTCTAACTTTCTTTGGCTAATCAAACCTAAGGTGCATGGCTTATATATTTTCTCTGTCTACCAAATACTGTGGTTAAAACAGGTGTCAGCACCTGGAATTATATAATATCCCTGGAATTCTTATTATTCCAATAACTAGAAAATTTAAGAACCATATGTTACTGTGGATCACTTACTTAAACCATTCAGGTTGGCAATTTTTTCAATGCAGTTTGTAGACAGTGAAAGTTTCCTTTAAAAAAACATAGAAAATTTTGAATTACTATGAACAATTTTAAATGGGATATCAGAAATTATTCCTCAAGTACCAAGAGATGATATTTAAGTTATATATCTTTTTCACACTGAATCCTTCTCAGACATGGAATGTATTCTTTCATTTTGAAGTCTTCATGTTTTTTTAAATCTTATTACAATTTCACACTCATGGTAGAAAATTCAAAATAACCATTGTGAAGGCAAATTGGTATTATTAAAATTTTTTGTGCATATATTCTTTGACCTATTCTTCCATTTCCAGGAATAGATCCTATGGAAATACTAATACAAATGTCAAAAACAAAAGAACTAGATAATTCATTATATTATCATAAAAACAGAAAAATCCATAAATGTCCATCAACTCAGGAATAGATAATGAAATACTATGCTGTCACTAAAACAAATAAGACTGGGTTAGAAATACTGATCTGGGAAGATGTTCACAATATGCAGTGTCAAAAAAACATCTAACAGAACAATATTCTTTATATCAACCCCTTTTTTGTAAAAAATCAGATCCACATATATATGCATATGTGGAGATTTCATTTTCTCATGAAAATGTTAAATCATTTTTCATGAAAGTGCTAAATCATTCAGAAATACATATTTCTCATTTTAAGAAGTCATATGTACCCTAACAATCCCACATATCCCCCCAGAGAGAACTCCTTTTAATAGTTGGTATATATTTATCTAGAATTTTTCTATATATATTTTAATTGTATAAAAACCAAATGTTTATGGTAACATAATTAACGATTCTTAGTCTTCTTTTTTTAACAAATTGTTTAATATTTTTATTAGTCATGTGAATACATATAAATTTCATGCAAAAATATAATAAAAGCTAATTTTATCAACACTTAATGTGTGTCCCACATTCTATGTACTTTACATACATTAACTATTTTAAATATCACAGCAATCATGTGAAATAAACATTATTATAATCCTTATTTGCAAATGAGGAAATTGAGGCACAAAGATGTTAAGCAATTTGCCTAATACTATACAGCCAGAAGAAACTGGCCTAGCTGAATTTAAAACCCAAAAAATTTGACTGTAGAACATGTGATCTTACCTCTCTGATTTGATCTGGAGAGAAAATTATTCATTTTTTTGCTTGAAACAGCAAAAGCATAACTATACAACATAAATTACTAGTCAAATCCACATATTTTCTTGTCATGCCCCTCTTCCAAGAATCACCAGTGAAAAATGGAGTGCCTTACTCTGGAAATATGGGTGGGGAATAATTGTTTAGTTCTTGTTTAGATGATCTTCCCAAAGAGACAATCAACAAAAATATGGACAGCGTGACTCTTTCTAAGCCATTTCAAGGTACTTTAGTACCTTGGTACTGGGTACAAAAGCTTCTCAAATGTTTATCTTTGAGATGATCTTCTGATAAAAAGATATTTGACCACTGTGAAATTAAGCTTTTTTGAAATCATGCTTTTGAAGCCAAGAAAACATTTAAGATGGATGTTTATGTAATACACTGTGCTCTTACCACAACAAGAAGTTGCATAAAATAACAAACCATGTTTGCTTTTCCCTTTAGTTCCAAAGACAGATATTAACCTAAGAGACAGGTTCACAAATATGGGTCCAAAAGTCACCCAAGTGTAAATACAGATTCCTAGGTTTCATCAGTAAATATTCTTTTTCTCTAAATTTGGGGCAGGGCTTACCTCCTGCCTGAGGAGATTCTTATGTATATAGTCAGAGGACCACACTAGAAAACTCAGGATGAAGAAATGAGGAAGAACTTTGATTCTCAAACATTCAAGAAACACTGCAGCCTTACAGCACACAAGGTATCATAATATAATTGTTTCAAAGTAGTCACAGATTCCTGCTAAAAGTGTGTAGAATATTCAGAAATTAAGTTAAAATAAATTAATATAAATCTAATACTTAAAGGCATGGGAAAATAGGATAAAAGAGTGTGCCTTAATCATAATTAGAAAAAAAATTCGAAGGCATTACATCAAAATGTTAGCACAGATTCTTAAAAGGTGGTTCAATTTTGGTTGATTGTGGTTTTTTTCTAGGTGTTTTACAATACATTTTTATAATTTGAAAAGTTCTTTTAAAGCAGTATCTCTCAGGCCTCTAATTTAAAGTATAGTACTGACTTTGGTAGATAATTTTATTAGAGAAAGAAGTAGATTTTGGGCCTCCCCTGGTGGCGCAGTGGTTGAGCGCTGGGTTGGGAGGCTGCCTGCAGCCTCTGCAGCACCAGTTCGATCCCCAGCCACCGGCGAGGGTCCCACAAAAAAAAAAAAAAAAAAAAAAAAAAAAAAGAAGTAGATTTTATGATAAAGTAATAGTTTTATTGTGTTATTTTGCTTTTCCTAAGAATCTAGGAAATTTCTATTTTCCAGGTATATTATAAAAACTGTACTATAAAAAATATTATATTGTTCAAATTCTTCTGTAATAATCCTATAAATCAATAATCTTTGATGTTTGGCCTTACCCAAGGGAGAATAATATTAAGCAAACAAAAAAAGAAATAAAGATCACATATAAAAATGTATTTTTTCTAGTCTGTGTAATTAGAAAGGAAGGGAAACTTAATAGCAATACTAGAAGGATGAGGAAAAACAAGAGAACTTACTCGCAATTAGCAAGTGTGGACAAGGATGCATCCATCTTCTCTATAGGAGGGATCTGGGCATAAAGCTTTATCTCTTTGGCTTCTGATGGCTTCTGACTGGTTTTTTCTTCCTATGATATAAGTAAATTTGAAAGAAAATGATCCCTGATTGTAATGTGGAACTCTTAAAGGCCAGAATTTCCCAAGACTTTTCAATGTTTATTTCCAAACAACTATTTCAATTTAATTACTGTGCATTCCTTACCATTCACTTATTGACATTTATTTAGTGAACTTGTTAACTAAAGTAAATTATTCATGTCTACATGAATGATTCAAATAATTCATTCTTAGGTCCCAACCAAATGGAAAGAAGGAAGAAAGAAAAGAACTTTTATTTCTATAATATTTTAAATCCCCTAAGAGTTTAACAATTACTAAAGAAAAAGAAAACACAACAACAAAAACATTTTCCTGGGAAAAATTCCTTTTCCTTAAACAACGTTTTCTTAATTATAAAATTCAGACCTGTGAGATCAACTGTTTTGTCATCTAGTCTTCCACAGTGCAACCTGAGCTAGAACAATAAAATACCAAGAATTTATATTCTTGGTATATTCTCTTTACAACACAGCTGAGATTAAAGATATTAGCTCTACAAAATTTACTAGTAAATTCTACCTTAAGAGTTTAATTTCAGTACTAAGAACACAATTTAAATTTTAATTATCAATATATACCGCCTAATAATATTTTGAAAGTACTTCAATAGTTTGTTGTGTCTCTCCAACAAAACAGGAAGTTTCTAAAGTTCAAAGACCATTTCCTTTGCACTCCTATCTTTTCTATCACCTAATGCAATGTAAGACACAAAAACAGAGTCATTCTAAAAATCTAATCATCAAACACCACTAATAGAAAATCTACAACCACTTGAAAGGAAGATATCTAAGGCATATCCACTCAGTATTTACTACCTAGTAGATTCCCAATATATGTTGGGTTAATCAGTGAAAGAGTGAACTTGATGTCTTAAAGTAATCTTACATGTCAGAGATTTGGGGTTAGTGTGGTATAACAGATACCTAAAGAGGTGTGAGCCTATGTCTCTGAATCATATACAGTGTTGGAAACCAGTATTACAAAAATGTGAAAAAGTTTTAAAAATAAATCTCTGTGCTAAAAAAGAATAAACAAATTGGGGCCTCCCTGGTGGCACAAGGGGTTAAGCACCGCACTATGAAGCAATCCACAGCCTCTGCAGCATGACTTCGATTCCCAACTGGCCAGGGAGAAACCCACATGGCGAGGCAGACCTCTCCTGTCTCACCCACTGCTCCCCTCAGCAGTGTGTTTCAGTCAGTCTGCCCGTTTTGTTCCCCACTCTGTCTCTCTCACCCCCTGTATCTCTGGCCTGTACCCCAGCTCTTGTATGCATAAATAAATAAATCTTTAAAAAAAAGTTAAAAAAAAAATAAACACAGATTTATGACCACAATACAATCTAGAAATAGAACCTAAAAACTGAAACAAAAAACTACCACTTGTTATTATAAGTAAATAAAGTTCTGAAATCTGATTCAAGGACAACAGAATCTCATATTAAGCCTATTCCATACCACTTTTTGTTTTTTAATTTATTTTTATTTTTTTAAGACATTTAAGACCTTTAATGGAAGGGAACTTTATTTTTTTTTTAAAGATTTATTTATACAAGAACTGGGGTACAGACCAGAGGCAAGGGAGGGTAAGAGAATTCACCAGAGACAGAGCGGGGAGCAGAACAGGCAGACGGACCAAAGACACTGCTGAGGGGAGCAGCTGATGAGACAGGAGAGGTCTGCCACACCATGTGGGTATCTTCCCAGCCAGCCGGTAATCAAACCCGCACTGCAGAGGCTGGGGACAGCCTCACAGCGTGGTACTCAATCCGCTGCACCACCGAGGAGGTCTTCCATACCCTTTTTTAAACAAAATATTTTTTCACTAAAAATTTAACCAAACAGAAGTGAATTTTAAAAATCCAATTATTAGAGTACAAAGAAATTTTTAAACATTAAAACAATATTTCAAAAATTTCACTATTCTATTCACTTTATCTATTTTCCCTAAACATCAAGTATCCTGGAGTATTTTTTATTCAAAGTCCATAATAAAAGGAAAATATGTATTATGATGCAAAAAACTACTGGTAATGTATACAAGTAATCACTAGGCATAGAAATTAAGGGGCCAGGGCCTCCCCTGGTGGCGCAGCGGTTGAGCACTGGGCGCAGCCTCTGCAGCACCGGTTCGTTCCTCAGCCACCGGCGAGGGTCCCACAAAAAAAAAAAAAAAAGAAAAGAAATTAAGGAGCCATCTGTATACTTTATGGAAATTCTATCATGTTGAATTACAACTGTTGAAACAGAATTTTTTATTCAATATTTATAATTTATATTTAATGCACTTTACAAAGCAGTTTCTTTTTAATATTGCTATGCATTTTAGTATATTTTTCCAGCTTTACTGAGATAAAATTGACATATAGCACTGTAGAAGTTTAAGGTGTATAAAATGATGATTTGATAAATGTATATGCTGCAAATGATTACAATAATAAGATTACTTAATACATCCATTACCTCACATGATTACCTATTCTATATGTATGAAAGAGAACATTTAGCAAAGCTAATCAACTTTCAAGTATGTAATAACAATATAATTATTACATAATTACAATCATCATGCTATATATTAGATTCTCAGAATTTATCTTATCACTGGAAGTTTGTATCCTTTGACCAGTATCTCCCTATTTCTCCCCATTCCAACCCCTGGCGACTACTATTCTACTCTATTTCTATGAGTCCTGCTTTTTTAGAGTTCAAATACTGGTGAGATCACACAGTACTTGTCTTTACAGTGCATTCAAGGTCTATCCATGTTGTCAAAAATGCAGGATTTCCTTTTTTATGGCTAAGTAATATTATACTGTGTATATGAATGTATGTACACACACACATTTTCTTTATCCATTCACCCATCAATGGACACTTAAGTCCATATCTTGGCTTTTATGCATAATGCCGCAATGACCATGGGGTACAGATATCTATTCAAGATAGTAATTTCATTTATTTCAGCTATATATCCAGAAATGTGATTACTGGGTCACATGGTAGTTCTGTATTTAATCTTCTGAGAAACTTCCACACTGCTTTTCCACAGTGGCTGTATCAACAGACATTCCCATCAACAGTGCACAAGGGTTTCTTTTCTCCTCATCTTTGCCAACCTTTGTTATCGCTTGTCTTTTTGATGATAACTACTCTACCAGATGTGAGGTAATAGCTGTCATTTTGATGCATTTCCATGATGATTACTGATGCTGAGCATCATCTTAGTATTTTTATTGCATATCGTTTCAGCTTTGATTTTCATTTGTCCATGTTGGCTGTCTCTGTTCTAACCTCCAAGAGGCTAAGCCATCATCTACCTAAAACCTAGATAATCCACAATATATACCACTCTAGCACCTGAAAATGACATATATTTTAATGATAATAAAGTTGAAAAGAAAATGTACTGTAACACTGAGATTTCAGTCCTTTTACTTACAGTGTCAGATGAATCAGACTTTCCATATTAAAATGTTTCCAGGTTAGATTTTTTTAATTGAAATTTTATTGAGATATTAGAAGATCTACCTACTGTTATAAAAACAAATACAAAGATATCCCTTGTATTGTTTGCCTGTTTTCTCCAAAGGTAACATTTTGCAAAGCTATAGTATAATATCACCACAGGATATTGATGTTGATACAATCCACTGATTTCATTCAGATTTTCCTAATTTTACTTGTTGTCATTTGTACATATGAGTATGTATGTGTTTGTATGTATTTATTAAGTGCTATACAATTTTACTACCTGCGTAGGTTAATGAATATCACCAAAGTCAAGACAGCTAAAGAGTTCCAGTACCACAAAGATGCCTTATATTGAATGGTCAGATTTAAATAACTATCCCAAAATTTTCCTTGTATGGTTTCTAAAAGAAGTAAAAACCGGGCCTCCCTGGTGGTGCAAAGGGTTAAGCACCGCACTATGAAGCAATCCACAGCCTCTGCAAAACAAGTTCGATACCCTGCTGGCCACATGGCAAAGCAGACTTCTCCTATCTCGCCAGCTGCTCCCCTCAGCAGTGTATTTCAGTCATTCTGCCTGTTCTGTTCCCCATTCTGTCTCTGGTGAATCCTCTCACCCCCCCTGCATCTCTGGCCTGTACCCCAGCTCTTGTGTGCATCAATAAATAAATATTCTTTAAAAAAAAAAAAAAAAGAAGTAAAAACCCATTTACTCACCCATCTGGCTAGGGCCTCTTTGATTGTTGTTGCTTTTGCCTTAAAAAGAGAAGGAAAAAAAAACAAGGCTGTGTTTATCGGTGTATGATTTGGTGATTCAATTTTCATGGTGTGATGTCTACCATTACAGGGCTAACTTCTTTCTTTGAGATATTAATACAAAGAGAGAGTTTTAGTTGTGAAATCAGAATGATTTATTTAAATACATTTTAGAGAAATTAAGGAAATCATGATGAAATTAGTGCCCATATACTTCATTTCCACTTGGTTAACAAAAACTATATAGTTTTCAACACTTGATGTTAAAATATATCTTATTTCAATGATTCTAAGATCTATATATTTTTTACATGTTAACATCTTGGAAATTTGGATGCATCTTACAATCAGGAACAACTTACAATGGCTGTAGCAGGAGGCTACATGTGAAGCCTTAAAAAATATTAACCCTTTATACACAAACACATACACACACATGCATATAGGTTTACAATACATATATACACACACATACTTAAAAATGTGTCGCAAATATGTATTTGTTTGCAAATAATGACCTACAATAAAGATATATATACTGAAATACATTTAAAAGAACTCTGTCAATAAGTAAAAGATAGAAATTCTGAGTCTTGATGTATTTATCATAGCTTAACTCCAACCTATTTTTCTTACAACATGAAATAATGTACCTTATAAAAAAGTACTTTACAGTCAATATATTTGAAACTTTGAAGTTGACCAAAGGAAGATATCATTAATGAATTATTGCTGGAGTTATTTTTAAAAAGAGAGAGCTATTTTTAAAAAGAGAGAGATAAAGCCCAAGCAATAACAAAAGGAAAGTATTTCATGTATATACCATTTCGACATACTAATAAATAACCATTGGGTGAAAAAAGAAAATTATAAAACAAAAAAAAAAGGGAAAGAGAAAGAAGTCAAATGTTGAGAATAACACTAAAAAGGAAACTTATAACCTCAAACACAGTTATCAGAAAACATGAAATAGAAAAAAGTAAGCTAAATATTCAAGATATTGAAAAAGTACAGCATTGCAAGCCCCACAAAGGCAGAGGGAAGCACAAGGGAAGGAGTCAATGAAAAATACAACAGGGAAGAAGAATAAATTTAAAGCTAGTTCTTTCTGGCAAGCCTGATAAACCAAGAAGGAGAGATATACAAATTAAACATATAAAATGAATAAGGAAAAATAATTACAGATGCCACAAAGATTTAAAAAATAAAATAAGCAAACATATGATAATAAGTTTGAAAACCCAGACAAGGTATATATTTCTGAAAACAAAACAAAACATTAAAAACAGAACTGCCAAACTGTCTTAAGATGTCTCAGAAAATGTGAATAGTCCATAATCATTTAAAGGATAAAAGATAAAGAAGATATACCTTCATCCTTCTCCCCTATAACTCCAAGCCTAGATAATTTTACAGGTGAGTTCTAACAAGCTTTCAAAGAACAGATATTCCATTATACAAGCTGTTTCAAAAACCAGAAAAAGGGGAAAATGGCCAACTTATTTTATGCAGCTAGAATAAGCTTGATGCCACAACCAGATAAGAAGATCCCTTTACTTTAAAACATTTATTTGAAAATTCTAACTATAACATTAGCTCTCCAAAAATCAATGATATACAAGAATCATGATCAGGAATGGCTTATCCTAGGATCATAAGGATTTATTGACCTACAGGAAAATCTATTGTCAGCTAATATAGTTAAATTTATATAAGTTAAATTATATATAAGGTATATATTTGGTGACAATTACTAAGGAAAAAAAGACAGTGAGCTTTGTAAGGGACATTGGAGTGTGTGTATATCTAATACACATAAGGCACTCTAAAAATTCAAAACAAGGAGAAAAGTGGAAAAGCAGGTAAACATATGTAAACAGAAAATATAGAAACCGAAATCCAGATGACTAACAAGAGGTGTTTAAACTCAATGAAAATCATGGGCCTCCCCGGTGGCGCAGCGGTAGAGCGCTGGGTTGCGAAGCTGCCCGCAGCCTCTGCGGCGCCGGTTCGATTCCCGGCTGCTCCCCGGCCACCGGAGGAGGGTCCCACATGGTGCGCAGACCTCTCCTGCCACCCGCTGCTCCCCTCAGCAGTGTACTTCGGTCCTTCTGCCTGTTCTGCTCCCCGCTCTGGCTCTGGTGAATTCTCTCACCCTCCCGCGCTTCTGACTGTACCCAGTGCATGTATAAACAAAACAAATGAACAAACAAATAAATAAATAAATAAATAAAACATGCCTCTATAAAAAAAAAAAAAATAAATAAAAAAAAATAAAAAAAAAAAAAATAAACTCAATGAAAATCAGAGAAATACAAAGTAAAATAATAGGATACTAAAATACATCCTCAAATTGGCAAAAGTTAGAAAGTCAGTGAGAAAGCAGAGAAATGGGAACTCTCATGCATTAGTGAGGAAATAATAACTAGTAAAGGCATTCTAGAAAGCAGTCTGACAGTGCCAAGGAAAACTATACATAAATCCTATGACTCCAACATTCCACTTCTGGATATATTTCCTGGAGAAATACTTACATGGATCCATAAAATGAGACATACAAGAAACCCTTTCAAAACATTATGGAAGCAAATTGGAAGCCATCTAACCACCTACTATGGTAATATAGAGTTGGTTAAAAAGCCAATAGTTCCCCCTATAGAAACTCAAATTCCTAAAGGACCATTGGACATTATTAACAGGTAAAACTGGCCATATGAAGAGGAAAACCTCTACTCAGCCCTAGACAAGTGCTGGCAGGTGAAATTTGGGATAATAGTTGCCCTAATATCACATTTCTTCAAATATGAAAACTCTAATAATTGAAAGAAACGCCCTTATTTTATGTATCAGTAAGAAAGGAAATATGCTGTCAATTATATAACACCATCACAGTTCAGTTATATCAAAATGTAGGTAGGATGGTGAAATATGGTAGTTTTGATTTTTCAGAGGAAGCAAAAACCTGGGTTTTGATGTGAAATATGACAATTTTTAAGACATTAAAAGCTAATTAGGGCCTCCCTGGTGGCGCAGCAGTTGAGCGCTGGGTTGCGAAGCTGCCCGCAGCCTCTGTGGCGCCGGTTCAATCCCTGGCTGCTCCCCGGCCACCGGAGGAGGGTCCCACATGGTGTGCAGACCTCTCCTGCCGCCCGCTGCTCCCCTCAGCAGTGTACTTCGGTCCTTCTGCCTGCTCTGCTCCCCGCTCTGGCTCTGGTGAATTCTCTCACCCTCCCGCGCTTCTGACTGTACCCAGTGCTTGTATAAATAAATAAATCTTAAAAAAAAAAAAAAAAAGAAAGAATAAAATATTTTTTAAAAAAAGCTAATCAAAACATTTTTATAAACTGTGTAGGTCTGTATTTCTGTTATTTTTTTTAACTTTCCTTTTTATTTATTTATTTTTTAAAGATTTATTTATTTATTTATACAAGCACTGGGCACAGTAAGAAGTGCGAGAGGGTGAGAGAATTCACCAGAGCCAGAGTGGGGAGCAGAGCAGGCAGAGGTACCGAAGTACACTGCTGAGGGGAGCAGCAGGCGGCAGGAGAGGTCTGCGCGCCATGTGGGACCCTCCTCCAGTGGCCGGGGGGGAGCAGCCGGGAATCGAACCGGTGTGCAGAGGCTGCGGGCAGCCTCGCAACCCAGCGCTCAACCGCTGCGCCACCGTGGAGGCCCTAGGTCTGTATTTCTGAAAGACCCCAGCTTGTAGTCTCAACTACAAAGACCAGCTTGTAGTCTCAACTAGCTTCATCTAATTACTGGTTCTGATATTCTATTTGAAGATTTTTTTTATTTGAAGATTTTTAATAATTTTCATGGTTCATACTTTCAGAATTATTTAGGGTTGATTCCCCACCTGAAATATAAACCTAGATTCTATAATTTTATACTTCTCTTGGCAATAGCTTTCAGCTAAGTGCCTATGCAATAAAGTAAGTAAATCAGTTGGGGAAACTACTTTCTAAAGATGGCATTTAATCTTGTGATTGAGGATGGGTATGACATTCTCAACATTTTAATTTCCTGAACTCAATTTCTCCCTTCTTCTATACAATTGGAATCACAAAAAAGACAACAATTACACTTACTCTTCATAAACATCTCCACGGGACAGGGCAATCACACACATTTGCTTATGATTTCATCATAAAAAAACTTTGGCTAGGCCGCTGATAGATTTCAAATCTAAGGCAGTATTTCTCAAAGTGTGGGGCGGTGCCCTCCAATTTTAGCATCACTTGAGGTGCGTTGTCCAAATGCATATTCCTGAGCCCCTTCCGAACCCACCTCCGTCCCCAATCACACTAAAAATTCATAATGTTCACTCCCACAAGCTCATACTTAGGCCGAGTGAAGCCACACATATGCATACTGTAATTTGAGAAATACTGCCCTAACATTCTATCAGAGTGGGTTTTACAATGTTAACCTAATAACACTCAATTCAGAGAGCAACCTGGGGACTTTACAGGTTTCCAATACTGCGGCAATCGGATTAACACACTCTCCTCCCCTAACCAGCATTTCCCCCATCTCGCTAGGGAAGAAAATCACTGCTCTGTGAAGAAATATCCTAATTCACACCCTCCCTTCCATCATCTTTCCCACTCCAATCGCTCTTTTTAGATAATTTCAAGCTCTTTGTCTTCCTTTTTCTCTGCCAGAGTCCCTCCACTCTAGCACAATCTCCAATCCGTCCCAGGCCGCCCTCATCCCAAACCATCCCCTGCCAGGGTGTCTCTCTCGCCTCAGGCCTCTGACTCCACGGATGTAGTGTCCGCTACTCGTTCCCTTCCGTTGTTCGAAGACCCCCATCCTCAGCCTCAACACTTCACGGTCACCCTTTTCCACTTCCAACCTCCTCTCAGTTTCGGCTTGAAGGCCCTGAGGGTACTCACCATTCCGGCCGTTGCTACTGTCACTGCTCTGGTTGCTAGGGCCCGGCGGGGTCAGTGCGCGTGCGCACTTCCCCCAGCTCGCCGCGGATCCCAGCCGCGGTCCTTTCTCCCCGCCCTCGGGTGGCGCGAGCAGAGCATTGTGGGACGCTGCGGCGGCCGCCAGGGTCCTGCTGCCCGGCTGCCACTGGCTTCCCAGGGGCCGCCGCGCTGCTGCGGGCGACTCGCGTGGCTCTGGCGCTAACCGCGCAGAGTGGTCGGGAGGCGTGCTCTTCCCTACCGAAAGCAGGTTCATCTAATCTGGAGTGACGTACCTGCCCGCAGTCTAAAACTTTAAAACCTCCCTATAACGATAGGCCCTCCCATAAAAGAACTTATATAACTCGCCTTCCCTGCAGCTTGCCTTTCCGTCTTCTCCAGACTGCCTGTGTAATTTACCTGGCCATCCAACTGAGCTATCCGGAGCTAAACGCAGTTGAAATTCTTAGGTTTACTTCCTCCAGAACCCCAGGGAGCCAGCCAGAAAGCCCCACCTGTCAAATTTTAGCCAAAAAGTGTAAAAATACTCAAGAGTTGCTAAGGGCATGGAGAACTACATGTACTATTTATAATTGATAGAGACTATGGCGGGGTGGGGTGGGGACTGTTGATAATATGTATTAAAAGCTTTAAAACCTTTCGCACCTCTTGACCGAAGAGTTCCACTTCGAGGACTTTATCCCAAAGAAATAATCAGACAAGTGCACAGAGACATAAATTCAAAGTTTAATAGCAAAAATAGGGCCTCCCAGGTGGCGCAGCGGTTGAGCGCTGGGTTGCGAAGCTGCCCGCGGCCTCTGCGGCGCCGGTTCGATCCCCGGCTGCTCCCCGGCCACCAAAGGAGGGTACCACATGGCGCGCAGACCTCTCCTGCCGCCCGCTGCTCCCCTCAGCAGTGTACTTCGGTCCTTCTGCCTGCTCTGCTCCCCGCTCTGGCTCTGGTGAATTCTCTCGCCCTCCCAGCTTCTGACTGTACCCAGTGCATGTATAAACCAAACAAACAAACAAATAGATAAATAAGACATGCCTCTAGAAAATTAAAAAAAAAAAAAAAAAAAGTTTAATAGCAAAAATAAAAACAACCCAAATGTCAACAAGTCAGTTGGTATTATTGAACATTCAAATAATAAATAATATACTGCTAAAAATGTTGCTGAAATGCATCTACTCACTTGCAAATGATGGTTATGTGTTAATTTAAAGTGCAAGCTACCAAACAAAATAGTTGGCATGCTCTTCTTTAACAATTATATGTAGCACGCATACATGTACATAACATATCTAAGAGGGAGGGTTTAATGTTTGTTACAGACTGAATTGTGCTCCCCCCTCCCAATTCATATGTTGAAGTCCTAACTTCCAAATGCAACTGACTTGGAAATAGGTCCTTCCAAGGGGTAATTATGGTTAAGTGAGGCCTTAAGAGTGGTGTCCTAATCCAATAGGACTGATTTCCTTAGAGAAGAGGAACAGACTCCAGGAGGGGTGTCCACAGAGGAAAGATCACGTGCCAAAAAAGTGTGAAGCAAGCCAAGGAGAGTGGTCTCACCTAAAACTAATGCTGTCAGCACCTCAATCTTGGACTTCCAGTCTCCTGAAATATGAAGTAGAATTAATGTCTGTAGCATTTTGTTATGGCAATCTGAGGAGAATAATACACTGCTCATTTTGCGTGTCTATGTTCTGATTGTTTCTATAATATATATGCTTTAAATTTTGAAAATTAATTTCATTTTGTAAAAGGCAATTAAATCACATTTATAAAAATAAGAAAAGGTGAAATGTTATTTTTAATACCTTTTAAAAATATTTTATTTATACAAGAACTGGGGTACAGCTCAGAGGCGCCGGAGAATGAGAGAATTCACCAGAGACAGATTGGGGAGAAGAATAGGCAGACGGACCAAGGACACTGCTGAGGGGAGCAGCGGGTGAGATAGGAGAGGTCTGCCACGCCATGTGGGCATCTCCCTGGCCGGCGGGGAATCGAACCTGCGCAACAGAGGCTGTGGACAGCTCACAGCGCAGGCACTCAACCCCCTGTGCCACCAGGGAGACCCGTGAAATGTTTATTAAAGAAAATGAAAATAGGGCCTCCCTGGTGGCGCAGCGGTTGAGCGCTGGGTTGCGAAGCTGCCCGCGGCCTCTGCGGCGCCGGTTCGCTCCTCGGCTACTCCCCGGCCACCAAAGGAGGGTCCCACATGGTGCGCAGACCTCTCCTGCCGGCCGCTGCTCCCCTCAGCAGTGTACTTCGGTCCTTCTGCCTGCTCTGCTCCCAGCTCTGGCTCTGGTGAATTCTCTCACCCGCCCGCGCTTCTGACTGTACCCAGTGCATGTATAAACAAAACAAACAAACAAACAAATAAATAAAACATGCCTCTATTAAAAAAATAAAAATACTTTATAAAAAAAAGAAAATGAAAATATATGTTCATAACATATCTGACTTTTGTTATTATAGTGTTTTGTTTTTAGAAGATCTCTACACCTCCACATCTCTCTGACCTAGAATTCTTCCTTGTCTGCCAAAATCTCTACCAGTTTCATTGATGTGGCTGTAATGGGAATTTAATCCTCAAACATACCTCATAACCTAGCAGAGTACTCCTTTTACTCAAAACCTTGGATTGCACCATAATTTCCCAGATTATGATTCCCATCATTATTTAATAAAAAGCCATTTTTCCCTTCATTATGTTTTGGCTGCTTTAAAATAAACCCATTTTGGGGCCTCCCCGGTGGCGCAGCGGTTGAGCGCTGGGTTGCGAGGCTGCCTGCCTCTGCAGCGCCGGTTCGATCCCCGGCCGCCGGGCGGGGGTCCCACATGGCCGCAGACCTCTCCTGCCGCCCGCTGCTCCCCTCAGCAGTGTACTTCGTCCGTCTGCCTGCTCTTCTCTCCCCTACGACTCTGGTGAATTCTCTCACCCTCCCGCGCTTCTGACTGTACCCAGTGCTTGTATAAATAAATAAATCTTAAAAAAAAAAAAATAAATAAACCCATTTTAGTTCTTCTTCCCATAAGCAGCATTATGTGATCTCTAAAAATGGTATGCACCTGACACAGAAAACCCTACAAAGTCATGCAAATCAGGAAGGTCAGGGCCTCCCCGGTGGCACAGCAGTTGAGCGCTGGGTTGCGAAGCTGCCCGCAGCCTCTGCAGCACCGGTTCGATCCCTGGCTGCTCCCCGGCCACTGGAGGAGGGTCCCGCATGGTGCGCAGACCTCTCCTGCTGCCTGCTGCTCCCCTCAGCAGTGTACCTCGGTCCTTCTGCCTGCTCTGCTCCCTGCTCTGGCTCTACTGGGTTTTCTCACCCTCCACGCTTCTGACTGTACCCAGTGCTTGTATAAATTAATAAAATAAATCTTAAAAAAAGAGAGAGAGAGAACAATAATAATAAAAAAAAAAAGAAAAAAAAAGAAGTTCAAATCTTCATGTCCATTTTAAGAACACTCCCGAAGCTGCCCAGGTGATAGAGGGCATGAATATCCAAAGAGCCACCGAGTAAGGGGAGAATGTCACTATGTGTGCCATTCTGTCGTTTCAGTGGTGGAATTGGTGTGCCAGGTCAAAGAGAGGGACTGAACACAGGATTGGGGGCTCAAAAAGAATGCCAAATCTGGAGGGGCCTCCCAGGTGGTTCAGGTTTAAAGTCTCAAGCTATCGCCAGACACTGCAGCATGAGTTCGATCCCCGGTCAGGGAGATAACCCACATGGCACAGCAGACCTCTCCTATCTTACCTGCTGCTCTCCTCAGCAGTGTATTTCAGTCAATTTGCCTATTCTGCTCCCTACTCTGTCTCTGGTGACTCCTCTCAACCCCCGTACCTCTAACCTACACCCCAGTTCTTATACGCATAAAAAATAAAAATAAATCTTTCTTTAAAAAAAAAAAGAATGCCAAATCTTTACTGCACATGCTTAAAATGCAGAGAGTAATGTGGAACTTAAGTGTTTAGAGGTAGATTCTCTGGTCCTTGAGCACATCCAGGTGACCCAAGCCCCCAAGATGTATCGAAGAACTTACAGAGCTCATGGTTAGATGAATCCCTTCATGAGCTCCCCCTGCCATGGTGAAATTATCCTTACTGAAAAAGGGCAGATGTTCCTACACCAGAAGAGGAGGTTGCACAGAAGAAAACAATATCCCAGAAGAAACCTATGAAATCTCTTTCTTTAAAGATTTACAATGGGTGACAAGTAGGGAAAAAAAGTCTGCTTAACAGCAGAAAGGATTCTGTGTCTTCAGTCTTCCACAAATTAGCCTCTGGGTCATCTTATTAGAATCCACTTCAGCTTCTGACTATAATAAAAAAGTTATTACAACTCAGTGGTTGCTCATCATAAAACCTGGTTTCTTTTCATGTATTCACACCCGTGTTCAAAACCTCTGTGATAGACAGAGCAAACTAATTTTCACATAGCAGCTCTTTTAAAACTGGTATATAGCACATAATGTAACAGGGAGCATAAATGGGAAGGGGGGAAATATATTGAAAACTGGTTTCCATTTAGCAATTACTTGAGTTGAAGCTCAAAGAAAGCAAACCTGGAGAAACTTAAAAGAATATTGAAGCTACAGGCTCTGATGGACTTGAAGCGAGTGCTTTTACTTATAAAAACTTGCAGATGCCCATGAGAAGTCTAGATCTTAATGTCCTTTGTCAAAAATATCCAACCTGTCCCTTAACTTATTTTGAGCATATTCTAAACATTATAGTCTAGTTTGTTAGGCTTCACCCTAGATGCAAGTGCAGAAACTCCAAGATCTTCTTCCAAGACTCAATCTGAGCAACAGCATGAGCTTTGAGTTGTCCACCTCCCAAAACAGGCAAACCTAATACAGGATCCAGGGCTACAGAGAAAAAAGGGCTGTAAGGGGGATCTATTCTGTGGCCAGCATTAGGATAGTTTAAGAGTGTAAAATTTGTCTTCCCATGCTCTGTGAGGTGCTTCATAGCTATGGCAGCATAAGCAGAGCTCTTCCAATGTCTGTCATCCTCTCCAACGATGAAAAGGAAATGGGCACTGGCTTTTTCAAGGGGGATTCGGCTCTCCTGATAGGCTGGATTCAAGGGGTCCTCTAGCGCTTCTTTGACATCATATACTCCTGAATCAGTGGCAGAGATTTTGTCCAGGTTAAAAGGTAGTCCTGGCAGGACGAATCTACCACATGTAAGGGCAGTAGCTGTGTTAGAGATGCAGCCATTGATGCTCACAACTGCAGCTATATTGGGAAGAAAGCTAGCCATGGAAAATGCCAATTCTGCCCCTTTGCCAGAACCAATTACTCCAATGTTTGGACCTTTGACCTGGAGATTGAAGAAAAAGACAACAAGCAAGAAGAGAGAGACAGGCAGAGGCAGGTGGGGAGGGAGAGAGAGAGGGAGGGAAAGGAAACATGATTGTTAATGCAGTCATAAAGCCCTCGACAAAGAAAAGTTTTTAAAGTACTTATCAAAGAGCTCATTTATGTATTTATTTATCCATCCATTCATTAATTCATTTAACGGGTATTTTTTATTGACATTTTCCAACCCATTAGTACCACTTTATTTACTCTTTTACCTTAAAGAATTAATTTTAAACACATTTCTCTCTATCATCCCACTCACCTTTGGGTGACTTTGCACAAATTTAGCTGCTTCCTCAAAGTAATCTAAATTTAAGTTCTTCATAATTGGAGGTAGATCTTCATAGCCAAAAAATGGCAAAGCCAGAGTAGCAAAACCTCGACAAGACAGGAGACTTGCTCGAGATTCATTTAATCCTCCATCACCAAACATATCAATCAAACCAGGAAAAGGACCATCTCCTATAAACCAGGAAAGGAGTTAATATTGGATTAGATGACAGAACAGTTAATGGACTGTGATACCCAGCTAATACTTTCTAATAATACAATTCTAACCATATAATTTATCTTTTTTCTTTCTTAAATGTCTATTTGCTGTGAAAAGAAACATCTTTTTGGATTAAAATAGGTTTATTGTTATGATTGAAATAGACATTTGTTTGGGCTATTTTTCAGAAAGCCTAAAACAAAACAGGAAAAAAGTCATAACATATATAGACACACACACACACACACACACAGTTGAGGTGAGAAGCTGTATACCTGAACTTAAAGTGTTGCAAATTAAAAAAAAAAAAGACACCATACATATCTTCAAGTCATCCCAGTAATAGTTTTCCTACCAGAGGCTTCAAAATACCTACTTGATTGCCACATTAAGGTAATTAAAATAACTAAGGACTTGTTTATTTTGTTTCAATTCAGTAATTTAATCCCCTATGTGGGAATTTTCTAGGATCTTATAAGTTTTTCTTTTTTAATGCACCGCCCTCCCCAGCTATGAAAATGTTTTAAAAAACTCATTTAAAAGATTCTCAATTGTTCCTAAAGACCCTAACAGTGAAAGTAGGATAAAAATCACACTGGGCTTTTAAAAATAAGCAGACCCAATTATTTCATTCATTCATTTGCTCAGCATTGCTTATGAAATTCCTAAAAACTCAAAATTTGGAGCTCAAAGAATGCACCTTAATTTTAGCATCACCTAGCTGTTTGATTTGTTTTAAACACTTCAGACCTCTAGTTCCCTCATTTACAAGATGAAGTTGTTCTTTCACCTCTGAAATGAGCAATAAAAGTTTTCTCATTATGGGTAAGGTCTCCAAGTTAAGGCATTAGTGTATGTCAGACAACAACAAAAAGATGATCTTTAATATAAAAAATAAATCACTTTTATCCCAACATGAAAGAGTATAAAAGAGTGAATATAATAAGACTCCAATCATTTTGAGGCTTGAACAGATACCAATGAAAGATACTCACTTTCACTAAATTAACACAAAGAACACTTGCCTGGTAGAGACAAGCAAATAAGCATTTAATGCGAGAACCTTTACAGCAATTTATGTTTAGTATGGCAAGCATGCACGGTGTAAGCTCACAGGAAATAGCGTCTGCAGCACTAGGAGTTTGCAAGGAGGCAGATGGCAGCAGAAAGTTACACTCGGCAATTACATTTAGGTCCCAGTCACCATTTAGGGGAATGAACGTCCCACTTGGTGTCTAGGCAGCAAAATAAGGGCTTTAAGTCACTCGCTTTGTTTGCACATAACAAAGCTAACCAGCTCTTGTAAGTCAATTCCTTAAATTCACTTTGCAGAAAAGGCCTCACGCACCTGGGGGCAGCAAGAAGACGCCCCGCAGGCGGCCGGTTTGCAGCCGAGTGCGGCTCAATTCCGGGCTGGCGAACCAGCGCTGGATCTGGGCAGAGGCCAGCGCGGGGCCCAGCTGCTCCCCTGGCTGCCGCGACATGTGGTGGACAGTCACCTCCACTTTGAGAGGGTTTTTCATTACGCCCCTCGGCATCTGCCCGAGAAAGAGATCCTCGGCCGGCGTGAGACTCCACAGCAGCCCCATAGGCTCCACGCCGGTGAAGTCACCGCCCAGAGCGGGGTCCCTGGCCAGGTGCAGCCCCCCGCGGACGTCCGCCTCATAGTGGGCGAGCGAGTGGAAGTGGCGGCCGCGGTGGCTCGCAGCCGATGCCCGCAGGGTCACCCGCTCTCTGGGGCCTAAACCTTCCACTTGAATATCCAGGACCTCGTCGGCCAGCCCAGTCTTGGGCGTGACGGTCAGGGTCGCGGTCTTTTGGGAGAAAAGTGCTGATGTGAGCAACGACCTCCGGAGCTGCAGGGGCTTCCCAGGGGCTCGGAAGCCGGCCCGCGCCGGCCCCCACATGGCTCCGGGAACTTTGCGACTTTGACCCCAGCTAAAACCACGCAGCCCAGGGCCCTCGGGACGCAGGGTCAGGCTCGGGGACGCAGCCCCGCGGGGCGGGCCGGGGCGGGACCGGGAGGGCCCGAGGGGCGTGGCTGGCGGGCGCGAGGACCTGGCTCCAGCCCAGCCGCGCCGCTCAGCTAGGGGCAGCCAGAAGGGGCGACTTGGGAGGGCCCGGGGTCAGCCATGCTGTGGCGCTCCAACGGAGGGACGACCTGAAAGAGGCAGGGGCTCCCCACCCCTCCAGCTTTCTCCTCGACTTCAGGGGAAAGAGAACTTAATGATTTCAGACGAAAAATGCTGGCCGGTTGCCTTCTCTAAAATCCATCTCAGGCCACCAGGGGATATATTAATAGTTCCCTAAACCTGATTGAAGGAGCTCAAGTGTACTAGGTTCCTGCCAAATTCCTTTCCTTCCCTGAAATTATTTTTGCTCCGGATTAAGAAACATTGCCAAGGTCAAAGTTTAAACGTATCAGACCAGACAGCACTACAGAGGGATACATTGTACAAATTATATATAATCCTGTTTTAATATTTAAATGTGGGGAATATTTAAATATTTTAAATATTTTAAATGTGTAGAAAATATTTAAAATGTGGAGAAAAGAAAAGGCATTAAATTCAAAACATAAAACCATATTTTTTCATTAAACACCTATCTCTATGTATACGCTGAATGTGCCAGCAGGAAGAAAGCAGAGTCTATTTTTTTTTTAAAGATTTATTTACTTATACAAGAACTGGGGTACAGGTCAGAGGCATGGGAGGGTGAGAGATTCACCAGAGACAGAGCAGGGAGCAGAACAGGCAGACTCGAAGGAGGCAGGAGAGGTCTGACACGCCATGTGGGTCTCTCCCCTGCCCGCCAGGAATGGAACCTGCACTGCAGAGCCTGCCAGTTAGGGTGCAAAGGAGAAATGGAACTCAACAATATAGTTCAGGGCCTCCCTAGTGGCACAAGGGGTTAAGCACAGCACTATGAAGCTGTCTGAAGCCTCTGCAGCACAAGTTTGATTCCTGGCCAGCCAGGGAGCAACCCACATGGCACAGCAGACCTCTCCTGCCTCACCTGCTGCTCCCCACAGCAGTGTATTTCAGTTAGTCTGCCTATTCTGTAACACCCCCACACACACACCTCTGGCCTGTACTCCAGTTCTTGTATGCATAAATAAATAAATCTTTTTAAAAAACCCAAAACAGTATAGTTCATTCTCTCAGAATAAGAACACAAGGCTGAAGATAAGCCAGCAATTGAGAGTTGGGCAAATATTTTTTCCCTTATTTCCCATATTTCTTCTTTCCTTCTTTTCCATGTTTCTTCCCTTTAAGACTGGCCCTACAGGCCTCCCTGGTGGCACAAGGGGTTAAGTCATAGCACTATGAAGCTATCTGCAGCCACTGCAGTACCGCAGGAGTTCAATCTGTGGCCGGCCAGGTAGCTAACCCACAAGGCACAGCAGATTTCTCCTGTCTCGCCTGCTGCTCCCCTCAGCAGTGTACCAGCACAGCAGTAGACGATGAGGCCACCTCAGGGTTGAGAGAAGAGTGCAGGGTGGTCAGGGCGTCGGTGAAAGAAATGACAAACAGACACACTTCAAGAGTGAAAATCTGAGTGTAATTTTCTTTGAGTTTGTGACCAATATATATATGTTTTCCAAAGGCACAGGGACAATGAATATCAATGAAATCAGCTTGCTCATGGGCTCAGTCTATCACCATCAGGGAGGTGATCTACATAACAAGCAATGACTTTTATAGAAGAAAGAAGGAAGTTTAGAAAGACAAATAAGGGATTAAAGTTTGTAGTTCTAGAAAGACCGGATAAGATTTTTAGCATTCTTGTAGTGGTTCCTGGTGGTCGTTATCTTTTGATAAGCTTCTGTTTTTTCAGGGAACTTCCGCTATGCTTCCTCTGCTTCAGGGTGTTATGCTGTTCTCCCCTTGCGCGCTGGTTGCCCAGCCGGACCTAGGGACGGTTAGCCCTAATGGTCACTGCAGGGGGAGGTGCAGCAGTCTGCCTGTTCTGTTCCCCACTCTGTCTCTGGTGAATCCACTCACCACCACCCCCAACCCACACCTCTGGCCTGTACCCCTGTTCTTGTATGCATAAATTTAAAAAAAATCTTAAAAAAAAAAGACTGGTCCAATAGACTAGGGTTAATACTTTAGACACTACAGATACGGTAAAGTTCAGGGGAGAAAGGAGTGCACCCAATGAAGAGGGGAGTGTTAAAAAGGCTGAGAACCCAGTAGGATCTGACAAAGAAGCCGAGATGGTTGCTCTGTTAAAAAAAGTTTTTTAGGTGCTCTAGAAACCCAAGTATGTATATGAATCTGAATTTTATTAATATATCTGAATTTTATTAATATATCTGGCCTGTAAGTACAATGTTATAGTTTGCTAGGCTTAACAGACTTTTTATCATTGAGATGTTTATGGAAGAAAGTTTGAATTTCCTGCCAGGCATCTACCTGTGCCCTTGTGTGAGCCCTTGGCTCACCCCCGTAGAACACTGCTTGGTTCAACACTGCATGCACAGAGGCTGTAGAAGGAGGAAAATAAGGTGGGTCAATACAATGACCAGTTCCTGAGTAGCAGATTATCTGAGGTCTGTTTTTCCCATGTGCTTGTAACCGTTCAGAGGCTATCTGAGCATAGAATTCACTATTCCAGCTACGATCATCCACACCCACAATAAACAGGAAGGGCCCCTGGGCCTTTTCCAATGGAATAATACTTTGGGTGTTGGGTTCCTCCAGGGGATTGTCCCAAGTATCCATAAAATCAAAAAGGCCTGTCTCAGTTATTTTATATTTGTCTGACTTACAGGAAAGACTAGGAATAATCATGTCCTTGTAATGCAGAGGCACCATTGAGTTGGCCACACAGGCATTGATAAGTATAGTAGCTGAGATGCCTTTCAAGAAAGAGGCCATTGAGAGACACAGATCACCTCCTTTGGAGAAGCCAAGAAGCCCAATGCTGGGGCCTTTCACCTGGTGGAGAGAAAGAGAGAGAATAACACTAAAATTCATACATGGAAATGTCAATGATTTTTACATTCTTTAGGAAGCTTTCTCAAATGTTATTTGCTTTCTTTATACAACAATCCACAAAGTTTAATAAGCAAATCAATTGATTTCCTAGTACAAAGACCTTCCATAAACATTTATAGGGAATGGATCAAGAGTATACACCCGGCCTCCCCAGTGGCGCAGCGGGTTGAGTGCAGCACTGTGAAGCTGTCTGCAGCCTCTACAGTGTGGATTTGATTCCTGGCCAGCCAGGGAAATACCCTTATGGCTCAGCAGACCTCTCCTGTCTCGCCCACTGCTCCCCTCAGCAGTGTATTTCGGTCCATCTGCTTGTTGTGCTCCCAGCTCTGTCTCTGGTGAATCTTCTCACCCTCCCACGCCTCTGGCCTATACCCCAGATCTTGTATAAAAATAAATAAATCTTTTTTAAAAAAAAAAGAGTATACACCGAAGCCCATATACCCTATACCTAAATATTTAAAAGTTATAAATCAAATGAAAAACTAGTTAAATAAAATATTTTTATCCTACTTTGATAAACATACCTCCATAACAATTTATAGCATCAGGTTCATGATTTTAAATTTGAAAACTCCTTAGAGTTATGTACTACAATGTGGCATGGGGGAGAGTCAGTCCCTGTCTAGTGCCTAATCCTTATCCCGCTGTCCTTCTCCTCCCATCCCTGGCTCAGTCAAGCACATTGAGGGACCTCTTATACATATGTGGACATCCCAGATTACATGTTTAAAGTCTGAGTGTATTCACACTGATGGACCCACAAAGAGGCATAGGACCTGGAAGCAGGATCAGTACTCTTCATCAGAGAATTCTGGGATTCCAGATGCCAAGGGCCTGGGAGCAGGGCATGTGGTACCAGGTGGACACACTCTTTTGGACCCTGAGACTCCTTATCCAGTGAACAGGGATGCCACCAAGGAAGGTCAGAATTTGGTCATCTGAAGCCAGAGATCCAAGACAGAAGCCTCTTTTTCCCAAGATTAAGGGCAAAACTGATAATATATATTGATCTCTCTTCTTTTTCCCAGAGCCTCATCACCCCTAGATAACAAATCACAGTTGAATATCATCTGAATTTTAGCAGCTCTGCTAAGTGACCATTCCCTGAATTCTAACAGTGAGACCATTTTACAGGTATGCTAAATATCTATTCTTTACCATTAGAAAATTTGAGTCTCTTTACGTCTAAACAGTAGCAAAGAATCTATATACCATTCATAATCATATCAAAATGTAATTTTTTCCAGTCTTAAATAGGAATTCTCTCTATAAAACATAATACCATTGTCACACCTAACAAAATTGATTCCTTAATGTCATCAACTGCACTGTACCTGTTCAAATGCCACTATTTAAAAATCAGTTTTCCCTCTACACATTTACATTAATCTTATAAGTAAGAAAAACTGAACCCCAGAGAGGACAATTCCCTTACTCAGGATTATAAGGTCACTTGGTAGTACATGCAGAACCAGAACTCAAGATTAATAACTTTTAGTCCAGCTGAAAGTTGAATTATGGTCAGGAATTAAAGAAAACCAAATAGTCAAGTCTTAAGGTATTAGAGAGAGAGACATAGAAGTGGAAATAATAATCTTAGTAACCTTTTTTTTTTTTAAAGATTTATTTATTTTTATACAAGAACTGGGGTACAGGCCAGAGGCATAGGAGGGTGAGAAGATTCACCAGAGACAGAGCAGGGAGCAGAACAGGCAGATGGACCGAAATACACTGCTGAGGGGAGCAGCGGGCGAGACAGGAGCAGTCTGCCACGCCATGTGGGTTTCTCCCTGGCCGGCTGGAATGGAATCCGCACTGCAGAGGCTGCGGACAGCTTCACAGTGCTGCGCTCAACCCGCTGCGCCACAGGGGAGGCCCAATCCTAGTAACGTTTAAAGGAGTATTTGTATCTCAGGGCATATTTCCAGACCTTGGTGTACTGGAGGACTTTGGGATTCGGCCCTGTCTTCATTCTACCCCCTCTCCTCTATATCTGGGTGAGCACCAGAACCTACCTTTGGGTGCTGTAGCATGAAGTCCACTGCTTCTTCAAAGTACTCCAGGTGAATATCACTCAAATTTTTAGGGAGATCTTCAAATCTGAAATAAGCCAGGGCAAGCACAACAAAACCATGTCTGGCCAGGAGGCTGGCCCTGTATTCACAAAGGCCTCCACTACTTCCAAACAGATCAATGATCCCAGGAAAGGGTCCTGTGCCTGCAAAACACCACAAGCCATGAGCTTTAGACTCTCAAAAGGCATTCTTGAGTTTCAGATTGTTGGCGGTGAGCAAAGAGATGTTTTTGATGTAAAGGGTGGGAGTGGATAGAAGTACTTGTTTTATTTATTTTTTTTAACAAGCTTTGGGAAGAAAGGAGAGAGAACAAATATGCCTTATTTTTTCCCCCAAAATAACCAAATATACATTTAAAAAAATTTGAAATTACATATGAGATATACAATTTCCACCAAATCTTCTTTCTTGTTTTCCTCAAAAAAAAAAATAAAAAAAAATCTGAGAATGCTTTGAAAGCTGAAAGTAGTCTGCTTATATAGGGATTATTAGAAAATACTTTGCATCTCCTACACCCTCTGCATCAGCCTTTAAGAATGCCATCCCTAAATGTGTCATATTTCCTTTGGTCCCCGAAAATGGAAACAGTTGTTCTTCTGTATCTGAGGGATCTTCAGCGAGAACTCAATCAATCACGGATTGAAAATATGTACTATATAGTTGGTCTATGATGTTTGTGTCTGTACTGACTATGTTCAGGTGTGTTTTTTTTCCTTCTTCTTCCCTAATCAATACTATGTAACAACTATTTATGTAACTTATAATAGGTATTATAAGTAATTAGAGATGATTTAAAGTATACAAGAGGATGTGTGTAGGTTAAATGCATGGGTGTGTTAAATGCATGGACATGTCACATAAGGAACCTGTGCATTCTCAAATTTTGGTGTCCATGTTGATCCTTAACCAACTCCCTTGGATATGGGGTGCAACTGTACACACTTTCCTCCCTGCTCCACCTTTTTGGACCTGGTTGACTGGTTAGTCTTCAAATCTAAGTTTAGATCACTCTTCCTCAAAGTCCTCCAGGATATTCCCAATGCCTACTTAGTGTCTTACACGTTCATCAGTATGCTGGGTCTGTACTTCTCCCTCAGAGCACTTACCACACTTATTAAAGGTGCAAATATTGTTGCCTGTGTCCTCTCTTAGGCTGTAAATACGTGAGGCTTATGCACAACTTTCCCAGTTATTGTATCCTACTATGCACAGTCCATTAATACATATTTGTGATATGACAGAACCCTTCAACATAATTTACAAAAGGCTTTGAGACAGAAAACAATAAATTTTAAATGGGCTGATGGTAGAAACCATGAAATAGTTAAGACTGACTTTACCAGAATATTAGCTCCAATGACTGGGTGGTGAAAGTTTTGTACTGCGTTTTTAAATGAAATTCTTTAGATTCTTATACCATGGAGTGTGATGTATTGCACTCCTACTAAAATCCTGTACAAGACTCTAGGAATATAAAGCTATAGAGATGAATAACACAAACTCCAGTCCGAGGAATTTACAGTTGAGTGTATAGTCACCAGTTAACACGGTGAATTGCTGGAGAGTTCTAAGAATAAAGTAAGGACTGTTATTTTGGAGAATAATCACAGAATTCAGTTAGGGATTCTGTGAGCTATGGCAACACAAACATTTCTCTATATAGGGGGTTTTAGTCAGGTATTTAGTTGGAAGGAAAGGGTCAGGTCTTATTTCCAAGCTGCTTTTACTTAGCAAGCACCTTGTTTTCATCAATATTTATTTATTTATTTGTTTGTTTGTTTATTTATTTATTTATTTTTGTGGGACACTCGCCCGGGGCGAGGAACTAACCTGCACTGCAGAGGCAGCGGGCAACCTCGCAGCCCAGCACTCAACCGCTGCACCAGGGGAGGCCCCTCATCAATATTTAGACTAGGGTTTTACTACCTAATGCTGCAGACATTTTGAGCAAGGTATTTCTTTGATGTGAGGACGTGTCCTGTGCACTGAGGATGTTTAGCAGCATCTCTGGTCTCTACCTACTCGATGTGAATAACAACCCCTCTCTCAGCTGTGATAACCAAAGTGTCTCCAGATATTGCCAAATGTCCCCTGGATTGGAGGCAAAATTCTCCCCAAGTTGAGAAACACTAACTAACTGTCTAGGGTTGGGGATGAGGGGAGGAGGTATCAGGGATTTTTTTTTTTTTAATGATCATAGAGGAAGACTTCCCCCTGTGGATAAAGTCTCCCCGGAAGTTTAATGCGAAAGGTACCTAAAATCACTCTTGCGCTTGGGCAGAAGTCAGGTCCTACTATCAGAGTCTGATGCACATCCCGGTGGGTCCCACAGAGTCTACCTGTGGTAGTCTACAATTTACAGAGTACATCCAGGGGAGTGACAGTGCCTCCAGGGAGCCCTGGGCAACTGAAAAAAGGAAAACTTCCACGGATAATCCATGATTGATATTAGAGTTTACACGGTGCGGGTGTGTGTTAGGGTTGGGGGGTGGGAGCAGTAGAGGATTAGGGGCAGGAAGAGGGAGGGTAGGTAGTTCTAAACTCCTGTAGTTCCCGGGCAAGACCAGGGGCCACCGGGGTCTCAGGGCTCTATGGGGTTCCCCACAACAGTCTGGGACAGGGTTGCTCACCTGGCGGCAGGAAGAGAGCGGCGCGCACCCGGCCCGCGCGCACCCGCTCCCGCCGCACCCCGGGCCCCAGGAAGTGGCGCTCGTGCACCGTCCGGCCCAGGAGCCGCTCAGTCCACGGGTCGTGGCCGTCCAGCACCTCCAGCTCCACGGCGAAGGGCGTCTCCACGTCCCGCTTCAGCAGCCGCTGCAAAGGCTTCTCGGGCTCCAGGGCCCAGAGGAGCCCCATGGGCTCGAGCCCCGCGAAGCTGCCCCCAGCGCGGGCGCGCGCGCCAGGTCCAGCAGGCCGCGGGCGTCGGCGCAGTAGCGCGCGTGGGCCCGGAAGCGCGCGCCCTTCTCGTCGCGCAGGGACGCGCGCAGCGTGACGGGCTGCCCCGGGGCCAGGCCGCTCACGGCGATGCGCACCGGCTGGTCCCAGCAGCAGCGGCCCGCGGGCTCCACCGTCACCGTCGCCATCCCAGTGCGGGCAGAAGAGAGGCAGCAGGGCAGGTCAAGGTCAAGCCCGGCCCAGCAGCTCTCCAGCTCCTTAGGACGCAGTGCCAGTCAGAACTGTTGCCCTCCCCGACTACTTGGAGCTGGAAGCGCTCTTTAAACCGGAGTTCTCCTGAGTGCAAATCAATCCACAAGCGCCTGAATGGAAGGATGACTTTAAGAAGAGTTAATTAGTAAGCCGGCAATCCCGTGTGCAACTCAGCACAAAGACTGTTAGTCACAGGATTGGGAAAGCTATAGGGCGGATGGGACACATGGAAGATGCCCAGCAAATGGAAGCTCAATACGTATTTGTCAGCTGAACTCAGAGATACCTGATTAGGCCCCAGTTCTCAGAATTCAGTGAGCTTTCCTCATTCCACCTTCTGAAATAACTGCTATAGCGTATTTTCAATACCTGTGTTTAAAGTGTTGTAGTCTATCCTCAATCTAGAACGTTCAGTTTACGGAGATTCCACCTGAGCTGCTTCAGTCACCAGCTGGACACTTGTAATCTCTACTTAGATTTCAGAAAGGTGGGGAGAAAGGTGGTTTCTCTATTCCCCTCCCTGATACCTGGGCTGCTATGAGTAAGCAGAGAAATGTCTCCAGGCACATCAGGGAAAAGCAGCTGCCAAGGTGCAGAGGAAATTTCCCAACCTCTTTGGGTTCTTACTGGACTGCTCAACAAACAAATTAACATCAGAAAGATTCGTAGGAGAAAAAGACTAAATTTAATTATGTATTATGGAGAATTTACATGGCTGTAAATTCTAGAGTAAATGGGATAAAGAAGATTTATGCTGAGCTAAGGATTGGCATAGGGGTCTCAGGGATTAAAGAGACATTGGGACCTCCCTGGTGGCACAGGGGGTTAAGCTTCAGCACTATGAAGCAATCCCCAGCCATTACTGCAAGAGTTTGATCCCCAGCCAGGGAGGTGACACACATGGCCCAGCAGACCTCTCCTGTCTCACTGGCTGCTCCCCTCAGCTGTGTATTTCAGTCAGTCTGCCTGTTCTGCTCCCCATTCTGTCTCTGCTGAATCCTCTCACCTCCCCCCACCTCTAGCCTGTACCTCAGTTCTTGTATGCTTAAATAAATAAATCTTTAAAAATAAAGTAGAGATTGAGAGGTACTTTACATGACCAGGGAAAGATGACTTCACAGGACAAAACCTTGCCTCTAGATATTTGCCCTGCTTCAAGATAGGTTTCTTAGATAATGAAAGGTGGTCTCTGGAGATGACCCTAAATCTGACTTGTCTTCATTCTTTAAGGTTATGGTAATAGTTTCTTCTAAGGCCCACAGGACTTCTATTGATCTTAGTTCCATGCGTTTAGATGACACATATTGGAAAAAGCCTACTCTGGACATCTTGGGAAAAGCCTACCTAAATATTTTTTTTGGAAGCTGATCCTACACCACTAAAAGGAGACCTGGGCAAGGTCATTCAAAAATGCCCTTCCCTGGGAAATTCTGGACTTAGTACTCCATGGAAGAAGAAGATACTGTACAGGCCAGCTGCCAGGGGCTCCCTGCAAAAGAATCCACTGGTGTATTTATTACACAGTTTGCTCTCATGAGAAGTGAGTGGCTTATAAATTTCAGTGCTTGCCTAGTGACTAGATAAAGGGGCTGTAGCATAGTATACAGATAGAAGACAGCTATCCTCAGTATTGAACATACAGATTAATCTGTGTGTCTCTATTTTAGGTGTGGGGACTTCATGGGTGGACAAAAACCTTTGCCTCATCTAAGGTAGAACTTTTCTGGTTATCAGAGGTAATTACACTTCCAGAAAGATATCTCTCTGAGAGACCCCCTGAACTCTTCCATGCTTAATAAACTACTGTCTTTCAGTTATAAATTCAACATAGAAAGGTTGAGCTTCACAAGCAATTACTTCTGGTCAGTATGCTATAATTGAGTAATTTCACTATCTCAATTAGGGTTTAGGACACCTCTTTCAATCCCGCCTTAATAGATTATGACAGATGCTAGATATTCGAACTATCTTAAAGACAAAACTGAAAGGTAATTCGCTGACTGTTAAGTGAGAGCCAAGTGCTGTCAAAGTCTAAAATGTGTAGGAATTGAAAACAACATTCTAATAGGAGCAATTAAAAGACTAATTGGAGGTGATTTAGAAAGAACTTTCTATAGGGAAACAATGTGAGTCATGGTTAACCCATGTTCATTTTTGGTTTCCTATAATCCTCAATTTATAGCTAAGATTCATGTATTTTTCCAATACCCTAACTGAGAGTGCAAGGGGAAAGGCTGGAGGTGGGGAGAGTGAGGTGTTCATCCATGCTCATTGGTTTGTGCCCACACTGCAGAACCAGTTGCTTCAGTATCATGGCTGTGATTTCACTCATGATCCTGGGCTTGGTACTATTTCATATTTACACAGTTCTGGTGGGATAAGAGCACCATGTTTCCATTTTTAGCAGTCTGTATACTGTACATGTGACTAAGCCCTTTCTCCAAAATAGCAATAACTCAATTTCTATAATACTCTCAAGGTGAGTAATTTTATCAACGTTAGTTTCCTGATTTTTTTTTAAAGATTTATTTATTTATACATACAAGAACTGGGGTGTAGGTCATTTCTTGTGGAGAATAGAATAGGCAGAGCCACTGAAATACATTGCCGAAGGGAGCAGCGGGCAAGACAGGAGAGGTCTGCTACACCATGAGCATCACCTCCCTGGCCAGGGATCTAACTCATGCTGCAGTGGCCGCAGATAGCTTCACAGTGCTGCAACTTAACCCCTTGCGCCACCAGGGAGGCCCACATTTTCTTTTTTATATAAAAGTCTAGAAAACATGACTGAAGGACTAGCCCAATCAAGATAAGTGTATAAGACTTTATAATAAACACTATTCTATTTAGCATAATTTCTGGCTCCATTTTATGGATACCCTTTTGCAGTTTCCCTGCAAATTCACAGTGTTTTTACCTTATTTTAGATAGCTTTGTAACAATCTGAAATCATTCTTTTTTTTAAAAAGATTTATTTATTTATGCATACAAGAACTAGAGTATAGGCCAGAGGTGTGGGAGGTGAGAGGATTCACCAGAGGCAGAGTGGGGAACAGAACAGGTGGACTGACTGAAATACACTGCTGAGGGGAGCAGCGGGCAAGTCAGGGGAGGTCTGCTGTGCCATGTGGGTTGCTCCCTGGCCGGGGATCAAACTGGTGCTGTGGTGGCTGTGGGTACCTCCCCACCAGGGAGGCCCTGAAATCATTCTTAAAACAAAATCTTAGAGACAGACGGCCACAAATAGTCAACTCTGACCAAATATTTTTAGTCAGTGCAGAGCACTAATAGGTTACTTTATCAGTCAGGGAGAAATGGAGGTATCGAGCTGTTACAGCCTAGTGCTTTTAGTATTGGAGTTGTGGAGTCATCATCCTCATGCTTAGTCTGGTGCTACCTTTTCACTCTCATTTTTCTCACTCACCCAGCACTTTCCTTGTAATTTCTTCCTGTGATCTCCCATCCCAAAGGCATCTCTAAAATAGTAGGACCACCTAGGAGTGAGTTAAAGTAGATCATAGAAAATCATACTATGCTGTGAATAACTGTGATCAACATATTTTTAACCATCAGTTCAATTAAGTTACCAATGAAGAAACCCATCTCTTCATTAGTGTAGATCAAATATCAAGTGATATGCCTGAGCTCTCAGAAAAACCTTCTGATACTTAGGGAAGACCCTGTGCTCTGGTCTTCTAGAATTCTAGATAGTGCCTAGTACAATGCCGTGGGGTCAGGGACCAGTCACAGTTCCTCCAGGTAGGAAGGCAACTGGAACAGATGGTGCCAGGAGGAAGTCTGATTTGGCAGATATGATGTAACATCTACAGATTAATGGAACCCAAAATGTAGAGTCCCCAAATCTGTTGGAATTAAGGCATTCCTCTAGACAGGCAAGTGCTATACAGATAGTGGGAATTCGGAATAGACAGTAAACATAGAGGAAGTATATTGACAAGTACCATGCCCCCAGTCTTCAGAGTGGGGTTCAGAGACAAGTCTTGCTGAATGTGTGCCAGCAGGAAGAAAGAGTCTATTTCTTAAGGAATCTGAGTGGGCAAGTTTTCAAGGCTCAGACATGGCCGGTTAGGGTGCAAAGGAGAAATGGGACTCAGCAATTTAGTTCAGTCTCTCAGAATAAGAACACAAGGCTGAAGAAAGGCCAGCAATTGAGAGTGAGGCAAACATTTTTTTCCTTATTCCCCATATTTCTTCTTTCCTTATTTTCCATATCTCTTCTCTTTAAGACTGACCCTACAGTGCCTCCCTGGTGGTGCAAGGGGTTAAGCACAGCACTGTGAAGCTATCCCCAGCCTCTGCAGCACAAGGTTGATCTCTGGCCTGCCTGGGAGCAACCCACATGGCTCAGAAGACCTTTCCTGTCTTGCCCACTGCTGCCTCAGCAGTGTACTTCAGTCAATTTGCCCGTTCTGCTCCCCACTCTGTCTCTGGTGAATCCGCTCAACCACCACACCTCTGGCCTGAACCCCAGTTCTTGTATGCATACATAAAAAAAAAAAATCTTTAAAAAAAAAAAAGGACTGGTCCTAGAGACCAGGGTTAACACTACAGATTGGGTAAAGTTCAGGGGAGAAAAGAATGCACCCAATGGTGAAGAGGGGAGTGTTAAAAAGGCTGAGAACCCAGTAAGATCTGAGAAAGAAGCCAAGATTTGCTTTGTTAAAAAAAACTTTTTTAAAGTGCTCTGGAAAATCAATATGGATATGAATCTGAATTTTATTAATATATCTGGCCTGTAAGTACAATGTTATAGTTTGCTAGGCTTAACAGACTTTTTATCATTGAGATGTTCATGGAAGAAAGTTTGAATTTCCTGCCAGGCATCTACCTGTGCCCTTGTGTGAGCCATTGGCTCACCCCCGTAGAACACTGCTTGGTTCAACACTGCATGCACAGAGGCTGTAGAAGGAGGAAAATAAGGTGGGTCAATACAATGACCAGTTCCTGAGTAGCGGATTATCTGGGGTCTGTTTTTCCCATGTGCTTGTAACCGTTCAGAGGCTATCTGAGCATAGAATTCACTCTTCCAGTTATGATCATCCATGCTTACGATAAACAGGAAGGGCCCCTGGGCCTTTTCCAATGGAATAATACTTTGGGTGTTGGGTTCCTCCAGGGGATTGTCCCAAGTATCTATAAAACTTAAATGGCCTGACTCAGTGATTTTAAGTTTCTCTGAGTCATAGCCAAGACTAGGAATAATCACATCCTTGTATTGCAGCGGCACTATTGTGTTGGCCACACAGGCATTGATAAGTATGGTAGCTGAGATGCCTTTCAAGAAAGAGGCCATTGAGAGACACAGATCACCTCCTTTGGAGAAACCAAGAAGCCCAATGCTGGGGCCTTTCACCTAGTGGAGAGAAAGAGAGAGAATAAGACTAGAATTCATACATGGAACTGTCAACTGTGATTTTTACATTCTTTAGGAAGCTTTCTCAAATGTTATTTGCTTTCTTTATACAACAATACATAGTTCAATAAGTGAATCAATGGATTTCCTAGTACAAAGAACTTCTATAACATTTATAGGGGACATCCCTGGTGGCATAGGGGTTAAGTCTCAGCGCTATCAAGCTATCATTGCTGCTGTGGCCTGAGCTCGATCCTGGCCAGGGAGCAGACCCACATGTGGCACAGCAGACCTCTCCCGCCTGGCCCACCGCTCCCCTCAACAGTGTATGTCAGTAGATCTGCCTATTTTGCTCCCCACTCTGTCTCTGGTGAATCCTCTCATTCCCTGCAACTCTGGCCTTAACCCCAGGTTATGCATAAATAAATCAATCTTTGAAAAAAAATTTACAGAGACTGGGACAAGAGAACACACAAAAGCCCATATACCCTATACTAAATATTTAAGTTATAAATGAAATGAATAAAATGTAAAATAAAATGTATTCTTTTATGCTACTTTGATAAACATACCTCAGTAACAATTTATAGGGTCGGGCTCAAAATTTTAAATTTGAGAACACCTTAGAGTTGTGTATGATAATGTGGCATGGAAGCTTGTGTATGATAATGTTTCAGCCCCTGTCTAGTGCCCGGTCCCTAACCCAATGTCCTTCTCCTCCCATCCCTGGCTCAATCAAGCACATTGAGGGGCCTCTCACACACATATAGACACACCTCATTACACATTTAAAGCCTGAGTGTATTCACACTGATGGACCAACAGAGAGGCACAGGACCTGGAAGCAGGGTCAGTATTCTTCAGCAGAGAATTATGGGATTCCAGACACCAAGGGCATGGGGGCAAGGCATCATGGTACCAGGTGGACACACTCTTATAGTCCCTAAGGCTGCTTATTCTGTGGAGAGGGATGCCTCCAAGGAAGGTTAGAATTTGGCCATCTAAAGCCAGTGATCCAAGGCAGAAGCCTCTTTTTCCTAAGATTAATGGCAGAACTGATAAAACATATTGATCTCTTCTTTTTCCCAGAGCCTCATCTCCCATAGATAACAAATCATCACAGTTGAATATCATCTAGATTTTAGCAGCTCTGCTAAGTGACCATTCCCTGAATTCTAATAGACCATTTTACAGACCTGCTAAATATCTTATTATTTACCATTAGAATATTTGGGTCTCTTTAAGTCTAAATAGTAGCAAAGTATCTGTATTCCATTTGTAATCATACCAAAATGTTTTAATTAATTTTGTCTAGTCTCAAATAGGAACTTTCCTTAGAAAAGCATAATACCATTGTCACACCTAACAAAATTAATGATTCCTTAATATCATCAAATATACTGTCACCATTCAAATGTCACCAGTTATCTAAAAAAAAAAAAAAAAAAGTCTTTTTAAAATCAAACTTTTGGGGGGCTCCCTGGTGGCACAGGGGGTAAAGTCTCAGCTCTACCAAGTTATCACCAGCCCCTGTAGCAAAAGTTCGATCCCTGGACAGGGAGCTGACCCACATGGAGCACTGGATCTCTCTGTCTTGCCCGCTGCACTCTTCAGTGGTGTATTTCAGTAGATCTGCCTGTTCTGCTCCCTAATCTCTCTCTGGTGAATCCTCTCACCCTCCATGTCTCTGACCTACACCCCAGTTCTTGTATGCATAAATAAATAAAGTAAATCTTTAAAAAAAAAATCAAAATTTTCCCTCTACTCATTTACAGTAATCTTATAAGAGAGAAAAACTGAACTCCAGAGAGCAATTCTGTTACTTAGGATTAAAAGGTCACTTGGTGATACATGCAGGATTAGAAATCAAGGTTACTAACCTTTAGCCCAGCAAAAAATTGAATTATGGTCAGGAATTAAAGAACACTAAACAGTCAAGTCTTTAAGTGTTAGAGATAGGTAGCAATGGAAGTAATAATCTTAGTAACCTTTAAAGAATATTTGGGAGCCTCCCTGGTGGCACAAAGGGTTAAGATGCAACCTATGAAGCTATCTGCAGCCACTGCAGCAGGAGTTCAATCCCCGGCCAAGGAGGTGACCAACATGGCACAGCAGACCTCTTCTGTCTCTACCGCTGCTCCCCTCAGCAGTGTATTTCAGTCAATCCGCCTGTTCTACTCCCCACTCTGCTCTGGTGAACCCTCTCACCCCCCACACCTCTGGCCTGTACACCAGTTCTTGTGTGCATAAATAAATAAATCTTTTAAAAATAAATAAATAAAGGAGTATTTGTATCTCAGGGCATCTTTCCAGACCCTGGTGTGCTGAAGGACTTTGGGATTAGGCCCTGTCTTCATTCTACCCCCTCTCCTCTTTATTCAGGTGAGAACCAGAACCTACCTTTGGGTGCTGTAGCATGAAGTCCACGGCTTCTTCAAAGTACTCAAGGTTCATGTAACACAAATTTGTAGGGAGGTCTTCAAATTTGAAATAAGCCAGAGCAAGCACAACAAAACCATGTCTGGCCAGGAGGCTGGCCCTGTATTCACAAAGGCCTCCACCACTTCCAAACAGGTCGATGATCCCAGGAAAGGATCCTGTGCCTGCAAAACACCACAAGCCATGAGCTTTAGCCTCTCAAAAGGCATTCTTAGATTCTAGATTTTGGCAGTGAGCGAAGAGATGTTTTGGATGGTTAGGGGTGGGACTGGGTAGAAGAAGGACTTGTAACTTTTTTTAAAATAAACTTTGGGGAGAAGGAGAAGGAACAATATGCCTTATTTTTCCCAGAATTTTTCACAAAAAATGTCCATATATAAATAAAACAAGTTAGAAATAACATGGGGGCCCTCCCTGGTGGTGCAGGCAGTTGAGCGCCGCAATGTGAAGCTGTCTGCAGCCTCTGCAACATGGGTTCGAACCCGGCCGGCCGGCGAGAATCCCACATGGCAAAGCAGACCTCTCCTGTCTCGCCTGCTGCTCCCCTCAGCAGTGTATTTCATCAGTCTGCCTTTTCTATATCCTGCTCTGTCTCTGGTGAATCCTCTCACCCTCCTGCGCATCTGGTCTGTTCCCCGGTTCTTATATAAATAAATAAATCTTTTTTTTTTTTAAAAAAAAGAAAGAAACAACATGGGATGTAAAATTTCCACCAATTTTTCTTTCTTGTTTTCCTCCAAAAAAGAAACCTGAGAATGCTTTGAGAGCTGAAAATACTCTGCCTCTATAGGGATTATTAGAATATACTTCCCATCCCTATGCCCTTTGCACCAGCCTAAATGTGCCATATTCCCTTTGGTTCCTGAAAAATGGATACACTTTGTCCTTTGTAACTGAGGGGTCTGCTGCCAAGAATTCAATCAATCATGGATTGAAAATTCATACTATACAGTTGGTCTATGATGGTTGTGTCTGTACTGACTACAGTTTTCCTTCTTCTTCTTCTTCCCTAATCAATACAGTGTAGCAACTATTTATATAGCAATTATAATAGGTATTATAAGTAATTAGAGATGATTTAAAGTATACATGAGGATGTGTTTGGGTTAAATGCATGGACACGTCACATAGGAACCTGAGCATTCTCAAATTTTGTTATCCATGTTGATCCTTAACCAACTCCCTTGGATATGGGGCACAACTGTACACACTCTCCTCCCTGCTCCACTTTTTTGGGACCTTGTTGACTGGTTAGTCTTCAAATCTAAGTTGAGATCTCCCTTCCTCAAAGTCCTCCAGGATCTCCCCAATGCCTAGTTAGTGTCTTATAACTAACTCACTGGGTTCTCACCAGTACCCAGGGCCTGTACATCCCCCTCAGAGCAGTTACCACACTCATTAAAGGTGCAAATATTGCCTGTACCCTCCATTAGGCTGTAAGTATAGGGAGGCTTATGCACGACTTTCCTAGTTATCGTATTCTACTGTTCAGCACAGTCCTTCAGTACATATTTGTTATATGACAGAACCCTTCAACATTACTTACAAAAGGCTTTGTTTGAGACAGAAAACAATAACTTTTAAATGGACTAGTGGTGGATGATGAAATAGTTGAGACTGATTTTACTGGAATATTGGCTCCCATGACTGGGTGGTGAAAGTTTTGTGTTGCTTTTTTAAATGAAATTCTTTAGATTCTTACACCACGGAGTGTGATGTATCGCACTCCTGCTAAAATTCTGTGCAAGACTCTAGGAATATAAAGTTATAGAGATGCACAACACCCAACTCCAGTCCCAGGAATTTACAGTTGAGTGTGTAGTCACCAGTTAACATGGTGAATTGCTAGAGAGTTCTAAGAATAAAGCAAGGCCTGTTATTTTAGAGAATAATCATAGAATTCAGTTTAGGGATTCTGTGAGCTGTGGCAACACCAACATTTCCTTATAGTAGGGGGTTTTAGTCAGGTTTAGTTGGAGGGAGAGGGTCCGGGACTTATTTCCAGGCTGTTTTTACCTAGAAAGCACCTTGTTTTCATCAATACCTAGACTAGGGTTTCCCTACCTAAACGCTGCAGACATTTTGAGCAAGGTATTTCTTTGGTGTGAGGAGTTGTCCTGTGCACTGCGGATGTTTAGCAGCATCTCTGGCTCTATCTACTTGATGTCAATAGCAAACCCCCCTCAGCTGTGATAACCAAAATGTCTCCAGATATTGCCAAATGTCTCTTGGACTGGAGGCAAAATTCTCCCCAAGTTGAGAAGCACTAACAAACTGTTTAGGGTTGGGGCTGAGGGGAGGAGGCATCAGGGATTTTTTTTTTTTTTTTTTTTTAATGATCATAGATCAAGGCTTCTCTCTGTGGTTAAAGTCTCCTCGGAAGTTTAATGCGAAAGGAGGCAAAAACCACACCTGCACATGGCAGAAGTCATGGCCTAATATCAGAGTTTTACACACAGCCCCGTGACTAGCACAAAGTCAATCTGCATTAAGTATATACCGAGTGCACTTTCCAGCTTACAACCAGGGGAGTGACAGTGCCTCCAGGGAGCCCTGGGCAACTGAAAAAAGGAAAACTTCCACGGATAATCCATGATTGATATTAGAGTTTACACGGTGCGGGTGTGTGTTAGGGTTGGGGGGTGGGAGCAGTAGAGGATTAGGGGCAGGAAGAGGGAGGGTAGGTAGTTCTAAACTCCTGTGGTTCCCGGGCAAGACCAGGGGCCACCGGGGTCTCAGGGCTCTATGGGGTTCCCCACAACAGTCTGGGACAGGGTTGCTCACCTGGCGGCAGGAAGAGAGCGGCGCGCACCCGGCCCGCGCGCACCCGCTCCCGCCGCACCCCGGGCCCCAGGAAGTGGCGCTCGTGCACCGTCCGGCCCAGGAGCCGCTCAGTCCACGGGTCGTGGCCGTCCAGCACCTCCAGCTCCACGGCGAAGGGCGTCTCCACGTCCCGCTTCAGCAGCCGCTGCAAAGGCTTCTCGGGCTCCAGGGCCCAGAGGAGCCCCATGGGCTCGAGCCCCGCGAAGCTGCCCCCCAGCGCGGGCGCGCGCGCCAGGTCCAGCAGGCCGCGGGCGTCGGCGCAGTAGCGCGCGTGGGCCCGGAAGCGCGCGCCCTTCTCGTCGCGCAGGGACGCGCGCAGCGTGACGGGCTGCCCCGGGGCCAGGCCGCTCACGGCGATGCGCACCGGCTGGTCCCAGCAGCAGCGGCCCGCGGGCTCCACCGTCACCGTCGCCATCCCAGTGCGGGCAGAAGAGAGGCAGCAGGGCAGGTCAAGGTCAAGCCCGGCCCAGCAGCTCTCCAGCTCCTTAGGACGCAGTGCCAGTCAGAACTGTTGCCCTCCCCGACTACTTGGAGCTGGAAGCGCTCTTTAAACCGGAGTTCTCCTGAGTGCAAATCAATCCACAAGCGCCTGAATGGAAGGATGACTTTAAGAAGAGTTAATTAGTAAGCCGGCAATCCCGTGTGCAACTCAGCACAAAGACTGCTAGTCACAGGATTGGGAAAGCTATCAAGGTTAATAATTGTATCAACATTAGTTTCTTGATATATAGGGCGGATGGGACACATGGAAGATGCCCAGCAAATGGAAGCTCAATACATATTTGTCAGCTGAACTCAGAGATACCTGATTAAGCCCCAGTTCTCAGAATTCAGTGAGCTTTCCTCATTCCACCTTCTGAAATAACTGCTATAGCGTATTTTCAATACCTGTGTTTAAAGTGTAGTCTATCCTCAATCTAGAACGTTCAGTTTACGGAGATTCCACCTGAGCTGCTTCAGTCACCAGCTGGACACTTGTAATCTCTACTTAGATTTCAGAAAGGTGGGGAGAAAGGTGGTCTCTACTCCCCTCCTTGATACCTGGGCTGCTATGAGTAAGCAGAGAAATGTCTCCAGGCACATCAGGGAAAAGCAGCTGCCAAGGTGCAGAGGAAAATTCCCAACCTCTTTGGGTTCTTACTGGACTGCTCAGCAAACAAATTAGCATCAGAAAGATTCGTAGGAGAAAAAGACTAAATTTAATTATGTATTATGGAGAATTTACATGGCTGTAAATTCTAGAGTAAATGGGATAAATATTTATCCTGAGCTAAGGATGGGTATAGGAGCCTGGGGGATTAAAGTGAGAGGAGAGGGACTTTATGCAGGGATGAAACCTGCACTGCAGAGGCTGCAGACAGCCTCACAGCCTGGCGCTCAACCGCCTGTGCCACCAGGGGAGGCCCAATAACTCAATTTCAATAATACTCTCAAGGTTAATAATTGTATCAACATTAGTTTCTTGATTTTGATCTTTGTATGATTGTTATGTAAGGTATTAGTTAGCCTTAGGGGAAGTGGATGGAGGATATAAGAAATCCTGTGTTATTTTGCAACATTTTTATAAGCTTCAAATTATTTAAAAAAAAAATTCAGATAGTGATGAAACCACCATAGAGGATCACTTTGGTCCTCTGTGTCCAACTTGTAGGATAATAAAACCTATCCATCTCAGATTTTTCCATTCCTCCAACACTTAGTCTTTCCAATTTGACTGACATTTCTAGGAATTATCTCTGATCCTGTAATGTGAATCCTCTGAAATTCTTAAATATTTCTCTTGTTCAAGTCATCTCAACTCAGGTATATAGTTTCTCCAAAGGAATCTGCTCTGTAATGGGTCTTTAGAGAAAGGATATTAGGGCCACATATCTCTTCCTTTGAGGGTGTCTCATCCCTAGACTTTAAGGGGAAGACTCCCTACATTCAGAGATTAGGTTAAATGGAAGGCATTGTTTTCAAAACAGCTACTTGCTGTCTGAGTTCTCTCTTGACTCAATTCCCTGAACTTTGAACTGCAGAAGTTAACAAGTTGACTGCTTGCCACGAGTTTTGTCCTTAGCTACAGCTGTTATTGGGTGTTTGAGAAATTAACTTTTAGGTGCTGCATCTATTATTTTGTAATTTTATTAAATCAATAACAATGCATCTCTTTAAACATGATTTATTAAATCAGTGAACGATGACCAGATTGTTTGGTTAAGCAACTGTTGAATGAATAGAATGTATGCTGGCTCACAAAAAAACATTCTTATTTGCTGATATTCTGACTATTCACCACCACCACCATCATCACCATTCATGCCCTACATTAGCTCGGCCTCTGACAATTTGGAATAGTAGGATGTAAATCTTTGGGAAAACCCAAGTGCCAACTTCTTTGCATTTTAGTGAAAAGTGCATCATTTGAGATGGATGGCACCTTTTTGATCATTCCTGATTCCTTCTGTGACTGCAGTTGTTTTCCAGCATCCCATAATTAGGGTCACAGTCATCTTCATAATCTCACGAAATACAGAAGTGGAGCATCTAACTCTTGGAATGTCACATTCAGAGGAAAGTCCTCACTGTGAGACTCTCTCTTCCCTAATTCAATCCGGTCAATGCGAAAATCCTCTGCCCTTATCCTATGACTCCAGTAAACAATATAACAGATTTTTCAAAAGTTCAGTTGTATATTATAATGAAAGCTGGATTCCCTTTGAATCATTGGCTCTTTTCAATATTGTGTCTCTTAGCCCATAGTAGCCTTCCTCCTTTATCTCTATTGTTTAGTGGATGACTTTAAGGTGACTTAAGGACTAAACAAATTTGCCCCTCTACATCCTGAGGTGCCTCATCTGCACCTGGACCTGATGTGCTGATGCAATCTTGGAACTTGGGTCTGAACAATGAGACTTTTGGGTGAACTTAAAAGATCAATGGGAATATTTGACATGTGGAAGGAATGTTAATCATTAAGGTCAGAATGTAGATTGTATTTTCCAAAGATGGCTACAATATTTTCCATTCTACATGTGCTTGCAGGATATTGCCACCCTCAATAGGTGTGTTCTTGAACTTGGGTGGGCCTTTGGGACTGCAGTGACCAAAAGAATTTGGCAAGAGAGATGCTCTGCAGCTTCCAAGACTAGGTCAAAAGAATGCCATGCAAGTCTGCCTCATTCTCTTGGGATGCTCACTGTTGGGATCCAGAGAATTAGCCAGTGAAAAGGCCCATGTGGAGAGAAGTTGAGAGCCCCCCTAACCCGTAGCCCTCTCTGAGTTCCCAACTGACAGCAAATACCAACCTCCTGGTAAGTGATAAGTGTAAGTGATCCTTTCAAAAGTAGATCCCCAACCCTCAATGAAATTGCTCCGGCCAAAGATACTTAGAACCACGGTAATCCATTTCTGAGTCCTGCCCAATTTATAGACCCTTGAGAACAAGAAATGGTTATTGCTTTAAGCCACTATGTTTTGGGGTGATTGGTTACTCAGTAATAGGTAACTGAAACAGTGTAAATCAGTCACATAAATCAATTTATTTTCCTCACATATTCACAATTTAGACAAGGCTTGACAGGGACAACTCTTCTCTGCCTCAGGGTATCTGAAGTCTTTGCTGGGAAGATTTAAATAGCTGGGGGCTAGAATCATCTGGAGGTGTTTTGTCTGGTACAACCTTTGATAACTCAAAGGTTGAGCTCAGTTGGAACTGTCACATTTGGTCTCTCTGTGTTTTTTTTTTTTTTAAGATTTATTTATATATTTATGCATAGAAGAATTGGACTGTAGGCTAGAGGTGCAGGGGTGAGAGGATTCACCAGAGACAGAGTGGGAAGCAGAAGAGGCGGATCCACTGAAATACACTGCTGAGGGGAGCAGCGGCCAGACAGGAAAGGTCTGCTGCACCATATGTGGGTCAGCTCCCTGGCTAGGGATTGAACTCAGGACTCAGGACCAGTAGTGGTGATAGCGCTGAGACTTAACCCCTAGACCACCAGGGAGGGCCCCTCTCCATAAGTTTTGGGCTTCCTCAGAGAGGCAAAGGCTCTAGACAAGTGGTCCCAGCAAACAAGGAGGAATCTTCATCTTCTTTTCTGCCCTAGCCTCTGAAGTCACAGCATCAATTCTGCTCTACCAATTGAAGTAGTATGGAAATTTGGTGAAGGGTGGGGGCTGGAGGGGAAGGGAAGAGTAGACAGGGTGGGACATAGGACTCCCATCTCTTGGTAGGCTAAATGTCAAAGAATTCATGGCTATGTTATGAAACTACCACAAGTAATTTTTCTGTATTTTTTTTTTTATTTCTCTAGCTTGACATTTATATTTGTGTTTTATATAAATATCTGTATAAATGTAGACTGAATGCTTGTGTCCTTCTCCCAGCCCCTTTCCCCCGATTTATACAGTGAAATCCTAATCTCCAGTGTGACAGAATTTGGAGGTAATTAGGTTTAGATGAGGTCACAAGAATGCAGTCCTTATGATGGATTAGAGTCCTTATGAAAAAATGGAAGAGAAGCCAGAGTTCCCTTTTTACACTATCTGAAAACATAGGAAGGAGATAGCTCTCTCTAAGCCAGGAAGAGGACCTCACTGGGAACCTTGATCATGAGCTTCCCAGCCTCTAGAGCTGTGAGAACTATCTGATGCTTGAGCCACCCAAGCGTAGTATTTTGTTATTATCAGCCCAAGCTGTCTAAAACATAGTGCTTCTTGAATGTGCAGCTTCATATCTTTGTCAGTTTTGGAAAATTCTCAGTCATTATCTCTTCAAATACACTTACACAATGTTGTGTAGGCCTGATGTTGAAATGTGAATGTTGAAATCTAAAATTGACATGCCTTGATTTTCCAAAGTCTATTCTTAAGCCAGGAAGCAAGAAGGAAAACAGGGCATAGTCACCCTCAGAGCACAGTTTAGATTTAACTTCTTTACTCCTACTCTTCCAAGAAAAGGATTCTTCTCTGATATACATGAGGAAAAGGTCAGTTGGCTTTCCTTATATCAACACCTCTCTGTACATTTTTGGTCAATGAAAATTCTGTCACTGCTAGTTGAGCCAGGTGTAAACACTAAATGCTCATTTTCTCCTGGTGATGGAAAAAGTAACCCAGTATTTGTTCAACTTTGAATTTCTCTATATCTCAAAGTGTTAAGTAAAAAAAATCAAGATGAAAACACAAATTTTAACATTAGAGGTGCTTTTTACTTTTTGGTGTTGTATACCTCTAATTGATCTTTTACAATAGGTATGTGTTGTGAGTAAAATTAATGAAAATAACTTATTCAAAAGAGTTATCTAAAATATATCACTAATGGGCCTCCCCGGTGGTGCAGCGGTTGAGCGCTGGGTTGCGAAGCTGCCCGCGGCCTCTGCGGCGCCGGTTCGATCCCCAGCTGCTCCCCGGCCACCGGAGGAGGGTCCCACATGGCGCGCAGACCTCTCCTGCCGCCCGCTGCTCCCCTCAGCAGTGTACTTCGGTCCTTCTGCCTGCTCTGCTCCCCGCTCTGGCTCTGGTGAATTCTCTCACCCTCCCGCGCCTCTGACTGTACCCAGTGCTTTTATAAACAAAACAAACAACCAACCAAATAAATAAAACATGCCTCTATAAAAAAAAAAATAATAAAATATATCACTAATATGAATGACATGAATTTAATGTTATCCAGAGAATAGTTGATTGACATTATTAACACCTTAAATCGCCTGTGTCAATAAGACCAAAGCATTACAATTTGGAGCAAGCTCGTTTCTGAGTACCTCCAAGGTGTTTGCCGAAGAAGGTTAGAATTTGCTCCCAAGCATCTATCTGGGCCTTAGAATGAGCCCTGGGCTCCCCACCCCAGATCACACGTTGGTCCAGTAGTTTGTGCACAGAAGCTGGGCAGAAGGGGAAATAAGGAGGCTCAATATAATGCCCAGCCCCAGGGTAAGAAATGATCTGGGGTTTTTCCTTTCCATGGGCCTGTAACCGTTCAGAAGCTTTTTGGGTATATAACTCACTCCTCCAGTTATGATCATCCTGACCAGCAATAAAGAGGATGGGCCCCTGGGCCTTCTCCATTGGAATCATGCAGGGGTTCTCACATCCTCCAACAATATCATTCCGCATATCCAAAATGTCCAGGAGACCTGAGAAAGCTATCTTGACTCTCCTCACATCATGGCCCAATGGTGGGATGCTAGTCTGCTTGTAGTGTATGGGTCTGCTTGCAGAGAATCCAGATCCATTGATGGAAACTATCGCCGAGATATTCTTCATAAATGAGGCCATGGAGAGACAAATATCAGCTCCCAAAGAAATGCCCAGAAGCCCAATGTCTGGGCCCTTTACCTGGAAAAAAAGGAGAGAAGAGTCAAGAATCTACCCACAGAAAAATGCTTTTCTAAATGCAACTAGAGATGTTGCTATCTCTAATTTGTGAATTGGCCACAAGAGACTCAACCTCAGTTGACAGAGGAGCTTCTTCCCACTTAAAGAATATCTAGCTGGACACTGGCAAACTTGGGAACTGGTTATAAACTAGGGCCTCATACACTACAGAACGCTGAGTCATGAAGACTGGCCAGGTTTAGGGCTTCATCAGGTGGGCATGATCAAAGTTTCAGTGTGCTTGGGTATCTTTGTGGAAATAAGTTTTCTTTTCCAAGAGGTGAATCATTCATCAGACCCCATCTAAATATATCCACAAATGATTAACTTTACAGAAACAAAGAAAGACTTCACAGTCTAATAAAGTAGTTCTTAGTTTTTGAAATGGGTGGGCAAGTTCAGATCAAAATCTGATATCAGAAAATTATAGATTAAAAACAAGCATTCAAACCTACTTAATTAGAAACTACTTGTTGAATAAAAGGAATTTTTTACTATCACTCAATTCCAGTAAATAAAATCTCACGTGGATTTTATGATGATTTCTGCATTATTACTCTGACAGAGAAAGTGGAGACAGACAACTAAAGCCAAAGATGTCTCCAAACAAAATCTGTGAACATTTAGGGCATCATCAGTGCACCAACACCATAAGTGCAAGCAACACTCTCTCTAGAGATATTTCTAGAAAGAATGATAACATGAAAGACTTTAGCAGAACCTGGGAGTGTTGAAGCATGTAGCACAGCGCTTCTTCAAAGTAGTCCAGGTGGATGGTGTCAATATTCTTGGGGAGATCTTCAAAGTCATAATAAGCTAAAGCCATGGTGGCAAAGCCATGGCCAGCCAGAAGACTGGCTCTATATTCCATCAGGCCCCCTCCAACACCAAAGATGTCAATGATCCCTGGGAAAGGTCCAGGTCCTAGAGAAGGGAATATTATAAAGGAAGATATAATACAACCTAAAGAATTTGTTTTCCTTTCAGAGATTCTTCTAAGTTATTTAATGGGTTTCTATGATTAAAAGAAAGAAAACAGCTCCTTGAGTCACTACTGAAAAGGGATACAAGTTCCTTGAGGACAGAAAGTCTCCAAGGTACTCCTGAACTGATTAGTTTACTCTCTATATGATTCTAGGAAAATTGCAGGATTCTAAGAATCTTTAGCTGTGAGGAAGAGTAATAAAGTCATTAATAACTACATCTTGAATGGAGGAAGTGCATGTGTTCCTTTAGAGACACAGAATCAAGGATCTTGAAACAAAGCTTTATATAGTGTTGCATTAACCCCTGGCTTTTTTTGTGCACTGATGGCTTAGATGTCTATTAAGAAGAAAGGAAAAAAGTATTCAATATGGCTTAAGGCAAGGAAGACAGTGAAGTGTGACCTATACATAAGGGGTAGGAATCCAGAGTAGCCAGGGCACTGGAGAAGGTGGTATGGCAAACGCTTTCTTGACCATCATTTAGTGGAATACTGACTGGTATGGCTGATGCCCGTAGTGACCAGAGCGTGATTATTAATAGTAAAGTGGACAACATACCTATGTTTTTAAACTTCAGGGCAACAGTACTCACTTCATTGAGATATTAGAGATTAAGCGAGCTAATGCAAACAAAACGCATAGCACAGAACCGAACATACCAAAATCCTCTAGTTCAGTAATGTGGCCGCTGATTCAGTCCGTGTCAGCTTCTCTAGACCGTACTCCCGAGTCAAACCCCGCTTAAAGCAGTTCTGAAAGCACCGGTGGCCCAGAGCGCAAGCTCGGAAGCCCCAAGACCCCGGCTCACCTGGCGGCAGGAAGAGCGTGCCGCGCACCCGGCCCGCGCGCACCGGCTCCCGCCGCACCCCAGGCGCCAAGAAGTAGCGCTCGTGCACCGTCCGGCCCAGGAGCCGCTCAGTCCCTGGGTCGTGGCCGTCCAGCACCTCCAGCTCCACGGCGAAGGGCGTCTCCACGTCCCGCTTCAGAAACCGCCAAAAAGGCTTCTCGGGCTCCAGGGCCCAGAGGAGCCCCATGGGCTCGAGCCCCGCGAAGCTGCCCCCCAGCGCGGGCGCGCGCGCCAGGTCCAGCAGGCCGCGGGCGTCGGCGCAGTAGCGCGCGTGGGCCCGGAAGCGCGCGCCCTTCTCGTCGCGCAGGGACGCGCGCAGCGTGACGGGCTGCCCCGGGGCCAGGCCGCTCACGGCGATGCGCACCGGCTGGTCCCAGCAGCAGCGGCCCGCGGGCTCCACCGTCACCGTCGCCGCCATCCTGGCCTTGCACTGCCGCTGTGCGGACTCTGAGCTGGAGGCTGCAGGCCAGGCCACAGTCGCGTCCCAGGTCGTGAGAGGTCGGGCACTGAGCAGCCTGAGGAGGCGTGTGAGCGCTTCAGACCCGCGGACCCCGCGCTCTGAACTTGTCTGAAGTAAAAACACCAGGTTGTCCTCTAGAGAGGCCCTCAGAGGCGGCCTGAAATCTGGGTGTGGCCCTGAGCTCTGCCCGCTGGAAGCTTCTTTGCCTCAAACCACTCTCACTCGTTGGAGTGCAAGTTATTGAGTAATCGGACCGGAGGTAAACCAGAGATGAAGGAGTTAATGCAGAATTCCAAGAATTCCAGCCTCTTCATGGTAAGGGCAACTTAAAAAACTATTAACTAAAATATACGTCGAAAAAGTGCACAAGTTTCAAGTGCACAACAGAGTGAATTTTCACAACGCGTACAACCGAGCTCAGGGATCCAGAAGCGTCATTACTAGTGCTCATTTCCACTCTGGGCATGTTCCCCTTCCCAAAAGCATCTCTATCCTGATTCGAACAAAATGGGCTGGGTTTTCCTGACTGCATTTAATGGCAATGAATCCTTCAAGGGGCCCTCTTCAGTGTCTTTTTGCTTTCCCTCAAAATGCTTGTGTTTGTGAGGCTTATTAATATTTTGGGGTGTAGTTATAGATTGTTCATTATCACTGTTAAATAGTATTCCTTTTTGTGATGATAAAATGATTTGTCAATTTGGCTGCCAATGGGCATTTGGTGGTTCCCAGTTTGGGATTATTATGAACATCCAAGAAGCTCTCTTTTGATAGAGATATATGTGTCTTTCAGTGGGGTATATACCTGAGAGTGGAATTGCTGTATCATAAGGAACAAGAATGTTCCGCCTTAGAGGATACTAAAAGTCAGCCTTTTGAATGTGACCCTAGAAGCAATATAAATAGAGTGTTCAGGGATTTTATATTTGTCATTATAATAGCTACACTGTCAATGTCTGTCTGTTTGACATAAAAAATTTAACATGTTCACAAAACACTGGGACTGTTTTCCAAATGTTGCAGAAGAGGAACCTGAGGCTTGGAGAATGTTAAGCTACTAAGGATTGCCCTCTAGTGTCAGAGCCTTGACTAACTTCAAAAATGAAACTCAAAGTTAAGCAGTAGTGTGGTGGTGAAATGTAATCAGCATTGACTAGTTCTGTAGCCTTAAGCAAATTTATTGTCTCTCTGGGTCTCAAGAATTCTGTGCAAGGTGATAAATGCCTCCCATGTGAGAATCAAAGGTGATAGTGGTAGGATGGCCATTTTGATAATGCTAATTCTTCCCATCTGTGAGCAGGTAATGTCTTTTTTTGCATGTCTTGTTTTGTAATTTTCTTTGTATAGGTTTTTCACCTCCTTTGTTAGGTTTATTCCCAGGTATTTAATTTTTGGGGGTACAACTGTAAATGGGATGGATTTCTTAATTTCTTATTCACAGTGATTGTTTGCATATAGGAAGGCTACTAATTTTTGTGTGTTGATTTTGTAACTTGCTACCTTACTAAAATGGTTTATTGCTTTAATTAGTTTTCTGTGGAATTTTTACAGTTCTCTCTATATATTATCATATCATCTACAAGAGTGATGGTTTTACTTCTTTCCCTATTTGGATTCCTGTATGTCTTTCTCTTGCCTAATTGCTCTAGCTAGTACTTCCAGTATTATATTGAAAAGCGGTGGTGAGAGTGCACATCCTTGTCTTGTTTCAGATCTTAAAGGGAGGGCTTTCAGTTTTTTACCACTAAGAATGACGTTAGCTGGGCCTCCCCGGTGGCGCAGCGGATGAGCGCTGGGTTGCGAAGCTGCCCGCGGCCTCTGCGGTGCCGGTTCGATCCCCGGCTGCTCCCCGGCCACCGGCGGAGGATCCCACATGGCGCGCAGACCTCTCCTGCCACCCGCTGCTCCCCTCAGCAGTGTACTTCAGTCCTTCTGCCTGCTCTGCTCCCCACTCTGGCTCTGGTGAATTCTGTCACCCTCCTGCACTTCTGACTGTACCCAGTGCATGTATAAACAAAAAACAAACAAACAAAATAAATAAATAAAATATGCCTCTATAAAAAAAAAAAAAAAAAAGAATGACGTTAGCTGTGGGTTTGTTGTGTACGACATTTATTATGTTGTTATACTCCTTGTGTCCCAAGATTTTTTTTTTTTTTTAATAGAGGCATGCTTTATTTATTTGTTTGCTGTTTGTTTGTTTGTTGTTTGTTTTTTTTTAATACATGCACTGGGTACAGTCAGAAGCACGGGAGGGTGAGAGGATTCACCAGAGCCAGAGCGGGGAGCAGAGCAGGCAGAAGGACCGAAGTACACTGCTGAGGGGAGCAGCGGGCAGCAGGAGAGGTCTGCGCACCATGTGGGACCCTCCTCTGGTGGCCGGGGAGCAGCCGGGGATCGAACCGGCGCCGCAGAGGCCGCGGGCAGCTTCGCAACCCAGCGCTCAACCGCTGTGCCACCGGGGAGGCCCTGTCCCAAGATTTTTGAGGATCTTCATCATAAATAGATTTATTAAATATTTTCTCAGCATCTGTTGATATGATCATACAGTTTTTGCTTTTCTTTCTTTTTGTTGATGTATTGAATTACATTAATTGATTTTGGATGTTGAACTGTCCTTGTGACGCTGGAATAAATTCTACTTGTTCATTATTATCTTTTTGATGCATTGTTGTTGTATATTATCTTTTTGATGCATTGTTGGATGATTTGGTTTGCTAGGAATTTATTGAAGACTTTTGCTTCTGTGTTCATTAGGGAATTGGCCTGTAGTTTTCCTTTTTTATGTTGTCTTTGTTTGGTTTTGATATCAGTGTTAATGTTGGCTTTGTAAAATGTGTTTAAGTAGTATTCCTTCTTTCTCAATTTTTGGAGAGTTTTTGTAGGATAGGCACCTTTGTGCCAGTTCATCTTTGAACGTTTGGTAGAGCTCTGTGAAACCATCTGGTCCTGGGCTTTTGTTTCTGGAGAGGGTTTTAATTATGGTTTCAATTTTTTTGCTTGTAATTAGTTTGTTTAGGTTTTCTATTTCTTCTTTATTCAGCTTTGGATGACTGTATAGTCCTAAGAATTTGTCCCTCTCATCTAAATTGTTGAACTTGTTTGCATATAAATGTTCATAGTAATCTCTGATTATCTTCTGGATTTCTGCTGTGTCTGTTGTAATTTCTTCTTTTCCATTTATGATCTTATTTGAGTTTTCTCCCTTTTTTTCTTTGTAAGTCTGGCTAGAAGTTTGTCTATTTTGTTGTGTTTTTTTTTTTTTTCCCCCAAAGATCCAGCTCTTGGTTTTATTGATCTTTTGGATTGTTTTTTTTAATTTCCATTTCATTTATTTCTGCTTGAATTTTTATTATTTCCATTCTTCTACTGGCTTGTTGTTGTTGTTCTTTTTTCTAGTTCCTCAAGATGGGAGAATAGGTTGTTTCTTTGAGTTCTTTCTTATTTCTTGATGTGGGCCTGTATTGCTATACACTCTTATTACTGCTTTTGCTGTGTCCCATACATTCTGGAAAATTCCTTACTGTCATTCATCTCAGGGTACTTTTTAATTTCTTCTTTGATTTCCTCATTAACCCAGTGGTCTTTCTGTACTATGTTGTTCAATCTCCACATAATGGGGAGGGGGGTGCTTGCTTTCTTTTCATAGTTGATTTCTAGTTTGATGCTTTTATGTTAATAGTTGGTATGATTTCAGTCTTCATGTATTTGTTGATATTTGTCTTGTGGCCCAGTAGATGGTTGATCCTGGAGAATGATCCACATATGCTTGAGAAAAATGTATATTTAGTTATTTTTGGATGCAGTGTCCTATCTGTTAGTCCCATGTGGGCTATGTTTTTTTTTTTTTTTTTTTCGGACTCATTGATCAGGGTCTGCTTTTGAGGAAACCTAAGCAGACACTCTCAAATTAGCATAGTAATTCACCATATTTTATTAAACTACTTCTATCATTTATATTTTGAAGTAATCTTATTTAGTGCAACAATTTTTGTGTTGCTATATCTTGGTAAGATGAACTTTTTTAAAAAAACAATTTTCTTTTTCTATAGTAATGTCCTTTCCCCCACTTGAACTGATTGTTGATATTAGTAAAGTTATACTTTTCTTTTTGTTAGTATTTGCTAGGTATATTTCTCTTTCTCTTTTTTTACTTTCTTATATATTTTTTTAAGTATTTGGTGTATCTGCTGGAGATGGCTTTAATTAATGTTTAAAAAAACTCCATCTGATCAAGTCTGTTAACAGGCAAGTTTGATCCATCAGTGATTATTGTGTTTATTGATATGTTCAGATATTTCTACCACTTTATTGTGTACTTTCTCTGTGCTTCTTCTATGCTTATTTCTTGTCCTACTTTGTTATCTTTTGTTATCTTCTGTTCATATGGAAATTAATGTTATTAAATTTTCTGAAAGAGAAATTAATGTCTGTTTTGTTTAAGAGAAGTTTGGGGGATTTGCTATCACTAACAAGCATCCCTAGCCCTAATGTTCTTTCTAACTTCTGTTATGATAGGTTGGCTCTGTATCCCAACAAGTTTCATAAGGCTATTATTAAATTCTGCTAATTTAAAAAGGAGGTTCAGATGCTAGACAGCCAAAGAAATGATAAATTATCCTCTACATTATTTTTGATGCAAAGAGTTTGGGGCAAACAACAAAGTTAGAAGGAATAGTTTTTAGAGGAGACTTTACTCCTGACCCCAAATGCAAGTTTAGGGTGGTCCCCAAATTACTTTGATAGTTTCAATACTTTGCTAGAAGGACTCATTGAACTCACTGGAAGCTATTATATTTGTGGTTATGGTGTGTTACAGGATAAGATAAGGATTAAAATCATGCAAGGGAAGAGGTGCATAAGGTAGAGTCCAGGGAAGTTCCTAATATGAAGCATGTGTTACTCTCTTCATGGGGTCAAGATGTGATAATCTCCTAGCACAGATTTCTGATAATAACACAACCAGGAAAGGTCACCTAAGCCTTGTTTTTCAGAATTTTATTGGGGCTTCTTTATGTAGGCATAATTGATTGATTGTCCACATGGTTGATCTTAGTCTGCAGGTGGACTGATAATACCCAAAGGCTTCACCCTAAATCACATTGTTGATCTTTCTGGTGTGACCAGTCCTTATCCTAAAGTGTGGACAGTCCGCACCCTAAATAACATTGTTCATTTTTCTGGTCTGACTAGTCCTTATCCTAAGTGTGTGACCCACCCAAACCATTCAGTGTGCCCCAAGGCCCCTCAGTAAAGAGGCTGCTTCTGGCATCACATCCCAAGGACATAGGGATCACCTTCCAGTAGCCAAAAGTAAAGGCCAGACCTCTCTTGCTAGAGTTAATTTTTTAATACACATTGGCGAACTTTTTCTGACTTCCTGTTCACCTTTCTGTGGAGCCTTTTAAATTGAAACCCAAAGTATCCCCAGGTTCTCAGACTTCTCTCTCTTGACCACAAACCACCTGAGTGTGGAAGGACTTGGTATCTGTTGTTGGGTGACCTCATTGATACTGCAGCTATGCTTTCTCTTGTCCTGATTTCTTTTGTTATATTTGTGGGTTTTTTCCTTATTTTTGTTTTATTTTTTTTATTGTTGTTGTATTCTGAGTTCTTAAAGCTAAGTAAACTTGGTGCTGAGCCTGTTCTATTTCACAAATTTGTTGGTCACTATCAAAGACTATTGCTGCTAGTGAAACAGTATGTATTGCTATGCTCCATGCCTTAATTTTTTTTCATAAATTTCCTGCCCGTGGGGTCTCTCTAGATCCATCCCAATGTCCACACAGAATGGGCTCCCACTTACTACTCAGAAGGAAAGGCAACAGTCCTTCCTCCCTCCCTCCATCTTTTGGGTCTAACTAGAAAGTACCAAGAAATTATTGAGATCCTATAAAATGTGTAAGATACAAACGGTCCATACTTCCTATAAGCCATTACACTAGAGCTCTTTAATATTACAGTGGTATCCATGAGGGTACTCAACACCATATTATTTTTCTGAAGTGTATTGTCAGTTATATCCTCCTCTTCCTACAAAATCTTTAAGGTCTCCCTTTGCCTGTTTAATTATATACATTTGAGGCTACTGACCCCATAGCATTCTCTTAGCTCTATAGTTTTACCACACTCCTGTTTTATATGTCCCTTAGACTCTAGCACTGAGTCTCTTATTTTCTTTTTTTTTTTTAAGATTTATTTATTTATTTATTTATTTATACAAGCACTGGGTACAGTCAGAAGTGCAGAAGGGTGAGAGAATTCACCAAAGCCAGAGCGGGGAGCAGAGCAGGCAGAAGGACCGAAGCACACTGCTGAGGGGAGCAGCGGGCGGCAGGAGAGGTCTGTGCGCCATGTGGGACCCTCCTCTGGTGGCCGGGGAGCAGCCGGGGATCAAACCAGCACTGCAGAGGCTGTGGGCAGTTTTGCAACCCATCGCTCAACCTCTGCGCCGCCAGGGAGGCCCTGAGTCTCTTATTTTCATTTCTTAAAATGATTTCTATCAACTCCATCTTGCAGAACCTAACACTCATATATTCACACATGTACATACCATTTAATTGGCAAGTAACAAGGTGATATAATGTGGCAAATGTATGTAGAATTACTAGCATGCAGACTGAGGGGCAAACTCTTAGTGTGATAGAACTTTAATAGAAAAGAACTTTAGGGTCTCCCCTGGTGGCGCAGGCTGGTGAGCGCTGCCCCGTTAAGCTGTCCACAGCCTCTGCAGCACCCATTTGATCCTGGCTGGCCTGCTGGCGGGCAAGTGTCCCACATGGTGCAGCAGACCCCTCCTGCCTCCCCTGCTGCTCCTCTCAGCAGTGTATTTCATTGGTATGCCTGTTCTCTTCCCCGTTCTGTCTCTGGTGAATCCTCTCACCCTCCCGCGCATCTGGCCTGTACCCCGGTTCTTATATAAATAAATATCTTTAAAAAAAAAAAAGAACTTTAATAGGATTAATGTGTGTAGAGAGAGAAGAGAATAGTTTCCCAATGAAACACCCAAAGTTACCCATCTCCTTGTGGGTAAATGCCCACACAAATAGGGTTGGCCCACAGCTAGGCCGCTGAGAACTGAAAACTTGCCACAAGTCTAAGGCACCTTCTAGCAGGGGACCATAGGAAAGACACAGAAGGGCCAAGCAAGTCCGAGATGAAAGGATCAAAATCAGAGTCCTTGGAGTGTCTTGGACAATCCTGTAAACAGGCAGTAGTGGGAAGAGAAAAGTTTAAAAAGAGGAAAAAGGTAGGAACAAAAGGCAAATCACTTACACATTGTTAACAATCAAGGGCTCATAGCTGACTGTCAGCTACTCTAGATCTATTTTTAATGTATTTTTAACATCCAGTACTCTGAAACAATCCCCTGCCTCATCTGCACTGCAAATCTAGGAATTCATTGAAATTTTATGTTAGCGAAAGGAGAGCTACTTCCTTTCCCTCTGACTGGAGCTGTTATCCTGCAGAGAATATGGACAGGTATAACAAAGAAAGAAGAAACTGGACTGAGAGATACTAAGTCCAGCTCTACATTTACTATGATTTGAATTTCTCTGAGACTGAATTTCCTCATCTCAAAATGAGGTGACACCTGCCTCACAGATTGGTGGCATTAAATGATGAGCACACAGCAGTATAGAAGGAAAAGCTGACAAAAAGAGCACTGTACTGTTTTTGAATTTCAGAGGAAAAAAATGAACAGGAATTGCTTTATAATATGAAATTTGAGGAAACAATACCATAATCATAAGTTAAGGTATTTTTTACTTTAAATACATTAAGCTTTAAGAAAAGGTTAGTAAGTTTATTGGGCTTCACTGGTGGTGCAGTGGTTGAGCACTGGGTTGCGAAGCTGCCTGCAGCCTCTGCAGCGCCGGTTCGATCCCCGGCCACCGGGCGAGGGTCCCACATGGTGCACAGGCCTCTCCTGCCGCCCGCTTCTCCCCTCAGCAGTGTACTTCGTCAGTCTGCCTGCTTTGCTCTCCCCTTTGGCTCTGGTGAATTCTCTCACCCTCCCGCTCTTCTGACTGTACCCAGTGCTTGTATAAATAAATAAATAAATAAATCTTAAAAAAAGAAAAGGTTAGTAAGTTTATTGTGGGATTACTTATATCATGTGATTCAAATATTAAATCAGCATTTATCTTCATATTAATCATTATTACAGTCATTTTGTAATTAATCTAAATGTTTTATTTCAAAGAAACATACTCATAAAGGCCCACATGTGTAAATAAGGTCAGAACTTAAAATTATTTGCACTAGGAAACTTGTATTTACCCAAGTAGAAGATAACAAACTAAGAATGTATTTGCATTGAAAATTTTTAGTAGTTTTACATCTCTCACAGTTTATAGCTAAGATGTTATTAATTTCCGTTTTTAAAGGAGAAATGCAAAACTGATACAATTTTTAACATTACATGTTTTTCTTCCACAGTAATTATTTATTAATCAAATTAAATGTAAACAAATGCAACACACAATAGTAACAATGAATTATTACTGAGCACCAGTTGTATATATTCAATACAAGACACTGTTAATCGGTTTTAATCTTCGTTTCAGAGCTAGAGCCTTGTCAGTTGTGTTGTGATACAGGTTTTCCCTCTCTCGTGTTTTCTGCAGAATCACTCCCACCAAACGACTAAAAAGGTATGTAGTTTCTAAAAATCTTGAGGAGTTCAAATCTTGGTAAGTTCATTTTAACAAGGGGAGGGACTCTAAGGAGTTATTTAAAAGAATAAAACCACATGCACACTAATTGTGGCAGCTGTTCTCAGGAAAGATCAGCATCAGTGATACCACACTGGAATAAAAGATTACAGTTTTACTGGAATTGTCTCCTTTTTCCCACCCAAGTGTATGTGAAAGAAAGTCTGGAGCTTCTTCCAAGCATCCTCCTGGGCCATGGCATGAGCCCTGGGCTCTCCTCCCCAGATGACAGGACGGTCCACCAAGGTGTGCAGGGAAGCCGGGCACAGGGGAAAGTAAGGGGGCTCAATATAGTGTCCTGTCCCTGGGTAAAGGATGACCTGGGGCTTCTCTTTACCAGAGGCCTGTAAGCACTTAGAAGCTTCACTGGCATAGTATTCACTGTGCCAGTTGTGGTCATCCTGCCCTACAAGGAACAGGAAGGCACTTTCAGCCCTTTCCACAGGAATCAAACTCTTCTGGTCAGCTTCTTCCAAAGGTTTATTAAAGATATCCAAGATGTCTGAAAAGCCATCTTTAGTCATCTTGATTCGATTTCGGTTGACAGGTGCAGGTGTCAGGATTTCACCCTTGTAGTGTAAGGCTCCTGCAACATTGATCACAGAGCCATTGATAATGACACAAGCAGTGATGCCCTTCAGGAATGAGGCCATGGAGAGGCAGAGTTCACCCCCTTTGGAAATTCCAAGCAGCCCAACTCCTGGACCCTTTACCTGCGAAAAATAGAGGAAAAAGGAGAATGAGCCCATGAACATGCAGTGTGGTGGATGGTGCCAGAACTTGGTACTCAGGTGGAACCGAGGCTGAATCCAGGTTCTTGCATTTATCAAGGTTTGCATCCTTGGGATTTTTACTTCTTGTTCCTTTCTTCATCTTATTTCCTTAATTCTTGGTGACTTCAACAACCATGTGGATGAACCATCGAATACTTTGGCCTCTCTGTCCCTCACTGATACCTCCAACAATCTTTTACTCTATCTGTCCTCAACAACCCACTTCCATTGTCAGAACCTAAACCTAACCCTCTCTTTTTTTTTTTTTTAAGATTTATTTATTTATTCATACAAGCACTGGGTACAGTCAGAAGCGTGGGAGGGCGAGAGAATTCACCAGAGCCAGAGCGGAGAGTAGAACAGGCAGAGTGAGGAAGTACACTGCTGAGGGGAGCAGCGGGCAGGAGAGGTCTGCATGCCGCCACACGGGACCCTCACCCGGTGAGCGGGGATCCAACCGGTGCTGCCGAGGCTGCGGGCAGCTTCGCAACCCAGCGCTCAACCGCTGCGCCACCAGGGAGGCCCTAAACCTAACCTTCTTAAGTACATCATCTCTAAAACCTCAGTTTCAAACACTACTCTCTGATCATCGTCTTTAAATACTTATAGTTTAGCCATCTAGTACCGCACATTTCTATTTCATTGAGACCTTGACTACTACCATATCTTTCACTATTACTACCTATCTCATGATCTCACTTCCCATCTATCCAGCTTCACTTTCAGCTCTTCATACTTCATGAAGAAAATTGAAGTTATAAGACAGGCACTCTTCCTCATTTCTCCTGTCAAATCTGCTTAAAATTCAAGCTTTCTGCCTTCCCTCCTGTTTCCAAAGAAGTATTAAAGGTCACCCCTCTGTGCTAGCATTCTCTTTCTTTCTCTCTCTCAACTTTATCCTCTACTGGCTTATTCCCATCAATGTAGTTAAAGCTTTCATAACTCCCAAAGTTTAATAACAATCTCTCAAAGTCACATCCATCTTGCCCTAGTTTTCTACTCTTTCATAGCACAATCTGTGAAAAGTTGTCTGTAGTTGTTTTATTTCTTTTTTCTATTCTCTATTTTATCCCTTCAGGCAATTTGGATATGTATTCTTTTTTTTTTTAAAGATTTATTTATTTTTATACAAGATCTGGGGTACAGGCTAGAGGCACGGGAAGGTGAGAGGAGTCACCAGAGACAGAGTGGGGAGCAGAACAGAAAGAGGGACCAAAGTACATGGCTGAGGGGAGCAGCTGGCAAGACAGGAGAGGTCTGCCCCCCCCAATCTCCCTAGCCAGCCTGTAATAAAACAGGCATTGCAGAGGCTGCAGACAGCTTCACAGCGCTGTGCTCAACCCGCTGTGCCACCAGGGAGGGCCTGGATTTGTATTCTTTATAAGGACTGCTTTTGTCAGTTACCAAAATCTTGTATTACAAAATCTTGTATTATAAATGGCCATTTGATTGACTTCTCAACAGCAGTCTTTTTTTTTTTCCTCTCCTGGCTTCTGCAATAATACCTTTGACTTGTTTCAACAGTTTATTCCTCATACAAGTACAAGGAATTAGATGATAATGTTATTATCCCAATTTTTCAAAGGAGGACACAGAGGCTCCAATATCATGGAACTAAAATTTGGCAAAATCAAAACTTAAATTTAACTTTTCTCTATCTCCATCTTATGCTGGTCCCATTACACCCCTTTCCAAAAGCCCCAAAGCTTAAATCCACTGTGAGCGCTGATTAAATTGTAAAATAGATTTAAAGAAACTAAAATGAGCAAGGTTTATCTTCTGATACCCTGTCTAAAACTGTCAAAATATTTCCAAGGGGGTGGGGAGGTTCTCTAGTACCTAGTTTTCTGGCTTCCAGATTCTCCTTTAAAATTTAATGCTGTGTTCTCAGAGGGAGTATGAGGAAGAAGGGGCTGTTAAACAGAAACATAAAATTGGGGCCTTCTGTAGATAGTGATCCTGTCACCTTCCTCTTTCCTTACTGGTCAAATTCAGGGTTCTCAAATGTGTTTGGGTTCACTATTAAATACTATAACATACTAGAATTTTAAATTCCATAATATCAACTAAGAACATCTTTACTAGCAGGAAACATAGTAATATATAACTACATAGAAACTGTCTATGAGAAGATAGTGTGTTGGTGGCTGTCCTGAATTTGTCAAGTTCTGTGAAAACCAGGAGCATTTATGAAGACCATAGTAGACCTGATATGTAGACCACAAAAATTAGAGAAGTTCCAACCTGAGGGTGATTAAGCAGGTAGTTCACAGCTTCTTCAAAGTATTCCAGGTGAAGGTTGTTTAAGTCTTTGGGGAGGTCTTCATACTTATAATAAGCCAAAGCCATTACAGCAAAACCCTTCCCAGCCAGCAGACTAGCTCGATATTCTGGAAGGCCACCTCCAGCTCCAAAAATATCCACAATTCCTGGGAAGGGTCCGGGTTCTTTGGAAGAAACAAAACACAAAACTGAAACTCTTTAGTGCTGTTAAAAGCCATTTGTTGCCCACCCGTGATGTCAACATCCTCTGTGACAATAAGAAATGCTACAAGACCTCTGGTCTTCAAAAACCCAGACAGTGATAAGATAAATAAAATAAATCCACATTCCCCTCTACATCGAGAGCCTCCACAGGTTTTTACAAATAGTTGTATTACTTTTGTGATTAAAAATAATTTACAAGCAATGAAAATAGCAACATCACTGCACAATCTTCCCCCACCCCTCCAACTGACAATCCCAAATACTAATGTAGCAGAGTGACTGGAACCCTCATACATTCCTGGTGGAAATGCAAAAATGATACAGCCACTTTGGAAAACAGTTGGGCAATTTCTTATATACTTACCATATGACCCAGCAAACTCACTCCTACATATTTACCTAAGAAAAGTGAAAACTGAGTTCATATAAATACTAGTATGTGTTTACAGTGACTTTATTCATAATCTCCAAATACTTAAAACCCAAATTCAACTGGTAAATAAGTAAACTGTACTATAGCAATATATTGGGGTACCATTAAGAAACAAGCAGGAACTAGTGATATATGGAGCAACATGAATGTATCTCGAAAGCATTATGCTAGATAAGGCAATTATTTTATATCCAATACTTAAATAACTTAGAGTATACTAACCATCAAAGCTCCATGAGTACCTGTCCCCCTTCCCTCCCTTTCTACTATCCTGGAATTTTATCATTCTCTTGAATTCATTACAGACTTACTATTTAAATGTGTACCTTAACTAGTATTTTGTTTATTTTGCTTTAAATAAAATGATGTTGAGATGTTCTGGTACTTGACTGTTTCACTCAACATTATTTTTCAGATTCTTCTGTTAATTCTTGTAGCTGCAGTTCAGTCACTTTTGCTGTTGTACATATACCTGTTCACTCATCAGTTCTATTGCTGATGGATATCGGACCTGTTTCCAGTTGCTTTCGACCCTACAATACATATAATGGTGCACATGTACCAGGAGAATGACACTGTCAACTTTCTAAGTAAAAACAAATTGGAATAACTAAACAAAGGAATAACTATATTCCTTTTAGCAGTGTATGCATTCCTCTTCTCTGTATACTTGTCAATAATTGGTAATGTTAAACTTGAATTTTGGCAAATTTTGAGGGTGTGAAATGATTGTGTAGCTTCATTTTGTGTGTGTTTTCCTGATTCCCAGTGAGGATAAGCACCTTTCTTTCCCCCACCCCCAGGCTAGTTGCTTTTTATATGCTCGTAAAATTAAATTTCGGGTTGGTAGCCAGAGGCCATCTACCTTCATGTTAATTTTCTTAAACCATAATATATTGTGAGTGTTGAATACAAAGTTGCAAAATTAAGGAACTTAAAAAAAATAAAAATTAAAACTACTTATAAAGCTACTTATAAAAAGGTATCTTTAAAAAAAACAAAACTACAACAGTCAATAAAGGATGATGGTGGGAAACAAGTCATTGTTCTATTTGTCTGCCAGACCAAATTGGAGGAGAGGGTGTTTCAAAGTTGCAGAAGGGTAGGAGGAATGTAGAGAATCCAAATAAGGGATCAGGGAGGAAAAATAATTATAATAAACTGAAAATCAAAATCAACAAGCAACTATAAACCAGAGACATTCTGCAAGGGCGCAGAAGGGAGCAGGATCAAAACGGGTGGGAAGAGCACAAGAGACTATTGTGATGGAAGAGGGGTGGATTGGTGGTGGGAATTTCACGGGGTCTATAACCAAGATGAGAAGGCATACATTGTAAAAAAATGAAGAACGATATAAAAAATATAATAAAAAAGTTGCAGAAGAGAATTAAAACCAACGAATAAACACAACTAATGATGACCCTGACTCAGAAGAGGAAGAGAATTACTAACAAGGAGATTGACATGTGCGCCCCTGGATTTTCAAAAAAAAAGTGGGGAAATTACAAGGTCAATTTCCTTTCCTTGCTATTGATGGCCACTTGATTTTTACTGAGGTAACACTGGTTTACAACACTGGATATGATTCAGCGGTACAGGTTCATACCTCTTCCGATGTATGTTACCCCATGTGTTGTCTTTTAACTGGCCTTTCCGTTTTGGAGCGGCAGAGCCACCTCCCCTGCCAGGCTGACATTCCGCAGAAGGCTAAGGACTTGAGGAACTTGGACTGACCTTCAGCAAAACGGGTTGCTCACCTGGCGGCAGGAAGAGCGTGCCGCGCACCCGGCCCGCGCGCACCGGCTCCCGCCGCACCCCAGGCGCCAAGAAGTGGCGCTCGTGCACCGTCCGGCTCAGGAGCCGCTCAGTCCCTGGGTCGTGGCCGTCCAGCACCTCCAGCTCCACGGCGAAGGGCGTCTCCACGTCCCGCTTCACCAGCCGCAAGGGCTTCTCGGGCTTCAGGGCCCAGAGGAGCCCCATGGGCTCGAGCCCCGCGAAGCTGCCCCCCAGCGCGGGCGCGCGCGCCAGGTCCAGCAGGCCGCGGGCGTCGGCGCAGTAGCGCGCGTGGGCCCGGAAGCGCGCGCCCTTCTCGTCGCGCAGGGACGCGCGCAGCGTGATGGGCTGCCCCCGGGCCAGGCCGCTCACGGCGATGCGCACCGGCTGGTCCCAGCAGCAGCGGCCCGCGGGCTCCACCGTCACCGTCGCCGCCATCCGGGCAAAGTTTGCGGAGACTGGGTCGCCCCGCGTCAACTTTGAGGCCCCTGGCAACTCCACCCACTTCTTTGGACCGCGTCGGTAGAGCACGGAAGCTCTCAGGACAGCGGGGCATGACATCTTTTTGTACTTCACACTCTAGTCCACTAACAGGCGCTGGCTAGCGCGCATCTGGCGGCAGGCTGCCTCTCTGCGGACTAAGCGCCCAGATATGACGGAGCAGCATGCTAAGTTGAGCTGGGAGGGCTACAGTCCCGCCTTTAAAAGCAAGAGCAAAAACCGACGCGTATGAACTGGCTTAAAGCCTCCTGTTTGACAGACCCTCACTTCACCTCAGGGAAGAATTTCCAAGCTCTTTGGCTTGTGCAGTCCCCACTTGCTGGTTATCTCCCGTACCTTTCACCCAGTGCTGGCTCTGGAAGAATCTGGCGTCTTGGCAAAATTCTAGTAGCCGAACTCTTAAAGGCAAACAGGAGGGCAGGACTGGGATTAAGTTTTATCACTTTGTTGGGTAGTTCACACCTTCATGAATTATAGGCCTGAAACAGAGCAAACTCAAGGGACCCGAGTTGCCCCAATTGGAGGGTCCTTACCTGCATACTTAAGAACACAGGACACAACCCAAAAGCAGACACAGGGGGAAAAACAATAATAGGATTTATTTACACATGGAGTGAGAAAAGAGAGAGAATGGACAAGCTGACACTGACCAGATAGATGCTGTCTGTCCTACCACAGATACCTCTGCTGAACAGAAACCAAAGACAAAGCCCGAAGTGGCTAGATGGTGGCTTCTCCACAGACACCACACCACATCAGCAGTTTAACTGCCAAAAGCCCCAGCTCCAGCCCTATTTCCCATCAGCCCCTATTGGAGTGGAGTGTGGACCGTTCTACATTCTACCATACAGTTGGGTGTGCGCCCCACCCACTGACTTAGAGGTTGGTCTTTATTCCTTTTACACATCTTTTCTTTAAAAATGTGTACTATTTTGTGTACCTACTTTTACCCATTGTAAGTCTGCTAAACTTAGGCGGCCTGTTCGGCCACCATTATTGTTATCTGCAGTTCTGCATTCCTGTACAAGATCAGAACTGCCCTTCAGAACTGGTCAACCAGTCATAGGAACCAAACCTTACAAGGTGCCTTTCAAATAAATCATGAGCAGAAAGCTTGATCAGCCAGGGTAGGGTAGGCATCAAAAGGTATGACCAGGAACACCTGGGGGCTGATGATGGATACATAAACTTCTGGGTCATACATCATGAGGTATGACCGGGAATACCTGAGGGGCAGAGGACCAATGTGTAACAAGGGACCTCAGAAGCTGATCAGTGGAATGCCTTGTTGATAAGATAAGGACCATGGCCGGGGTCTGGGGTATGGTTTCAATTACAACACTTGATCATCAAGCAGATAAAAATTATCTAGTCAGCAGACTTATGTCTCCCTGAAGCCCTGGATGACATTCTTTAGTTTCACCCATCCTTTTCTCCTTGTCCTCCTAACCCAGGTAACTGATGCTGTATGATTACTCTATCAATACAAACGGCCAGGATCTTGCTCTTCAGCAGCATCCTGCATTATGTAGCCTGCTCCACGACACCCATTTCTTTATCAGGTGGTGTTGCCCGATGCAACAACACACACCAGCCTATGTCTATGGGCCCTGGTGTTGTACCTCAGCTTCATTCCTTACAGGTGTGAAAATGGCCAAATGAATACTCGTTTGTTATACTAGACTCACTTTGCTCCATTTAGGTAAAGCTTACTTTACTCCCATTCTGCATTTCTCACCTTTTCCAGTTTTTCATAAGCTATGAGTTCTGCCCAGTGGTGGATTCTTCATCAAATTTAACTTTGGGTCCCTTCCAAGGACTTGAACTAAATTTTTGAATTTATGGTTTATATCCTTTTCACTAGAAAACCTTTTTATTTTTGTTGTTTAAGCTTCAAGTCCACAAAAACCCTTGTTTGCCTCTGCTCCCAATAAGGCTGCCTTCAAGAGTTTTCCTAGTCAGCACTTTTTACCAAATTTCTAATGCCCTCATGCCCTGCAGCTCATTAATTATGCAACTACCTATAGCTCTACTTACAGTAATCCCCCCATTAACCACTTTCCAAGATTCCTGTTACCTGTGACCTGAAAATATTATGTACAATATTTTGAGAGTGAGAGACCACATTCACGTAACTTTTATTAGTTTGTCATAATTGCTGTATTTTATTATTATTGTTAATCTCTTACTGTGCCTAATTTATAAATTAAACTTTATTGGAGATATGTATGTATAGAAAAGAACATAGTATATATAGGGCTTTGGTACTCGCTGCAATTTCAGTACTTATTCAATACAATTTCAATACTTATTCAATACTTCAGGTGTTGGAACATATTCCCTGGGGATAAGGGAGGGCTACTGTGTGCTTTTGGACTGGTTCTGTGGGATATTTTACAGTATGTTTTGTGTACAAGAGTTTCAGAACCAAAGGTAAATAGTAAGAGCTAACTCTTTTACCCAACAAGAAGTCATAACTTTCTTAATGATAGAAACAGTACAAATTTCAAACCAAGCTGCAGTCATTCTTTTGAAACACCAAAATTTTTTTTCAAAGTCCTCTTTTTCCCATGGTTACATTGTTAATTCCATAATAGCATTTACAATATCATTACTGTTGTTCTTCAGGACCCATACTGCCTTTGCTCTCCACGCATTTGCTTGTCACATGACAAATTCTATGTCCTTAACTTCCAAACCTGTTTTACCAACCTCTTCCTCTTCACCTTCCTCTTGTGCAGCTGGAGTCTGTGTTTTGTTGAATGTTTGAGACAGCTTCACCTTGAACTTTGAATTTCTTCGTAGCTGCCAGCAGGGCTTATTGAGATAATTATGTCGCTATCTGAAGCTGGGTGCTTATAGACATCTGGTATTGTAAGGACAAAGAGGATATTCTTAGATTTCCAGATAATGACTCTAGTAACCCCTACAACTTGTTTTGTAGGGGTATGGACATAGCCTTCCATGCCTTCTTTTCACTTGCAGCTCTGTTTTGCTTTACTGACTTTGTCAATTTCAGCTGCTGCTGCCAGCTGGACTGGTTATCTGAAAACTTGTTCCTCAAGTTCTGGTACTGATTCATTCCTGTCAAATTTTGTTCCAGATCCTGTCTCAGCCTGGGGCTGTGGCAACCATCTGTAGCAAAGACGGTTTCTGTGACTTCACTGGGCATTTGTCAAGGGAACATGGGATCATGGTGGTGGTAGAAAGAATTGTTAACTCTTAATCCTTACAATAACCTTATGAGAAAATGAAGGCCCATAGAGGTGAAATGATTTGAAGATCACATGGCTAGAAAGTGGAAATGGTGAGATTTATACCTTAGCAATCCTATTCCAGCACTTTGTGCTCTGATTATGCTTAGTCTTTTACATAATGATGTGCTATATTGAAGATTTGGAGAACAGACATTCATATATCATTGGTGAATGCGTAAACTAGTATGACCTTTTCAGAATAATCTAGTTAAAAATATTTAAAAGATGGGGCCTCCCAGGTGGCGCAGCAGTTGAGTGCTGGGTTGCGAAGCTGCCCACAGCTTCTGCAGCGCCGGTTTGATCCCCGGCTGCTCCCCGGCCACTGGAGGAGGGTCCCGCATGGAGGGTCCCGCATGGCGCGCAGACCTCTCCTGCCGCCCGCTGCTCCCCTCAGCAGTGTACTTGGGTCCTTCTGCCTGCTCTGCTCCCCGCTCTGGCTCTGGTGAATTCTCTCACCCTCCCGCGCTTCTGACTGTACCCAGTGCTTGTATAAATAAATAAATAAATCTTTTTTAAAAAAAATATGTAAAAGATGTATTCCCTTTGACTCACAATTCCATTTCTAGGAGTTTCTCCTAAGTAAATAAACATGAATGTAAATATTTAGATACAAAGATGCTTCTATCATAGTTTTAATAGAGGAAAAGTTAGAAACAAGCTAATAATACCAATTTCATTTAATCAGCTTAATTGTGATGCGCTCATAGAAAAGATGTAGCCATTAAAAATGATATAGAAGAATATAAAGGGAAAATTTTCACAACATTGAAAGCAAGTAGAGAATACTATGTATAACTTTAAAAAATATTAGTACATTTTTTAAAAAGACTAGTAAAAAACTACCCCAAACTGTTGTTTTTAGGTCTTGGTTTATTTAAGATAGCTTTAATTTTCTTCTATGTAATTAAACAGGGTTTTTTAAAAATTGTGGTAATATACATAAAATTTAATATTTTAACCATTTTTTGGCCAGGTTTATTATTTTTTTAAATTTATTTTCATTTATTTACACATTTGAGAGCTGGGGTGTAGGCCAGAGGTGTGGGGGGTGAGAGGATTCACCAGAGTCAGAACAGAGAGAGCAGAACTGGCAAATTGATTGAAATACACTGCTGAGGGGAGCAGGGGGCAAGACAGGAGAGGTCTGCTGCGCCATGTGGGTTAATTCTCCAGCCAGCAATCAAACTCTGCTGCAGTGGCTGCGGATAGCTTCACAGTGCTGAGCCTTAACTTCTTGGGCCACCAGGAAGGCCCCTAATATATTAACCATTTTTAAGGGAGAGTAAATTATGCATATTCACATTGTTGTGTAACCAGCACCCACTACATCTCCATAATTTTCTCATTATCCAAACTCTGTACCCATGGAATAACTCTTCACTCATTCTTCCCCCCTAGTCCCTGGATATCACTTTTGGCATTTCCTGTCTCAATTAATTTGACTAATCTAGGGATTAGTGAAACCATATGGGATTTGTCCTTTGTATCTGGCCCATTTCACTTAGCATAATGTCTTCCAGGTTCTTCGATATAAGTAGAATTTATCAGAACTTTAATTTTTAAGGTTGAATAATATTTTTTGTATGCATATACCATTTTATTTATCTATTCACCCATTTGGGTTGTTTCTACCTTGACTATTTTATTTTTAAAGATTTATTTTAGGGCCTCCCCTGGTGGCGCAGGCGGTTGAACGCAGCACTGCGAAGCTGTCCGCAGCCTCTGCAGCCCCAGTTCAATCCCAGGCGGCTGGGGAGGGTCCCACATGGCGTGGCAGACCTCTCCTGTCATGCCCGCTGCTCCCCTCAGCAGTGTATTTCGTCAGTCTGCCTGTTCTGTTCCCTGCTCTGACTCTGGTGAGTCCTCTCACCCTCCCGCACATCTGGTCTATACCCCAATTCCTGTATGAATAAATAAATCTTTTAAAAATAAATAAATAAATAACGATTTATTTTATTTATTTGTGCATACGAGAACTGTGGTCTAGGCCAGAGGTGTGGAGGGAGATTCACTAGAGACAGAGTGGGGAGCTGAACAGGTGCATCTACTGAAATACACTGCTGAGGGGAGCAGCGGGTGAGACAGGTGAGGTCTGCTGTGACATGTGGGTCAGCTACCTGACCGGAGACAGAACTCATGCCTATAGCTTGATAACACTGAGACTTTAACCCCTGGGCCGCCAGGGAGGCCCCTCTACCTCCACTGTTTTATTTTATTTATTTTTTAAAAAAATTTATTTATTTATTTATTTTTATTGATTGATTGATTTATATATACATGCATACAAGCACTGGGTACAGTCAGAAGCGCAGGAGGGTGAGAGAATTCACCAGAGCCAGAGCGGGGAGCAGAACAGGCAGAAGGACCGAAGTACACTGCTGAGGGGAGCAGCGGGTGGCAGGAGAGGTCTGCGCGCCATGTGGGACCCTCCTCTGGTGGCCGGGGAGCAGCCGGGGATCGAACCGGCGCTGCAGAGGCTGCGGGCAGCTTCGCAACCCAGCGCTCAACCGCTGCGCCACCGGGGAGGCCCTACCTCCACTGTTTTAAATATGTTGCTATTGACAAGGGTTCACAAATATCTGTATGAGCCCCTGTTTTCAATTCTTTTGACCATTTACTAGAAGT